TCGATTAGATTTGTGTCCGAATGCAAAAAAAAAAAGAAAAAAAAAAGGGAGACAATTTCAATACATGCAAATTATGCACTCACAAAGATTTAGCTAGTGCTGAAAGAGTAGCCGGGAAAGAGAAAGGCTGTGTCAGTGATGGTGCACAGTTCAGCCTCCGAGGGGCTGCCCCTGACCGGGCACTGTCATGTGAAACCCTGGGCACCGAGCTTCTCTGCTCAGCTATGTCGTCACCCCCTCCAGGCGTGTTTGAGTGGCCGGGGAGCTGCCGCCCTCCTAAGCTTCGCAAAGCAGCTTAGAAGCCGCGGCCTCCTCCACAGTGGCCACACGTGTGAAACATACACTCTCACTGACACACAAGCACATGCAGGCATGGCAGCGAGCGCCGCCTGTGCGTGGCCATGCTGAGGTAGGCGGGCCCGCGCCGACTCTCGGGGACAGGAAAGAGGACGGATTAGGTGGTAGTCACTCCCAGTCAGCTGTACTGAAGCACGTTTTCTCTGGGGTGCAACACACTGGCTGCACACCTGCAGAAAAAGCATGCGGGACACAGAGAGGATATGGAAAGCTCACTGCTCCCTACCACTAGTTCTGTTTTGAAAAGGGTGGGGGCGACTGTTCTGACAAATCATAGCCATGTGTTGGGAGAAGCTGACTGTATGTTCCTGAACTCTGAGAGCTGAACCAAAGGCTGTTTCCAAATAGCGCGTACATTTCCACTTAGATCCTTTCATCGGGCAGGGAGCACACAAACTGACAGAAAAATACTGAGCTCTCTACTTAGGTTTCCTTCGCTGTTCTCTAGATGCAGACTGGGCGAAATGCAACACCAAACCAGGTTTTTCCAACAGCAGAGAAAAAAAGTGGACAGTGTGTTTACGATATTGTCGCAGACAGACAAAAAAGAGATAATAGTTTAATATGGCCCCCGCCGTCGTCGTATCATTTAGTCATACTTTTTTGTTTTTTTTAAATATAGAATGAATGTTAAATGCAGAAAAGAAGCTTGGTGATTTCCTCTAGGTCTTCTATTTCTCCTTTTATGTCATAACTTAGCTAAAGGACAAATATAATTACGATGCTCAATGTTCCTCCTCCTTGCTTTTTTATCACTAAAAACAGGAACGACAAAAAAGGATCTGAACTTCATTGTTAAATCTTGTTCAAAACACTTGAAAAAGACATTTCACTGAAATTTTACCCCTGTGGTCACAGCTGTCTCTCAGCGACTGTCTTGTTCAGCCGAACCGTGATAGCCTTCACATTTGCAAACTGTGTCAAGTTTCAGTATCAGTTCAGGCAAAAACAAAAAAGAAACAGCACTGAAATATCACTGTCAGTTACTGACACGGCCACCACAATATCCTCCGCCACCTCTACAAACACCAGCAACTCTGACATTCATGTAAATCTGCGTTCAGGCTTAGTTTTTCCGTCAACTGATTTCAAATCTAACATAAAACAGAGAGCAAGAACAGCCTGCTCTCCCTGAACCTGCATAGAATATCAATTATTCATATCATAAGGAAGTATCAAATAATGACATCAAGCATGTTTGATCTGTTTTGACAACGTAGGTTAGAGGGTTTCTTTTCTTTTTAAGCATATTTAACTTTAAAAAAAAAGACCTGATGCATTCTTCATATTTGGCAAGACACTTAATAACACACTTTGAGATAAAAAATAACATGCTCTTGCTCTTCTTGCTTTTACATTAGAACATACTGAGATTTTATGGACATGTTGGAGGATCCTCAGATATCATCAGTGTTCTTTAGAAATGATGTTGTTGTTTTTATTTAAAATCCAGATATCTGTTGAGTCATTCATGACACGTGTGTTACGGTCATGAAATCACTAGGAAAGCATATGATGGACTGAGGGAAGTAAGCAAGTGTGACACTGTGTTTGTAAAGTCATCTCGACACTTAATAATAATGGAAACAGGAAGTATCAAAGTTAGGGCACTATGGTAAAATGCAGGAATGATGTTAGTATTTTTTTAAACATTAAACTACAGTATATTGAGTGCATTAGTTGTTATATGTTTGAGCATATTTTGATCTTAATCCAAAAAGAATACTGGGATTTAAACTACAGATGGGACATTTTTAACTAATTGGACTCCCTCTTGGCATCAAAGCAAGCTGGCCAAGAAATGACGATGAATGATGAATAAATAAGATATTCAAAATGTGGCAAAAATTATTCTTACAAATAAGCGAGAAAAAAGTCCCTCGTTAGCCAAATCCTATTGTTAGCAATATTCAAGAGCCATAGTATTTAATTATTTAAGGAAACGGGCGTTCTCCCTCATTTATGAATAACAAGTCTGTTTTTATGAAAAGGCTTTGAATGAGCAGCAGCAAGATTACCTCAATTACATGTTGGACAGAGTCACTTGTGGCAGAGGCATGAATCATACACACATACAAATCAATGCTGAGTCACACACACTATTATGCGCCCGATGTCATGATGCACGCATCTATCCATAGCCCACAAACTCATGACTTCTGACTGTGTGAGCTGCGTGGTGTGGTGTGTGTGTCTGTCACTGCATCAAACCAGTATCACACGGTCTGGGAGGCACCTTTGAGTCCAAATGTCCTCTTCTGAACCATCCTTAAATGAAAAAGAAAAAAGTAACCAAGAAAAAAAAAGTTGCAAATAAATAAATAAAACAATTAAATGCTTTTTAACAACGATTTTAGTTGTCTAATAAATTACCAGACAGATACGTTCTGCATACAAACCCATTGGACTATAATTGGATGCATAATTGGGTCAGGTTTTTATTTGGTGCTACCTTACCAAGCCATACTTTCTCTGGTGTGATATTTTCTGTGTTATTTTAGTCCACTTTAACAAAACAATTTGACCGCAGATAGCCTCACCATCATGTTCCTGCATAACCCGAGCGTGGTGAGGGAATACAAAGCTTTTGGTTGTAATGGTCTTTAACGCCCCCTACTGGATTACTCATGAAGCCATGCAGAAATAAGGTCAATCCCTCCTCCTGGTTGTTTTCATTCAGTAAAAGAAAGGCATGCTCAGGCAGAAGGCACATTCAGTCATATTCAGACCGAGCAATATGTCTCTGAATGGATTCCTCTTTGGAGTCAGATTTGCCCACAATTACATGAACTCACCCTCAAACCAGACAACAGTCGTCCTCATAAACAGACAACTGGTTCCATCTAGCCTGTTTTAAACGCAGACAGGGTCAATAAACTTCCCCTAATAACGCTGCACAGTTCACAGTCTTATGGTGGCGCATTGCATATTCCCTTTCATCTCCCCGGTGCCTTTGAGACAGAGACGGAGACAGGAGTGGGTTTAGAAGGATGAGGGTTGTAGTCAGAGGAGGGGCAGAGGAGGGGGAGACAGTCAGGCTGAATCTCTCATTTTTGCCTCCGGGGTGTGTGCTGCTGCTGTTGCTCTCTCTTTGTCTGAAGACTGATTAACACAAAGCAAGACCAAAGGGAGTACATATGAATTGTGTGCCCTGACAAAAGGAGAAAGGCGACTTTAAATGTTGTGACGCCTTTCATGTTAGACCACAAAGACAGAAAAAAAAGCATCTACGTCTAAAATACAGTGTGCAGTGTTTGTAAATGTTCATCAGCTTTTTTTTTGTGGCAGAACATACATTTAATAAAATGGTGTATGTATGTAAATTTTCAGGTTTCTCCACTGCCCCCAAGTGGCAAAATAGTCATGTAACTTAAACTATTTTTAAGAACAGCATAATTTATTGTAGTAAATATAATCTCATGTAGGCAGAGATATCAAAACAGCCTAATATTAACATTTCTGGATTTAAAACCAACACTGATGTGTGTCTTTTAAAGCTATGTTTATTGTTTATTTACCCCATAGAATACATTTATTCACAAACTGTCAAGCTCAATGGAAAGTGCGTGCTAATGGTTTCTAATTTGTGTTCATGTCAGCAAGATCATGAGGAACCAGATCTTCCACCTGCTCCTATTTAGCACCACGGGGTAAAGAGTTCTTGGAATTCCTGGGTGGAGACGAACTTCCTCGACACTTGTTCCTTGCTTGCTGTCTCAGACATTAAAACTGTCATTTGCAGTCACTTGAATGTATTTTTAAAACTTGGAGCCCACAAAAAAACTGTTAAAGTAATATGTAGTGGAGGAAACTGCTTAAGAGTTTAGAGTCAAAATATGGAAAAAAAATGTATTAATTATTTTTTTATATACATTTATAACCATGCCGTAATATATAAAAACTGTAATGTAGTCTTCTGTCTGCTGGTATCAGGTGTATTTGAGCAAAGCTAAAGGTTAAGGTTTTGGAGCTAAAGGTTTTGGAAACTGCATGTATGAAATACTGTATAATATAAAGCATTATAAGATTAAAAGTAATGTGCTGACATTTTCAGAATTGTTCTTCCGGTAAAGTGCACATTCAGAATACTAGGTCCGGTAAATTATTCAGAAACTGCCCAGCTTAGATTTTACAAGGCAAATGTTGGACACCTGCACTGCAAATGAGCTGTCGTGAACTATGCTTATATGACACTATAAGTCTGTAAATCTGTAACCAATGGGCTTCTGTTAATCAGTGCCAAGTTATAACACAAGATACAAAAAATAGCTCTCCAGTTAATCACAATGCCTATATTCCTACACTGTTCTTTACCAAGATTCATTTTTCATGGTAAAAAGACCCAGCGGGCCTCAGGATCAATGAAGTTAATCTTATTTATTTTTAGTGGATGATGGGCTCCTCCTCAAACATCAAGTAATTGCATCTGAGGCTTAACCTGGAATCAGAAAACAACAATTACCCTGAAAGCTCAGGAACCACAGAACTCGATAATGGTTACAGACACTTGATACAGAGCAAGATGGCAATAATCAACCTCAGCATTTTAGACAATGACAGGACTTTGCCTTATGGGCCTTTGTTTGGGCAGATGATCCGATTGCTTGCCAGTCACAGACCATTTTACACAGTCAGTCATATTGAGGGTGAAAAAGGACTTTGCTCCACATCGTGTGCCGATCTCGTGATGCTGCAGAAGGGAGCTCTGTGGCTGCCGGGAACAGACAGGACCGACATCTGTAAGGTAACTACACCGGGGATTTGCTTTATCTATTAGCTGAGCAGTTGTTTTCCTCCTCTGTGACATCCTTGCAATAATTTGGTGACAGTGATTACACACGAGCAGGTAAACTGGTCGTGTATGAAAAAAAATGGCTTAGAAGTGGAGCTAAAATGAAGTAGATTGCGATAATGATTTTCTATCACGCATGCTGGGTGATATAATTTAGGCTGTGCGCCCCTGAGACTCGACCATGGAGTGGAAAAATGACCTGCGACGCACACAGTCAGTGAGAAGCATCCCTTCATCATGTGACAAGCCGGCCTGGACCGCCACAGGACTGAGGGATAGGGCAATATCTGTGTCCCAGTTAGTGGCCAGGTAGGAGATAACCTCATTCCACCCTTTTTTGTTTGTTTGTTTGTTTGTCTGTGTGTGAAAATATGATGTTTGTGTATGCAACAGGTATCAAACTGAAGTGGAAGTAGGCACACAGATTGGTGCAAGCACAGGAGGTAATGCTGCAGGAATGACAAAGCCACCTCTGAGTGAGGTAACCTTGTTTTTGTGGTCTTTGTAGCATGAGAAAAAAATAATCAAGATGCCCGCGGGCAGACTCATCTGTCCTGCGTGTATCAATTTTCAGATGACACCACCTTCCCGGCAAAGTACAGGGACTCATCTGGAGTCTCCGACGAGGAAAAATGAAGTTAGGGAGCTGGTTCCAGCCAAAGCCAATTTGACCCGCAGTAAATCAACGGGCAGCCTACAAAGCACCACCAGATCCATAGAGGCTCTTAAGACTCTGTTTGAGACAAAGTCAACGGCAAAAAACAAAGTGAAGAGCGATTTTAAGGCTGCAGGCATCACGCCGAGGCACACTGCAGACGTGCCAGTGATGAATGGAGAGGCTGAGGATGTGCAGCTTGCTGCAGAGCAACAGAAAGTACCAGCTGGAAAAAACACTAAAAAAGATGCAAAAGAGGATCATGAAAGAAAAAAGGTAAATCAATCACATAGTTCTGGCATGCGCATGAAGAAAGCAGTAACATTCTGGGAACCTATAATGTTGAATTTTCAAAATCAGAATTATTCTGTTGCTCCTTCACTGTATTTTCTACATTGAACGCAATAAATTTACACTCTGAATTCTACATTTAGATTTGTTTTCTACATGATAAGCACGTTTTTGATTTTGTGATGAAGTGTCAGATAAGCTTTTAGACAAGTTTCCTGGCCTGTCTTACATGTTCTTGCAGGTTTAATGATGTTCTTATTGTGCATATTCACAATTTTATTGACTGTCTGCATGAGGTTAACTACTATTCACTTTGCAAAACAAGAGATGATGCTTATACAGAAAGTCAGACCATGAAGAAGTAGTGACTTGTTAATTCTCTCTCCAGGTAGTAAATCAGATCGAGAGGAGAAAAACAATAGGGGGCGTTGATTTTGAAAAAATAAGAGCATCTGAAGCTGGTGAGTTCAACATTATCTTTCTCTTCCTTCATCAACAGTAGTTTTTTAACCTGCCCAATGCTGCCAACACTGCATGCTTAACTGTGCAGTGAATTAAACTTTTGAAATGTAACTTCACATGACTTTATCTTTGGTTCTGATTATGTTCAATGTTCAAGCATTGTATAGTTTAATGAGAGAAGTCAGGTTGGCAGCGGAACAAAAAGCTGAGTGATAAATAGCATGTGACTGTAACGTCCAAATTGATCCATCATTTACACGTTCAGGTCAAAAGCCAGTAGTTAAGCTTCAGAAATATGGTTTAAGATCATGAGGAAATGTTACTGATATCACATCTGCAGACATTAAAAACACGATATTACACTGCAAGTAAAACCAAAGATTTTTTGTGAGCATCGTAAAGATACTGAGTGAGTTAAATGAAAGTATAAACTAAAGAGAACAGATATGTTTTTAGTCAAGTTTTCAAAAAGTGAAAAGTAGGCAATGATAATAATTCGAATATATGTAATGAGATATCGTTACCAAGAAGGACAGGATTCAGTTTGGCCATGTCCCATAACTGGAAACAAAACAGGTTTGTGTGCCAAATTTCGAGTCCCAGATACCTGACATGCGTGTGGTCACACCATAAAGGCATCCAACATAACATAGAGCAAAACAGAATGACTTGGCTCGAAGCAGGAGATGATAAGAATGGAACTGTGCAAGGAGCTGTGATTGACTCAAACTGGTGTGGGCAGGCAGACCACTTCAGAGTGGGACAAAAATAGTAGCATGCATGCAACAAGTCCTGAATAAGTGCAGGGGGGTCAGTTGTCTCTGGCGCAGGGATTAGACAGAAAGAGGGAACGCCCGAGAGACACAGAGGCAGCGTTGCAGGACCCAAACTAACAGGTAATTAGACTGATTTCACACAGATTTCAAGAACTGAGAAGACAGGGACAACAGACTTGGGAGTCATTTATCTTCTGTGAGTTGTGATTTGCACTTTGATTGACTGCAGATATTCTCAGAAACTTGCCCATTCTTATGAAGCTATAAATCTCAATATAATGAACTGCAGAAATACATATCGCCTACATATCGGTTAGAAGTCTCTATGACTGTTTAAGTATTATATGTCCCACATACTGTAACTGTGAACTTACTGCCAAACGTAAACATCTCCCACATGTCTGTTTTCCTGACAGACTGCTGCTACCGGTCAACTGATTTACAGTTTTGACTGTAAACAATATTCAGATGCTTGTCTGTTTACTTTTTCCCGTTTATGCTCATTCAACCGTAGCTGCAGTGACTCGCCTGTCCTTAAACACAGCATGTGTGTGTGTCAGAGGAGTCAGGTATCATTCCTACTCCACCACAAGTACATTTATAACCCAAGCACATGACAGCTGATCAGCTCAGGAAGTGTTATTACCAGAACCCCAAATTGGTAACCACGAACAATCAGTTTGGGACACCTGTGTTGTTCTAAGTTTCTTTAAAAAAGATGGCAAACCTGATTTAATAAATTGTTAACACGGATATCTGACATCTCTCATCAGCCCTCTTTTAAAGCACTGCGCAGTACAAGGTACTTCATGTCGTCATGCAGATAAATCTGTGTGTGTGATGTCTCTGCAGATGAAAAGAGGAGGTCAATCGCCGACTTCAGAAACAGTTCTTTCATCCAAACCAAGGAGACACTGTCTGTGTCGGTGAAAGCGATGTCGGCTCTCTATCTGTCTAAAGTGGCGAATCAGGAATCAAAACAGGCTCTTTCTAAACCGGTAAATATCCTTCTGTTATGGCTTTCCTTGTTTCAGGAGACAGTGTCTATGAAAAGACTGACAGTGCTGCACTCTAATCCCAGTTAATGAAACATTATCCTTTAACGAGGATTTTGATGATAGCTGTAATAATTGATGTGATCCCCTATGATTAGGATGTTGATCGTGAGGATTTATATGTAGACATCATAGTTACACAGCTAAATCTTCAGGACATTGTCTCAGTATTACATGCTGCCACAGTTTATGATCAATAGAACAACCCCATTGCCAGAAAAGAATGTCTCTGTTGTGTTGTGTGATCTGTGTTAACTGTTATTGTCACTCAGGAGCAAGATCGGCCTCTTGAAACTGGAAAAAAAGCCAAACTAACCAAGGTAAAGCAGCACGTCACCAGATCTTGTGCATGAAAGTGCATTTGGTGCAACTGTTCAATGTGCATTTGATTTTCATTGTCACATTAATATAAACTTTTATCATGATATAATTTACCATGCTGTTCCAAAAACAGAAAAACAATGATTTCAGTCTCTGAATGGCTAACAGATAAACAGATAATAAATGTCAACAAAAGCATGTTTGATTGAAGTTGTGGTTGCGCTCACTGTCTCTGGTTGCCTCGGGGTCCGGTTAACCCATTCACACCTGGCATGTGGAAAGCAAGCATGAGAGGGGTGGTATTACATGGCTCTGGCTCCTGTAAGTATCTTTTAACCAGTTTGGAGCATGATTTCCAGAGGGTGGCTGACTCCTGTTTAAAGTGGATGAAACAGTAAGAGCATTACTTTGTTCTTCTAAGATGGCAGAAGACTCACAACAAAGGAAAGATGATGTCCACCAGCTTCCTAAACAGACATGTCCGCCGGGAACGGAAGACATCCACGGGGCTCACTCACAACAGTTAGTGCCATCCCAACTTTCCAAAGAAAAGTTGTACCAACAACGGCAGAAATGCGAGCTGAGGCGGCTCCTGAAGCACACCCACCCCGAGCTGAGGATGCTGGAGGATGCTGTGGACGAGGAGTTTGCTGAGATTTTGAGCTCTGAGAGTGCGACAGCTGGTGAAACCGGATACGAGGGAGAGGTTCTTTCAAGATGCTTGTTATTTGAGAACCCTGGCCTCAGTAACAATGTGCCTCCCTGCACCCCCAAGATCCATATGGCAGGAGCAGTGAAAAGACAGGATTTCAGTGAAACAGCACCAGGTTTTGATGGGACAGTGGACGGGCCTTGCACTGAGAGCGCCAAAGGGTTCGTAGAAGATGAAAAATCTGCCCAGTTTGGGCCAGATCTAAACAGAGAGTGTGAGGATGAGGTGGTAAGGATCGACGTTCAGGCTACCAGGAGGATGTTTGAGAGTCAGTCTAGACCAAATCCAGAGAAGCCTCTACAGAAAGTTTGTAATTCAGGTGATGACGCAAAGGCGGTCAGGCTGCTAAACAAGCAGTCTGAAACATCTTCCAGAGATAATCAACACATCATATACAGAGGTAGCAGTGCTAATTTGGAAGAAAAGCCTCAGCTGTCATGCTCCCATGTGGCAGGTCAAAGAACTAAAAATGACTGCTCTGGTGGTGAGGAGGTTCCTCCTGAAGAAACTCCCTTTAACTATGAGGCTACGAGCTTTTCTGATTCAGTAAGCTGTGGTGAGGCGATAAAAACAATCACAGCTCTGATAAAAAATAACCCTTTTATCTCCACAAATATTGAGAGAGAGCATTCCATTGGAAATATTACAAAAACCCAAGTTTGCGAGGCAGGTGTGACTGCCAACGTAAAGACCAGAACCCATCTGTTTGAGTCAATGCCATTTGACAAAATAAGGCACCAGAACAAGGATGACATTGAGACTATGGTAGAAAACATTAAGGAAACTTTGGATTTCCTCTACCATGCAAAGCAAATACATCTAACTGGGGCAATAATTGAGGTGAATGAGACAATGATAGCTAAAAAGGCTAAATTCACAGTGTCAGAAACAGGACCTCAGATAGACTGTGACGAGGTGGCTGAAGGAGGTGCACAAAACTTCATACTCCAAATGCTACCCCGTGTAAACTTGAAACCCCAAATCCGCTACTTGAAAGAGAATAGCAAGGGATGTTTGGTGGCCACGATAGTGGATGTCCCAGTCCATCAGCATCAGTTCAAAACCGGAAAAGACACTAAAACTGCCAATGTGATGCAGCTTGTTGAGGACATTCTCACTCAGGACAACTCTTTAAGGAAAGGAGTGATCATTCAAGAGGATGTAAGCAACTATACTGAAGTCATGGTTTACTCCCTCTTTAGGTATTTTGATGAGAAAGATGTAAAGAGTTACAGCCCTTTGCGAGGTGAAGAATATGGCAAACCTGAGCCGGAAAGCGGTGGCACAGAGACCACTAGAGGCCCTCCAAACACCTCTCAAGATCAGACTGTCCCAGGGTCAGTCAGGCCTGAAGTAAAAGGGAATGTTAAACTGTTCAAGAGTTGCATTGAAAAAGGAGATTTGGAGTATTTAAAAACTCTTCAGGCTGAGCCAACGGTTCAGGAACAGGAAAGCCTGACAACTACGGGGGAAGACAAAGACCTTCATGATGAGCAAAGAGAAGAGGAAAGCAGCATGGAGTGGACCCCAGTAGATGTAAAGAGACTAAAAAGCCTTTTCTCTGGAGATCAGGAAAACTTCATCCCATCTGCCCCTATTTCACTTGGAAAAAGACAGCCCTCTACAGAGTTTGGCACTGAAGCATCCCGTCAGCACCAAGTAAAGAATACGTTTGAGGAAACTACAGGCAGAGAGCAAGAAGTTTGCAAAGTGAAAGTTGTGCCCCATCATGAGTCTACTGTTAATAACAGGATGCACCAAGCTGATCTAACTGAAGTGACAAATGACGCTGATGAGATTTCTGACCTCCAAACAGCTATACATAGCCTCCAACAGGCCACTGTGGAGGCCAAATCATTTTGCCACGTAATACGAGAAACAAATAAAGCCCCAACTCAAGAATCCTCTGAGAACCACAGCGTCCCTGTCATGTCAGATTATGTAACAGATTCAAGAACAGAACTGCCTCAACAAAATGTGAACCGAATGGTGGTGTCATGTGCAGGATTAGGGATGAATGAACTCTATTCATCCTCTGAAAAACCAAAGGAATTTGACCAGCACCACATAAATAATAAACCATCCAATGAAGACCACACATCTGAAAATGTAAAAACAGTGGGCAGCTGCCAGGAAAACTCAGATTATGCACAAAAACAACAAAATCCAGCCGCTAAACTGTCTGCACATGGTTCGGCGATAACACCCACACAGGAGGAGGAAGAGGAAGTTGTTTTTCAGGGCACAATTAAAGCAGCCATGGAATCTTTAGAAAAATCAAACATTAATGTGACAAGAGGAGATTTTAGAGCAGCTATGATATACAGAAATTCTAACAAACCCCATCAAGAAAGGTCACAAAGTCTGGCATCTGCCCAAAGCCTTCAGAGTGACGAGTTGCAGCCTGTGACTGAACCTGAATCAATACAAGGAGGGACTTCAGCAAAAAGCGAGCCTCCACCACAAACAGATAAACCTGATAAGAGACCAGTTGGTCCAAAACCAGCAATTCCACCTAAACCAGAACATTTGAAGATGAAGCACAGGAAAAAGGGAACCAGCAAACCAACACGTAGAAATGCGACAATCGACAATAAAAATCCAGAGGCAGCCCAAAATGATGCTGTGCAAAGTAAAGAAAAAGCTCCTCAGCTTTCTCAGCCATTGCCAAAAGTGTCAAATTCCTGTCGCGATGAATGTGAACAAGCCGTGCTTAAATCGACCAATCAGAGCGGCGATTTCCAAAGAAATGAGCCTACAGGTGAGGTTGTGCAGATGCGGCAAGGAACTGAGGCAAGACATGAAATCCAAACAACACCTGTTACCTCAAAAAGTCAGCAAACAGATGAAAGCACAGTTAATGGGAAACAGGAGATAAATGGCATTCTAAGAGAGCAGAGCCCTGAGAAAGAACCAGCCAGCATGAACGAAACAGACGAAAGCCCTTTGGATTTCCAAGAGGCATTTCAGAAATTTGGAGGTAAAAAGACAGCCGTAAAGAGGACAGCCCCAGTAAAGCCAAAACGGGTAAAAATGGTCCATACTGATGGTAAAAGCCCAAAGAGCTTTGGGGATGCAACTGCATTGACACATTCAAATCCACCAGCAGAACTAAATGTAGCTGAGTCATCCTCTGATGAGAAGGGGCGAGACGTAAAACAGGGAGGCAAAGTTGAGATGAGGGAAAGGAAAGGACAAACGGAGACAGAGTTTGAACGTCGACAGCGGCTTTCTGTTCACATGGATGAGATCATGAGGGGCAACATGACAACGGCCATGGAAATTTTTGATAACCTACGAAAGCAAGAGCAGCTACAGAGCATTCTCAGCCGGGTTGAAGAAATCGAGCAGGACACGAGTGAGGTTGATGTGAAGTCTCTTCGGAGGGTTTTTGAGACTGTTCCCGACTGGGTTGTGGTCTCCAAGGAAAAACAAAAAAGCCTTGGAGTGGAAAACACAAAAGAAAAAATGGGAACATTGCCAGCAGATAGAACTCAAAGTAAGACCTCGATGGCACACGTTTATGGAGATCTTGAACGAGCTAGTGAGGAAATCATGAATCTGAAAGAGCAGACGTTAGCCAGGCTTTTGGACATAGAGGAAGCCATTAGGAAGGCACTTTTTTCTGTGTCTACACTGAAATCTGACGCAGACATTGTAGGTTTATCCTGTCTGTTCAAAGAGTCCCTGGGAGCTGTGCAAGGACCCTCATCTTCTGGTAATATCAGCAAAATTAGCATTGGCTCGAGCAGGATAAAAACACAGGAGGGACTTGGGAGTTCCACCTCACAGGGGGAAAAGAGCACAGAAGTGTCCTCTAGTAAACAAAGACCAAGTCCTCCATCGTCTCCAGCATTTATCTCCATTCAGTCTGCAGCCAGAAAGAGGAATGAAGTAGGAGTAGCGCCGCCCGAACCCACAATGTGCCCCGCGTGTCGGCGGAGCCCCAAACCCGAGGAGAAATTCAGGACGACAAAGACGGTGACCTGCAACAGTCCGGCTCAAAAAAGGAAAACAGTCCCCACAAAGAAAGGGAAAAGACAGTGCAATCACAGCCCTCCAAGCTCTAACCGAGAGGTCACGGTGCTGCAGGTGCAAACTGACAGTGAAGGCAACAGCATTGCAGGGACAATCACAGAAAATTATGAGAGGGCTGATAACTTTGGAAACAGGTTTCACTCCTCCAAAACCTCCAATGTCGTCGATATTCTGCCTGAAACCCCGACCACAAGTCAGGCCGCCATCAGCCCAGCCAACTATCAGGTCGCACCTCACCCCAAGGTCCAGCTGCCTCTCAATCAGACGAATACCCCCAGCACCTAAGTAGCTGAATTCTCACAGCTTTCACTTCCATAAGGGGAGAGCAGTCATGTATATGTTTTTATCTGCAAATAAATGAGTTTATCTTAGCTACACTGTTACCTTATTTATACATTTACTATTAGTTAAGGATTTTTGTTTTTGTTATAAACCTTTGATTTTATTATTTGAACCTGTATTTCACGTCTACCTTCAAAAGTTCAGTCACAAAGGTGTTCGCGTTGTCCTTTGTCTTTGTACTGAGTGCCTTTTGTGAAAATACATGTTTTGGTTTCAGCTATGCTCAGTCTGGTTTTTTTCTCATCAGTTTCAGCCAGTGAGTCAGGAGATGTGTTCGGCATGCGTGAAGCCAGTTTATCAGATGGAGAAAATCACGGCGGGCAAACACACATTTCACAAAACGTGCTTCTGCTGTAAAAAATGCAAGAAAAAATTAAGGTGGGATATTAAAACTTTTTTCAGAAAATCACCTGCAATCACAAATTTAAAGAACTACTAAGTTAACAGAGAACATACAAAGATATAGATTAATTTGTCACCTTGCCAATGTAGCTCGACAACTTTCAGTGCGGTCTGTTTACAGCTTCTATTCAACCACATGTTTGTGACAGTAGTACTCCTCTTTAACATCAAGCCATTTTTATGGAACTGTTAAACATATCCCAGTATTTTCACCTATAAAGAACATAGTTAGTTAGTACTGCACATACATCTAAAAGCATGCCTGTAAAGCATGCAAATATGCTTGTTTAACACACAGACTGCATTTTCAAACATTCTTCAATAAAAGCTTAGACTGGGATACTTTACACCCAATCTAAAATCATGCATTTCTAAACTTGCAAATACTATTTAAGTGCATGGCACTTACAACAACACATGCCGCAATGAGGAATTTTACTATGAACAAAGCTGAAGAATGAAGTAACCGGGAAATACTAGATGGAATTGTAGGACCACAATCATACCTGAAATAGAAAATAGAACTAATATGGAAATTGGTGAAACAACTGAAGCTACCTAAAAGATATTTGATTGAAAAAGTGAACTCAAATTAATTTAATTAGTTATGAAAGTAAAGAAAGCTCAATTTTGAGGATACTGAATTCCTTGAACAAATTTGAAAAACAAACAAGGTTTAAGTTGCAAAATGCATACCCCTCCAGTCATTAATGCAGAGCACAGGTTGAACTGTTACTAACAAGTTTGTGCTCATTTGTAGCATGTACAGTTATGCACCTCTAAATGGTGAACTCTACTGCATATTTCACTACCAACAACTGTTCAAACGGAAGGGAAATTACGATGAGGGATTTGGGCTCCCTCAACACAAGAACCGCTGGCTTCTGAGGAACAACACCGGCGTGGGGAGCAATGAGTCTGAGGCTTAAAGAATTTGACTTTTAGGAGAAAGGTGAGTATTTTGTGTGGGTAGATGGTCGCTCTGATCTAATAATCACCCTGTGATAGTGCCCATTCTTTAAGATTGATCTGTTTGCTTTCACAGCTTTTCAGATGGTGGCTGAGACGAGACAGAAAATGTGACGGTCCCACCATCACATCATGTTCATGCTCTGTGGGTGTGGAAAGGAGTGTTACGGCTACTTAAGTGCAGCTATGTAACGCGATCAACGCCTCGTCCTTCATGCAATTTTACCTAATTACATTATTTGTTATTATGATTACAGACACAAATTAATAATTGTTTTCCACAGTGTTTTCAAGTGGTATCATGATTGGATTTTTTATTTATGGGAAAATTACATATCCAAGAAGAATCAGAGATCCATTTTTTCGGCATTTTCTAAGAGATCATCCCACAATTTTGTTTTTATTTCTCTCTCTAAAGATTAGATAATGATTAAATGAAAAGGTTAAATATATTTGGACTCATAATGGTGTCATAATGGAAACAAACCTGAAGCTGGCACATTCTTGCCTATCTCAATTATTTGTGTAAAATATTTGTAATTTGATAACCTGTTATGAAGGAAAGCAGGGACATGTTTGTACAGAAAGTGAATAAAACCAAACACTCAACTTCCCATTCATGTGCCCATAGACATTTAGAATTTCCCAAATCTGCTTTTTCTTTCAAGCAAAAGTTTCATTTTACAACTGTTTCAGGATTAAATTTTTCCATGGCTCAGTCCCTTCAAGCAAATTGTCCTCACTATCTATTAGTCAACTAAAGTTTTACAACAACTCCGGCTTGTTCTTGTGTCCAGTTTGTGTAAAAAGCAAAGGCTGATCTAGCAGTCTTGTATTCTGTGTTTCTGGATTCCCACATTGCGCCTATTAACTACCAGAAAAAAGTGGCCTGACTTTTGCTACCTGGAACTGATCAAACATTCCCTGAAAACACATAACATACTGTATCCCATGCAAGTCCTTATGAGACCCTGAGTTCAACGCCCTTAACTACACCACAAAGAGTGAAAGGTTATCTGTGCACTCCGTAAAAAGGAAGATTATATACTAATGAGCTTTCGAATTGAACTTTGCAAGTTTGACGGCGAGCTGCATGAATACAAACATGGGGGAGGATCCTGCAAGCATGTTTCACTTTCTGATGTAAAGAGAGGGTAGTGAAAGGTTTGTGAGGAAATCCTCAAGAAGAAAATAAACAGAGTACTACAACACACTTGAGAAGATCTAATCTACTCAGTGGTTTCACTTCAGGGTATCGTTTCAGTTGCAGAGAAGCTTAACGGTCGTAAATCATATGTGATTGATTTACCTGTTGACATTTGGTTTGTGGAGGATTTATTTAAATCTCGGGTGATCGGGCACTTAGCCATCTATGATTGTGGCAAATCAGAGAGGAGCAGCTCTCTGATCTGATAAGGCCCTGATAAGAGTCAGGTTCAGGACTCCAACCCACAGTTATGAGACCTGTTTTCATTTGATTTAATCAGGTTCGGAAAGCCTGTTGTCATGTTGATGTAATGAGTAAGACCTGATGAGTCACATGTGAGACTGTATTTCTGCTGTCTGTTATTAGATTGACACAAAGGACAGTGATTGTCAGCTTAAATATTAACTTGGAGGATGAGAGTAAAGCTGACTGTTAGCGGCTGAGCTTGGCTCAAACCGGCCACTGTCTGATCGATGCTGCAGCTTGAGGACATTCGGCAGGGAACATGAGCAACTTTGGGCAGATCCTGAAGGAGATCGGGGAGTTCGGCGTGTTTCAGAAGCGCTTGGTGGCGGCATTATGCATCCCCAGCATTTTTGTAGCCTTCGACGTGATCGGCCAGGTGTTTACTGGCATGAACTTCCCACACCACTGTAACACTGACTGGATCTTGGAGCGTGGACCAAACCTGACAGATGAAGCCAAAAGAAATCTCACCATCCCCGTGAACAGCGAGGGAAGGTTGGAAAGTTGTAAAATGTTCACACCGGTAGATCTGAGCCTGGAAACTATTGAAAAGTATGGAATCAACACCACAACAGAATGTGTGAATGGAACTGATTTTGAAGTTCCTAAAGGCGCTTCAAGTATCGTAACAGAGGTAAGACACGGTTTTTCTGAGCTATTTGAAAATACAACATATATACACACATTTATAATATGCATATTCATAATATGGCTCCATCAGCTGTGTGTTCTGATGCCCTCAGTTACTGACTCACACTAACTTAGTGCTGACTTTACACTCTGAGCATGTGATGAAGTTACTAAGTAGCTGTAAAAGTAACACATGAACTTTTTAATCTCGCTTGATGGCAAAATAGAAGGAAGTACCGCATTCGTCATGACTCAGGACTAAAATTTGGAGCAATTTTTGTTTTCTTTTTAAAAAAAGTTTTGCGGTTAAATAGTGAAACATCCAAAATCGAAAGGGCCGATGCACATTGGTCGATTTGAAATTATTAATAATAGAAATCCTTATTTTTCCCACTGGAAAGCTAACACCCACTTTTTATAAAGCCCATGAAAAATGGGACCAGCACACACCTCCATTAGTGTTGAAAAATCTCAGATATAGTTCTTTGATTTGAAAAAGAAAACATGTCCCAGTCCTGCATGGTATAACCAGTTCAATTCTCTGCTTGTCTTCCTTCCTGGTGCTAGTTCCACCTGGCGTGTGACAGGAGCAGTCTGATTGAAGCATCACAGTCTATCTACATGGCGGGGCTTCTGGTTGGAGCGTTTGTGCTGGGGCAAATGGCTGACAGGTACAGATCTGTAATTCAGTGTCACTGAGCATTCCCCTCCTGAGATGATTAAACTGCTGACAAGCCCATTTGGCATAGATCAAGAGATACAAGCTGTCCTTGTTTTTGAATCCATTTAATTGAGATAAGACATTGGTGTGTACACAATTTGTCCACAGTTGAACTAAAAATATTCTAGATGTTCTTTAAAATAATATTTCGTTGTTCAATCCTTGTTCTGAAATCAAATAAATGTGAATTTGCAGGATGCTCTGTTAAATCCAAATTTAATTTGAAATACTGAGAAAAGTCAAAGCTCAAAGCTGCTCACAGTTCTGCCTTTCCTTTCCTCCTCACAGGTTTGGCCGACGCTTTGTTGTGTTGCTTTCACTCCTTTTGCTGCTGGTGTTTGGAGTGAGTTGTGCTTTCTCCCCCAACATCTACGTTTACATCGCTCTCAAATTTTTTTGCGGCATTTCAATTTCTGGCATTATTGCCAATGCGTTCGTCATAGGTAGGTACCATGTTGGAATTTCACCATGTGTGATGATTAAACGCACTTCACCCTGGCACCAGGGAGGCATTAATCAAATGAACACGATGTCAGAGGTAATGCCTCTTCCATCTGGTCTTTACCTTTCAAGGTGGAGAATGGAGTGATTCCTCAAAGTTTGCCCTCTGCACCATTATCTGCCACGCGTTCTACCCTCTGGGGCTGATGATACTGTCTGGTATTGCTTATCTGATCCGCAACTGGAGGATCCTGCAGCTGGTGCTCTTCAGCCCTCTCATCCTTGTCCTGGGCATCTTCTACTGGTCAGTGGGCTCTCTGGCCACATTAGATGCCTGCAACCAAAATCACAGACGCAGTAAAGGTAGTAAAGCATGTGCATTTCAGTGTGTGATCCCGGGGTTATCTGTCAACTAGGATTCTTCCAGAGTCAGCTCGCTGGCTCATCACTCAGGGTAGGAAGGAGGAAGCCATAAAAGAAATCCGGAAAGCAGCTAAAGTAAACAAGAGAAGCGTACCCGAAGAGCTTCTGGAAAAAGTAAGTTTCATTCAAAACACACCACATCCAGCAAAAATCAGATACAATGAAAGCATTTTATGTACTGATCACACCTAAAATATTTAGCTGGAGGCTGAGGGCACAACCAAAAAAGGAACCATGCTGGACATCTTCAGGCTGGCGTATCTGAGGAAACGGGCTCTGATCATGAGCTGTGCCTGGTGAGTGTTCGCTTATGCCCTGAGCCGCTGCCTCATGTAGCCCACCGTTTTTTACTCTGTCTCTGAAGCCTTTTCCAACACTTTACAGGTTTGCGACCAGCCTGATGTACTACGGACTCAGCCTGAATGTGGGCAATTTTGGTCTGGACATTTATCTGACACAGTTCATCTTTGGGATAGTGGAATTTCCCGCCCGTCTGGGCATTCTGCCTCTCCTGCAGCGCTTTGGCAGAAAGATGTGTCAGGGAGGGGTGCTGTGCCTCGGAGGTTTGGCTTGTCTTGGGATTCTAGCTATACCAAGAGGTGACTCTTTTTTTTCCAACATTCGTTTTCTAGCTAGAAGAAATGTTGGACTGTTGTCTCTGGATATGAGTATGTCTTTGCTTGCCCATCAGATCTTCCAGTTGTTGTGACGGTAATAGCTGTTCTGGGGAAATTTGCTGCCACAGCCAGTTTTGCCACCGTCTACGTTTATACTGCGGAATTGTACCCAACGGTTTTGAGGTAAGACTCTGCTGGGCCAAAACTGGGCTTACCTTGAGGTGTGGGAGATTAAATGGGGTAAGGCCGCTGATGAGCTCTGTCCCTGGCAGGCAGAACGGCGTAGGTCTGAACTCCATGTGTGCCCGCGTGGCTGGCATCCTGGCGCCTCTGATCCGGCTCCTGGACGTCTATCATCACACCATCCCCATGCTGATTTACGGCACCGTCCCCATCGTTGCCGGGGGCCTCTGCGTGCTGCTGCCGGAGACCCGCAATGTGGAACTTCAGGACCACGCCGAGATCCCGTGAGTTTCCAAAATATCCCACAGCAGACACATTCTTAACTCAATAACTAACTTACACAATAACTGACCTTCTTTCCATTTCAGACAACCTTCAGATGAAACTTACGAGAAAATCTGTTTCGTCCAGGAGGGCAAATTGGGAAAAAGCACAAAAATGTGATTTTTGGACCGTGGTTTATTTAATGTCTGGCCTCCTCTCAGCTGATGCACTCATCACATCCATTTGTTAGATTGCAGCTAGATGCATCAAGTGTCACAATCATTTTTTTTTTTATTGTTACAATCTTTTTATTGTCACTCCCATCAAAGCTGTACACTGATAACTGGGATTGTGCATTATTCTGCATTATAGTTTTGTATGTACTGTACATTTGCTGTAAACAGTTCAAATAATCTCTTCATTTTCATTACGGAATTATGTTATCCCGTATACAGTGTAGTCTATTTCTATGTATGAAAGTGCTATTTCTGTAATAAATCTAGAAAAATCTGTTTGTCTTTCTCTTGAAACAAATGCATTTAATAGTTTGACCAATGTCGATCATTTCTAGAGCCATTTTTTGCATTAATCAGAGTAAAATACGCTGAGGCCATTTTCTTTCCCATTTGCTTTTTCGGCTCCTAGAAGTTTGATGGGTCTTAATGCCGTTCTTCAGCAATCTCTGAGCTGTGACATATCTGAGGGTTGCTTCAGCTGCTGATAAACAAAAACATCCTCACTGCGTGTCGTGGCCTCTGCCATGCTACGCATGCTACACTCAGGAGTTGTGTTCTAAGGCTACGGAGTGGTAATGTGTTTCCCTTGATGGCCAAAAGAATTAATCTGACATAAGGACTTTCCTCCATATCAATGACAAGTCTCCCACGTGCCTTCTGGTGATTTTTTTTCTTTCATGAGCAATAGCTTTTCCAGACAGCTCTCCCATAAAGATCAGATCTTTGGAGTGTACTGATTAGAGTAGACTTACACATGCCAGGGAGTTGAACAGACAAAAAGAATAACAGTCAAATGAAGTCTCATCTCGACTAGCTGTGGCTACATACTTAACACTTCCGTTCCTCTTTTTTTTTTTTTTTGTGCTTGCCAGATCTGTAAACACAAAAGTAAAGTCAATAAATCAAATGCAACTCAATCAGAAAAAGGGAATCCAGAACAAACAGCATGGGTATATGAATTAATGAAATTAGATAAAATGCAAAGGCAGATTTTTTTGTGGTGCTTGTTGTACACTTTGAGATTTCAGGTGTTTTAAATTTTTTCTCCTGGTCCCTGTATGGCCACCCCCAGCTCATTTTAGAGGCTTTTAATTAAATCCTGCTAAATACAGCATCAGGCAGAATGTAACCCTAGAAACAGTCTGCTGTTGCAATCAGCTGTTGCTATGGTTACACTGTATAGTCATTTTATGGGGTGCCACACCTACAGCTCTGCCACAGGACACTGTCCCTCTAAACGTGTTTTCACTTACTCTGAAATGATTAACACGATGTGGGTCTGTAGCAGAGTGATTTGTGCGTTTACAAGTTTATGGTCGTCCATAAATCGCATTACTGATAATTTACACTAGTTTGCGCAAACTCTTAGGGTGTCACATACTGAAGGAGAATGTTTTGATAAGTAATATTACCGGCCCATATAAGAAGGCGCTGATCAGGACTATGCACAGGCTTGGGTGGCCTCATCTTACTGATGAGATAAAGTGGAATATTCAAGTGTGAAACACAAAGGAGACTTTAGAAAACACCAGCATTGCCCAATTATTATTAACTATGTGCCTTGTGTTTTGCTTAATCCTTGAGTCATTTATTCACGTTTCTTTAGTTCATTTTGAACAGGTCACTGAAGGCATCTTATGACATTTGATCTCATTATCAGAATTAAAAGCACTTTCATAAGTGCTGTAAGTATGTTATTACTATATTTAACATCCAGTTTTGTTTCTATTCATGAACAGATCAATACATAGTCTATGGTTTTCTGCGTCTGAAGGTTAGGGTTTGATGTGTGCTGTGTGTATGTATAATAACTAAGTGGGGGCACCTACAGCAAGCAGAAGGTATGACATGATATCAGTATCTGTCAATGTTTGCTCTTCAAAATGTTTTAAAAAGTGTGTCTCAGATGTTTGCTGAAAAATAAGGAAAAAAAGCAAAAAAAGTGAGACATCCTAAAAATAAAAAAGAGATAACATATCTTAGCTTGGATTAACAGGATGTAACTCACGAAGTGGCAAAATTTGCGAGAACACAGCCATGGATGCTTCCTCCATGGGCTCCTCATGCATGGACAGAAAGCCAGAAAGCTGACGCTGGATGACTCCCAGGAACACTCGGTCTGATATAAATCTTATTTAAGCCGTTCAGTTCCTTTGACATTTGCTAATAATCATTTAACATGAACAAGGTGTTAAATCAAATATGCTTTTGTCCTGTGGTGTTCACTACATATTCTTCATTGGTTTCCAGATCTGTGTGTATGTAAAATGCTAATTCTACACCAATTACTGAAAATGAATTTGAGCGGTTCACAGCACTGTTGAGGTGCGACATCTTATTTTAGTACGAATAAAAGGAAACCTTTGTATCTAAGTTAGAAGTCAAAGTTAATTCCTCATTTGCTACAAAGGAGAATAACAGTCTAAAGTAAGGATCATCCTGGAAAAAGATCTCTCATCTTTTTCTTTATTCTACATCATTTGTAGATGTAAGAAAATATTTAATCTAATTAAATTTAAGGACAAACATCATTACCTGCCCACCCTTTATGAAAAGTCCATGCAATCTTGCTATTTTGTTCTTCACTTTTATAAGATCTCATAGTAGTGGTCTTTGGAAACACAAGACTATGCCATCACTTCTTTTCTTACACATCTTCTCTTCAGCTTTACTGTAAAATGTCGACAGGGCAGGTGTGTTAGGGGACATGGTCATTTGTTACGAAGACAGACCTTAGAAAGCTTGGACTTTAAGCAGAGACTTAACAAACACTGGATAACATAATATTCATGATGGGAGAAAAGATCCCGAAATGCAACAAATATGCTGCTTAGAGGTGAGTTCAGGTGCCTCCGTTAGTGTACGATCGATTGTGCAATTAATAGGTTAATCCACTGTCCAATAAAAAAATATTACAGGTGTTGGTGTACATGCTGAAAAGAAATATTAATCCAAGAAGCTGATATGCTTGCTCTTTATTGATTAAAAACAATCAAGAGAAACATGCTTTGAACTCCAAAATGAAAAAAAAGAGCTAATGGATGATTGGAAAAAAGGGAACAGGTGGAAAATTAAATGAATGTGTTACAGCCTTGATTCCTTATTGCCTGGAGAAACATGTCTTTGCTCCGGTCATCTGTTTAGTTGCTACAGTTTTATGAGACTGCCAAAGCGGGACAGAGGAGAATGCTGAAGGAGGGATGAGAACAAAATCAATAGATCTTCATCTCTGTTAAAACTCGGCCTGACGCACACACACTTCTCTCTCAGATCTCACACACACACACACACACACTGATCCTTGTCCTGCCAGCTGTCAGGACAGGTTTGGACAATGGCACCGAAGACTGCAGTTTGATGAAACTGAAAAGTGACATCAAACTATTGGCCGACTTTGTTGCTTCCACATCAGGGAGAGCACTGGTGTATATTTATTTGGGGTTTCTTCGCTCCATTTCAAACACACTGAAGGTCTGAATAAAAAGCTCAAAGTAACAGGAAAAAAAAAACCTCAAGAGTACACTTGGTCATTTTTTAAGGCTCGAGTAATTCATCGTCCTAATCCAGACACAAAGCTTTCCTCTGGACATTTCATCAGCAAGGGAAAAAAATGCATTTAGTTTAGTTTTATATGGCAACGGGATGGTCACAACACCAAATTAAAAATACTAAAACCTTGCTGGCTTTTCGTGTCTGCACACTGAAACAGTCTGGTGGATCAACCTTCATCATCATCGGACTGTGTCTTAATGTGGGTTAAAGCACAAAAACATCCAGACAGCAGATGTGCAACATCTGTACCGATAAGCCCAGATCTTCTTCTGGGTTCAGTGGAATCAAACGGTTGCAATTGCACAACTTAAGAATGTCAAAGCAGCTGCGTGAGCTCAGGTGTTGGTGGGAAGGTCAGGAAACGGTCAGCAGGCTCCACTTGGAGTCTTCTTTATGAGAGGTGGAGGCTTTTTGGGGGGAAAACTCAACAGTGCACGAGGACAGCGGTGACTCCAAGGTAAGTTACAAACAAACTCCTCAAAGGCAAAAATATCAACAGCTGAAGGTTTCTGAAGCAGGAAGGCAAAACGAGCATCAATTTGCGACAAAGTCAGCAGCAGCGCGTCTTGGGAAAATGAGGGGATTCGTCTCACTCCGAGCCACCGTCGAGTCATGAGGCGGGAAAAGAAAGGCAGAGTGCAACACAGTAGAAAAACAAATCAAAGCCAAACGCCATTATTTACACACTAAAGCTGAAATCAAGTCCTTTTTTTTTCTCATCCACATAAACAAATATGCACTTAAGTCTTACTTTTTCTTAAAGAATCTTTGAAACCGATTGGAAACAGACACAAACTAATACCAGACAGATAAAAAAAACGTGGTGGCAGCTGTCACAAAAAAAAAATGAAAAAATAACTTTTTACTTCAGTAAATAATCACAAGAAGGTAGATTTGGCAGAAAAATGCAACCAGATTTTCATTCTGATCTCATTTGACAGGAAATTTGGAATTTTACTAAAGGGCGGAGTCACTAAAATTAGGTTAGAACTATTTTGGAATATTCTTGAGTTAATGTTTTGCCATTTTATTGTCAACAAATCCCATGACAAAGACCAACAACTAATGATCAAATCCTGTCTGCACACCCACTGATAGCTATTAAAATTTTTGCTGATCCGATTGTACCTCAGTCTCCAAAGTAAATCTGCAACCTTCACTGAGACGAACAAACCCCTGTGGTTCAGTTTGAGTCAGCCTACGAATCCACTGCTGAAAATAGTCCCCTGCACACGCAGCATCTGTGTGCATCTGATGAAAAATGATCACATCCCTTAAAATGACACAATGCATTTTATTAGGAACAAATTGGTTTTTCTGGCCTAAAGATCAAAGAATGACAAACTTTGCTGGTTTCGATCCTTTCATGGGATTTGCCGATATAAACAAACCTCGCATTGAAGATAAAGAAACACACACCAAATAAGAAATACAGTAATCTGGCATTACTTGATGGAGATATATTTGAGCTCAAGGGTACGTGCAGCCCACCTTCTTTAAAGATGAAGTAAAAAGTTTGACACTGGCACCTGGAGCCACATTTGTGCAACTGGGAAAACATAATGCTCCATATGGTCACTGGGGCTGTCCCCCGGAAACGTGCATTCAGTAGTTCTGATGAAAATAAGGCATTGTTACACTTATCAGGGTTCGAGGGCATTAGTTCAGATTGTGCAAATGCATCACATATTAGAGAGAAACAGAAGGAGGGGGATCAGAACGGTGAATGGAGACGGTTTGTAGCAGATGCTTGCATCCTTCTATGTATACACTGTAAACTTTTTTCTCGAGTGATTCTCTCACTGCAGGTTCTGTTACTTCAGCTGACCGCCCGATTCAACGAGGCGGTATTTCATAATCCTATGGGTGGCAAAACGGTACTCTTTTCTTTGGCAGTAGTGGTTTCTTTACAGCCATTGAAAGAAAAAAAAAATGCTTTAAACGATTTCTTTTTTTTATTATTTTCACATTTTTTAGGCAAGTCACGGTCCCAGGTAGAAGAACGGTTTAACTGATGCTGAGCTGAGCAAAGCCCATCAACTTGACATCATCTGATATTTCAGACGCCTCGATTCCAGAAGCCTGTCAACAGAAAATGGTTCAAAATGTTAAAATCCCGATTTGGGATATTAGTGAATCAATAACTACATGAGTTATTCTAAAAAAAAACAACCTGTTATAAGATAGAAATGACAGTTAAACGCTGGTTTTAAAGGCAAGCTCGGAAGGGCCTGTGAAAAGCATCAGACTCACCAGTTTGAAAGTGACATTTTTATTGGCTTGAGGCTCGTCGACTATTTTCTGCAAATTGGCAGCAACTGGAAGGAGAAATGATGATTCAGTTCCTTGAAAAACAAAACAAAATCCTTTCCCAAACAACACTGACCATCTTTTTAGTGCAGCTATTTATCATAAATGTCACAGAAACTTTGTGATGGTGTTTTAACAAACTCACTATCTTACAAGTTCATTTTGTGTTTTTCTTATTATTTTGAGATGCAAGGCATTTTATGGTCACATTTGCTTAAAGGCATTAGATGATACAATTATTCTTCGCCATCATGTTCAAACGCTGTAAAGTGGTTCTTCTAAAACTGCCTCATCCCTGCAGACACAGCTGTTCAGAGGCCAAAGATCCTAAAGAATTCCTCAAAGGTCAGAGACCTGGAAATCGAGCAAAGCACCACTGACCTATTACCAAGTCCCTCCCGTCCACCAGGCCTGCTGACACCAGCTCCTGGGACACCCCATCTGCTGTGTCTGGGAGACAAAGACAAGAGAAAACAATCGTAAAAGACAGAATAAACGGGTGCAATTTCATATTCTTAAATATTATACATATGCACAAATATTTGGGGTTATAAAAAAAAAAAAAAATCTAAACCGCATGCAGTTTTGATCAGCGCTTTCAGACCTTTGGGTACGTGCTCACTGTGTGTTCTTTAGTACAAAGCCAGTTCGCAGAATGAGGTAAAACAAAATGTTCACCTGTGCCCTCCTTTTTCTGATTGCCTGTGAACTGCTCACTATCAACTATCCCACTAAAAGGCCGTAGCTGTGCTGATGCGTGTGTGAATTCTACATTTTATACAGGAAAAAAGCAATAACTGATCATTCAGAATTCCCAACGCAAAGGCAGAACCGGAGCAAAGGGCCTGGCGTCTCTCAGGGCCACTCACCTCTCCCCGGCATGAATTCAAAGCGGATGTCATTAAGCTCTTTCTTTGAATTTCTGAGGGCACAAAGGGAGGAAAGAAATGAATGCAAATGAGGTGTAACATCGATTCGTCAGAACACCAAACAAATCATCTTGAGATTCTTAATAACATACCTTAACCTTAATACCAAACTAATGGGAGATGTAACGTCGCTGGAGGCAGCTGGAATCTGTCAAAACAAAGTCAGGCTTAAACTCTTTTTGTTTATCATTTTGCTACAAGATAAATAAAAATAAGCACATGGTGGGAAGTGAGTGGGGGGGTGGGCAGACTTACCTGGGTGAGAGCAGCGGCGGCGGGGGCAGTGCTGGCTGGAGTGGGCTGCAGGGGAACCTGGCCTGCAGCCTGAGGTAGTTCAGCCGGGCCGGAGGCCGGCGGCGGGGGTTGACTACTTAAAGGCTCAGGAGTCTGGAAAATCTGAAAGCAGAAACAGGTTGCTTAGTTCACCTTTCAGCAACGAGTCCAAACGTTAAGACTTTATTCCGTCCCTATTTTAAAAAGAAACTCCATCAACTAGCTCACCTCTGAGTTCTGGGATCCCTCCTTTACTCTTGGAGACTGTTGGCGGAGCACAAAAGAAGAGACGGTCAAAAACAGAACCTCACTGTGATGCTTACGCAAAGCATAATGACACGCTTTGGTGCAAAGAACATGGGATTAAAAAGCTTCACTCGTTTACTTCCCTCTAATTTTATCTATCCGAGTAAAGAAGGGAGTGAAACAGCGAAACCTGGTGCTGGTAACAGGAAGCTCGGGGGGCTTCTTTCTCTGTTGCTTCTGGCTGTATGAAAGCCACCCCCAGCAATGATGCAAATGAATGAGTAGATCTAATGTAAAAAAATGACCACATATTGCTGGAATTATACAGTTATGTGGTTAAGAATTGGAAGTGAATTAAGAGACTGAATTAGCAGGTAAAAATAATCTACAAAAGTGTTTGTTGGTATGATTTTTTTAATTCAATTTGTAAACACCGATAAGCCACAACATCAAAATCACATAAAGGTTGTTGTGGCTGATCAGGACTGGTGATAGGATGAACAGCAGAGCACGATGGAGATGTAAACGAGTGACAGCACACAGCACACAGCTTCGGTTTTTAGTAGGAAAAGCAGAAAAGCATTATCAGTGCAATACAAAATCAGCTGGAGGTCTCACGAGTCAATCGGATGGACTGAGAAGAGAAACAAGCCGAGTTTGATCCGAGTCCAGAGAAGGCAGAGACAAACGGAGCAGAACGGAGCAGAACTGCAGGCTAGATGAAGACAAACTGACATGACAGAGAATAAGCCGTGGCATCTGGGCAGATGTGAGGAATCTCTGTGGAGTCTGACGCCTGACTCATCACGGGAGAGCATCCATTCAGTCTGTGCTAATCTCTACAGCACAGACAGTGTGCAGACGCTCCGCTAGGCTCCTCTGAGCAGCAGCTTTCATTTCAGAGATTTTCACACTGATAGACAAAACATGACAAACTGAAGCTACTGAACATCGGCTCACAGAAATTTGGAAACGTGATGTAGACCTTACGTCTCAGTTTGCCTGCATGCAGCCCGTTGAAAAGCAGCATGAACAAAAGTGAGAAATTCTAATTTTGACTCCTTGATCATAACAAAATGGAAAATCATTTCAAAGCTGATAAGTAGACTGCCTTGTTTTCATTAATGCATTTGGTCAGTACAGAAAGGTGAGTTAGACAGAGGAACGGAAATACAGATGGCTTCCAGGAAAGTTAACTCTCAGGAGAAAACAATCATCCTCTTCTACATTCAAGTGTCGGAGTTCTGACCGAACTTGGACTTTTATGGGGACCCCACTGCCTGATGGTTCGGTGAAACCACAAACTTTTCTCAACTTAAAAAGAATCAGTCTTTAAAGAGACATCTGCTGTACAAACTCATTCATCCTGTCATAGATGATTTGTGGGTCACGATTCGGTCGCATGCAGAGTGCTGCGCTGACATTTTTCTACGCAAATTAAGCTGTAAATCTCTCCTTCTGACAGCCCTGTTGCGTAATCATTAGTCCTCCTCAGTTAGTGGTAAGGTGTGAAAAGCGAAAAATTAATAAATAAATAAAATCTATCTGGTAAATAGGAGGAAAAAAATCGAATCTATATTCCAACAGATTCTTTAACACGACGGCCGACGGTTCTTTTGTCGTCCCGCTCCCTGACCACTGACCGGCTAACTGCCTCTCTGTTCCCCCCAGCTGTCTCTGGCCCCTGGCTAACGTATGAGAGTCCTTCCTTGTTAAGGGAATGCCATCTGTATTTTGGTGGCAAGTGAACAACCCTGGGTGCAGGCAGCTCGAGTGGGTAGGAGAAGCGCACTTGTCGCCTGGGGGCACTAACAGGCTTCCCCTGCTGCTCCTTGGCCGTCAGACAGAACATACACACACAGGGGGAGACTCAGTGGAGAGACAATGGACAAACATGCTACTGCACAGACACGAGAATGACATTTTAAACACGGTGCAGCCACTGGGAGACGTGACAGTGTGAGTGTCAGCGTGGGCCCGGGAGGACCCCACGGCCAGCCTGCTCTCACCCTCAGAGCTGCCACGGCCGCCCTGCCCTCCTCGCTCTCCTCGTCCAGCTCGTCGTCGCTCCATTCCCACTCGCCGTCCTCCGTTTTATGCAGCCGGCCACTGGAGCCTGGCACCCGACGTACCTGGGGGCACATGGGAGTGACACAGCTCAGCCCACCTCCCCGTGGCTGCGATCATTCAGTGGATTCGAACCTCCGCCGTCCTACCTTTTTTGATCTCTCTGTTATTGTGGGCGCCCTCTGAAGTAGCTTCTCATGTAAGAACTCATGGGTCTGTCGCGAGAGGAACACAAACGGGCGTCATTCCCAATCCTTTGCAACTATTAATTGTGTTTCCAATTAAGCTCTCCATTTTCAAGAAGTATGAGCCTGCATGAGCTGTACTGAGGCCCATCATCCCTTTGGCTGCCTGTCAGATTCAGCACTCAGCTCAGTAGGATTTTTTTTAATAGGGCTTCACGTTATCAGATCAAGGGCAAACATTCGTGTAAAAATTGTGGTGACCACACTATTGAAAGGTAACACTCTCCCTTGGAATGTCTGGTCAGCAAACCTTTTCATGTTTTTCTCACAATTTGTTTTGTTTCTGTGTCTCTATCTTGTCATTCAACCATTCTTGCTGTGAAAAGCTAGCATCAAGAATTCCATTTGGTTATGTGTACATTATATAAACAATGATATGGTAAATGCCAGGTATTTAAATCCCTTAATGCTGGCTGATAGGAGCCTAAAGGTTTCCATTTTCAAATGATAACAAAGCCTGCCACCTGCAGTTATTTCCAAATGTTGCAGTCGTCGGGGCCGAGCCTCAGATTTGCTGAGCGTGCACTCTTGTTGCTCCTGTTGCTATGGTACTGGGCAGCCAGAGGCTGGTGGCAGACTGCTTATCCCTGTCTTTGTTAGGAGCAGCTCTGCATGCTCGTTAATGAGGGCTGACCTCAGCTTAGGTCAGAAACACTGACACTCTCAGGGTTTCATCTTTTCCACTTAATTCTACAGCGCGCTGCTCTTCAGTTCATTGGAAAGTCTGCTCCCTGAATAAACAGTTTTAATTAGGGCACGGAACTTTGCTCGTCGGCTGCGGCCAAAAACAGGGATGATGCTGACTCAGTGTGCGGCCCACTCAGGGTAAAGTCCAGAGGGGCTTTAAACACCTACCCTTGCTTTCTGAAAGAATTTATGCTTCAACAGCTCTGAGGAGGTTGGCCTGGAAAAGAGCACAATGACAATGAACACTGACACTGGTAGTTATTGTGAAGAAAGAATCTGTGCTGCTGGTGAACTGATGGCAACCCCACGCGCTGTGCACCTTTTCTCGGGCTCTTTCTGTAGACACAAGGAGATCATCTTCCTGAAGGACTTGCCATACTTTTTGAGCATCTCCTTGTCCGTGATGCCGGTCTCCAGAGACGGTGGGTCATTCTGCAGCGTCAGCATCAGAACCTGCACACACCAGATTGCTAAAGATTGCTTTGTTCAAGAGTCATTGATCAATTGATCAATCGCAGTCACAATTTTTCTTTTCCTCTGGGTTTCTGTACCTTCATTGGTGGATATTTGTGATAAGGCGCCGCTCCTGTCGCAAGCTCTATGGCCGTGATCCCAAAACTCCATATATCTGCTTTAAAATCATAACCCCTCACCTAGTGGAAGGGGGAGATGCATATTAATCAAATACTACTTTTTCCATTTCTTGCAAGCCTTTTTGAGATTTTTTCTTTACAGCTTTTACAGGCTGAGTTTGAAGAAGTGCGCAAACAACACAGATTTGTAAACTCAAGGAACGTGCGATCGGTAACAGGAAGCTTTTTAGGCCGGAAAGGACTGACCTGCTCCATGACCTCTGGGGCCATCCAGCATGGCGTTCCCACAAATGTCTTGCGCACTTTGTTCCGGGTCATGTCGCCTCCTGTGGCTAGAAAGGCACTGACGCCAAAGTCTGGGGAAGTGAAAACGAGACAAAAGACTAAAGACTCGACTCAAAGACTAAAAGCAGAGAATTGCCAGCAGAAAAATTTGAATATCCACTTCTTTACACCTGATTTTTAGCACAAATACCTGCAATTTGCACTGATCCATCGTCTCCGAGGAGAATGTTTCCGGCTTTAAGATCTCTGTAAAATGCACAAAGTTCTGATGAAAATGAGCCGTTAATATTCATTCCTCGTAAAACAAAAATAATCAAAAATTTTCACCACTAATTTCTACTCGGGCTTTATTACCAATGTACAATCTGTAGTTAATTTGTACCTCACCGCTCGCCTGCCCTGGTGGTAATAAGAGGATTCAACAGGGACAGCTGTCTGACTGACACACACACACACACACACACACACACGGGCATACTGCCATCTCGCTAGCCAGGCAGAGTTGTCATAGCAACAGACTTTCGCAGACAGAGATGAAGGGTCAAGAGAAACTTGAGGACACAAACGTGAGGACAGCAGCGGTGTCACAGAGGAAGCCTCGCACCGTTTCGCTGTCTTCCCAAACTCCCAAATAGTGAGTGAATGCAGCACAGGATGAGGAGCTCAAAGCTCAGACCCTACTAACCGCTACAGGCCCCCGAGCGGCATTCAGGAGACTCGGTGTGCACAAATTAATCTCTGACAGGTCTTAAAACTTAATGTCAGGCGGTGAAATAAACCATGAAATGAAGTCTAAACCTGCTCCTGCCACACGGGGGCAATGAAACAAAGGTCTGCTGCTTCAGGGGAAAGATAAACGCTCCTGGGTCATTTCAGCAAACAGAGTAAAAAGAAAAGACTGAAAAACGTAAAGAAAGAGAGATAGAAAAAAGAAGGAAAGATAGGAACACGCGACCTTTGGAAGATCGGTTTGGAGATGAGACACAACATGTTTTTAAAGGAACAAAGGCTCCTTTTCGTGAGCATGTAATTAAATTCAAACAGACTATAAAAGGCAAACCACACATCAGGTTAAGGAGGACTGAATGATGCAGCCACTGCTGGGGTGGTTGGGAGAAAAAAAACCGCTAAAACTTCAAATACAATTAAAAACATGTGTGGCTCAAAGAGGTTACTTTTTTTTTTTCCTCCTGAAGTCTCATTTAGCAACAAGTTAAGAGCCCAGCCTTCACAAGGAGACTGCTGGAGACACATAATCTGCTAAAGGGGCTGAAATGTTTGCAGACAACAGATCGGGTCCTTGTTAAAGTGCTGATGCACACTCGTGTGAAGAGGCCACTTTGGCTGAGAAATGCTCCAGTAATTTACACAGTCAACACGGCCAGGGCAGGAAGAGGCAAACGGTTGGTTCTGCAGAGCTGAGGCCAGTATACGTGTCAAGTAAGGAGCACGGGCTGAAGGAAAGACGTGGGGGTTCCCACTGCACTGCACAGGATATCATCAAAACATTTTTAAAAAGCAGGTTGTCAGTAATCAGCGCAGACAGAAACAGCTGTTGGTGTGACTTATATGGGAAAACTTTGATGTCCACGCATGCCGAGACGAGTCTAATTACACTACTGTCACACACAGGATGATTCAGAGGGAGGGAAGTGGGGGATGAAAAACAAATAAGACATCCATTTCCAATAAATTGTCCAACCGCGTGCAGAAATGATGTCTGAACATCTCTGTGACGTGTTCTGCCGTCTGTGGCTGCTGCACAGCTAATAGGATTTTACGCGTGCAGCTTGGTGTAACAGAACATGCTCTTCCCCTGCCTATGCTAGCATGTACCAGAGGAACCGTTTACATCAGGTCATTTGAGATGTTGCTTTTTAGGGACTGTAGGGGAGGAGGCGAATTGGGCCACTTGGGGCCGGAATGGAAATTAAGGGGGTATCTCAAAATAGGTCCCCTTGTTTTCCTCCTCATGTCGTCTGCTGATTGGGATTCACTGCACAGCTTGGACTGATGATGTACAGTGAGCTCGCTAGGAGCCAATTAAAAAGCCCCTTCTGCAAATGTGTCATCTGACAATATGAGTAGAAAGGAAAAATAAGTAGCTTTAGGAACATTAGAGCAGCGTGTCAGGCGCTATATAGACTAAATGGACTGTACTTATGAAGTGCTTTCCACTACATGCCACTCACCCATTTACACACACAGACACACACACACACACACACCGCTCAGTAACGTGGGGGTTCAGTGTCTTGCCCAAGGTCTTTTCTACATGTGGCCCCGGGGAACAGAGTCCACTGCTCTCTCCTCCTGAGCTCCAGCCTCATATTGGAGGGTCAGCGTTTGTGTTCCTGATTCAACGATAGATGAAAGGCTTGTGAAGACACCCGATGATTTATGTTTTTTTTTAAGCGTATTTAAATCAACCACAAGGCCAATCAGAATATAAACTGTCTAACGCTTGAGATTAATCAAGTTAACGGCCAAAAAACATTTGTTTCAGCACAAATGGTGGTATGAAAATGGTTCTTCACAGCTGTTCGGTTCCTGTTCTGCATACAAAACCGCAGAAGAACTTCAATGATCTAACTTATATGGATGTTTGGGGCTGAAAGGTTCCCTGTGACTCATTCGCTCTATTTTTTTGTGAGCGTATGTACCGACTATGTTAACTTCAAGGTTTTCCATCTCAGTGTGATACCGACAGTCAGCAGCCAGTTTTTTGGTTCGACTGTGAAGTGGAAGGCAATCCAGCAACACCTCTGCTGGAACTTCTGCTCTTGTGGCGCTTCTGCATCAACCCACTGAGCTGCTGCTCTGTAGTTTCTGAGACTTTGTCTTTTGTAGATGTCTATGTTTATGCAGAGGTTTTTCTCCCACAACTACACAAAAATAACCACATTTATCAAGGCCCACATGAGGTTTTACCTTCTTGTTCCAGAAGACTGCAATCTTAATAGGTGGCCACACTTGGGAGGTGTTGGAAATCATCTATTGAGGGTTTTTTTTGTTATTTGAGAAAGGAGAGTTTTTTTAATCTTTTTCACCAACACTGGGAAAACAATCTTGCCTGTGAACCTGGAGATCAGGATTACAAAAACAGTTCCATTGAACCGTTATTCAAAACTGTTTAAAAGGAGAGCTGCTTTCATTCCACTTTTAAAAGGGGATCTTAATAATTGTTCCTCTAGTCTTGTTTCAGTTGCTTGAGACAGGAGCCTTATGGCACTGAATAGATGAATATGTCAAAGACTTTAACAAAAATTTATTTCACTGAGAAAAATAAAGAATTGACTGAAACCTCATGTTTCTATGTCTGTTTTTCTCTATTCAGTTTGAAAAAGACCCTCAAAATTTTAGACACATTTTCTATTTTATGGAGTAACTAGGTGTGGATTTCTCCTATTTAACGACCTTCTAATCAACCACAGTCTTCAGCGTACCTTTGGTCAATTGCGCAGGTAATACCCAATTCCACAAAAAGAATTTAAATCGAATTAGTAGTAAAAAGCTGTTTTATGCAACTACAGTGCAGACACAATTTTGAAATAGTCTCCACAGCAAATATTCATCTAGCTGCCGATACTTTTCAGCCAACCCTGCACCCTCTGCACTCTTTCAACAACTGTGGAGGCCATGGATCACTGCAGCGGATTGCAATGTTCTGGGAACAAGGCTGCAGAGTGAAGACAGTCATTAACATTCACGGGAGAGGAAGAGGAGGAGGGGGCACAATGCACCATGCAAGTTCAAAGAAAAACTGTTGCAGATGGGAAGGAAAAAATATCCTTGTCCCGACTCCCTGTACTTTTCCTGCTATGTTACCAAAGCGCTGGGCTCACGTTTACGTGAGCCCAGACGTGATAAGCCAAATTAAATTAAATACAATGTGACCAGAAACTAAAAGTTGTTCTGCAAAAGGCACTGAAAAACAGAAAACTACTAAACAGGATATGTGAGGCTTCTCATATTTATGACGTAGTAAAATAATGGCCGGCTAGTGGCCAGGTGGGAATAGCCGACTTATGAAACTGTCAGGGAGATTTATCCTTCTCATCTGGCAGTCGTGCACCTTGCAGCTCCACCGGGTCACCTCCTAAGACATAACATCCTGGTGCCAGGCTCACCGTGTCCCTAACAGGATTGTAAAAATGGGTTTATTAGATGCCTTGTGGGTCTCCTATGAGGATCAAATACATTTTCCAACCTCCTTTCTTTTAAGAGAACCTCTTTGACCATAAAATTACCGTCCGCTTGTAATTATATTTTGATATCTTTTTCCATAGTGCTGCATTTAATTGTCACGTCTTCCTCTTTAGTTGTTGTGTTTTCTATTGGGACAGCTTTCCTCAAATGCACTAGAAGCATTTCTGCTCACAGACACAGCCTTCTCCTAACAAGTACATCAAACAAGAACCCTGGATGCTGACTTTCTTCGATGCAGCAGATGGATGTGATTTTGATCATGTGTATTATCTACCTGCTGTTAAAGTTGGAAGACGAGTGTCTCCTTCAAATCACGACTTTCCAAGCGGCTGTGAATAAGGAGGAGGGACAGTTGGTCATCATGTGGGGAATGTCTCTGGTTAAGTCTACAGATCAGGTCATCTCACTAATTACTTTTCTGCCATCCCGTGTTGGATGTAACACAGCATGTGACACGGAGCATCTGCCCCCGGTCTCTTTCCTCAGCCCTGCCCATGAGGCTCGTCTCATATGACCAGGCTTACACATGGGGCCCTGCACGTAGCAGCAGACCGTTGACAGTGGCCTCTCCTCTCAGTGGGTCAGGGATTTTCAGAGCTGGGAGATGACCTCATATTTCCTTTCTAACAAATCACAACCGACATTCCGACACAAAGCGATCCAGTGGAGTAATGATCTAATGATGCTTCTCTGAGGTCTCCATAAGGAAAAAAAGAAAAACCAATCAAACAATCAATAAAGAAACTGAATCCTTGTGTCTTAGGTTCAAGCTGATCACTGAGGGTTCCTGTGGAACATTTGCCGTTACCCTGTAAAGATCCCACTGACCTATGCAAGCAAAAGTGGCCGTCTGAAAATACGTGCCACCGTACACCGATCACCTATAACATTTCCACTACCGGCAGCACTGCTTACATGTTTACAGTGCTGGTGTCTGCAGCCCGGCATTCACATCGAGTAAGAAAATGTTTAGGATGTTGACAGACATGGGAATTTTTTCCTTCCAGATTATGAGTCAACTGAAAACTGGGGCTTTTGGTTGCCGACGTCAGGCTGTGTGTGAGAATCTTCGTGGAGTGACGTGAGAGGAAAAACAACTGGGATGTGGTGTCAGAAAAGCAGAATCTTACGGTCTATATACACTAAAGCACCTTTATCGTGTAAAGTATTAGCATTTGTACCCTGTGCACGTACAGTTAGCGGCCACACTGGATCAGTACTGCTCCGATTGCCTTTTCCTATTCTAAATGTAGGGATGTTTTCTTGTAAACAGTACAGCGGGGAGGCGTTTCCTCTTTGGGAATGTGAAGGGGGAAACCTCGTTTTTCTGACTTTGATGGGATCTAATCAGCTCCATCTCTGGGAAGAAAACTCAAATGTGAAAACCCTCCCCTCAACCCACAGGGCCCAAAAGATTTATTGCTGACGTCCCAGAACAAAACACTCCAGGAGCTCTTAGATGTTCTTTGTCCGTGGCCTGACTACTTAGAGGTCTTTTGGCAGCATAAAGAGGAGCTTCTTCATATCATGACCGTTCAGAGTTTGTTGTGCTTAAGAACCAGATTAAAACCACAAGTTAAACCTCACAGTCAGTAGGAGACTTTTCTCCTACAGGATCATGTGAACAGAACATATCTGATAATAAATGTTGGTGATTAGTCAACATAATGTATGGCTATGGAGCATGATAAGCAGCTCCCTACAATAATGAGGCTTCCAGCTGTGGTCCAAAAGCTTCCAAAGCTTCTCCCAGCAGATATCACACCAAAGCCTCTATGAAACAGCTCGAGAGATCTCTTTAAACAGATGTCTCTGCCTGTGTTTGAAGACATCTCCATCCAGACTAACTATCCCCGTAAACGCTGAATTGGTCATGCTGAGCCAGTAGGTGGTGATAACGTCTACATTACAGACACATTAAAGCAGAGCAGAAGAACACTGTGAGCATGCGCAGTGAGCTTCTGAGCCACAGCGGGGCTTTGTGCACAGGCACAACCGAAAGGCAAACGCCACACAGAGCTGTTACTCAAACATGTTGTCAGCACACAGGGATGAAAATTAAGAAACTATATTCCTGTTCAGCTTCCCAGTATATGCTCATTATACTAAGCAGCAGTAAGAATGTGCAAAGAGAGCTGGGAGAGAAGAAAAAAAAAGGGAAAAAAAGACACATTTGTTCCACCAGGAGGGACAGCAAAACACGAGAAGAGGAAACAGTGGGAGCCAGGATGTTCAAACAGGGAGCTGATGGTGTAACAATGAGCTTTGTTTTTTTTTGTTTTTTTTGTGAGTGGGGCGGGGGGTGGGGGGGGGGCTCAGAGCAGCTGCGTGATGAGGAGCTGGCTGGAGTGAATGGCTGCCTTACATATAAAATAATAGAGGCGGTTGCTCTGCAGTGTGTTTTGACCTTTAGGAAATTAATGAACACAAAGAGAGTGGCCAAGTTTTTCCATAAGTACGTCTCATTGAGCTTAAGTATCAGAATTAATCCTGTGTATCACAAACATAAAATTATATTAGTTACATGGAAATATTCCATTACTAATCAGAAATGCTAATTTATTCCTAAATAATCTGAAACTGTGGTTTGAAACTTAGCGGGAAAGCAGCAGAGAGGAGAAAGTCAGGTGGGTCATGTGTACTTAATAGTGGTGAAGCCTCTGTGTTAGATTTCTGACTGTTCCAGTAACGCGACCAGCCTACCTGTGGATCTGTCCGTTCCTGTGTAGGTACTCCAAGCCCTCAAGCACATCTTTTAAGACTGTGGCTATACTGGGCTCGTCCAGGACGCCGGTCTTGTGCTCACCCCGTGAGATGATATGCTTGATCACGTCCAGCACTGAACCTGGCAAACACACAAACCCGCATGCTTGTTAAGAAAAAAAAAGCCAAACTGAGAAGGTCAGGCTTATTTTTCATTCTTTGCTGAAAACACAGAAATGTCAGAGAGCCAAGACAACGATCCAGCAATCAACATCTTAGAGAAGTATGGAATCGTGACATTTGTAGTACTGCACTGTAAATGTATGCCATTTAAGAAATTCAAAGTGTAAATAAAATAAAATGAGCTTCATTGTATGAATGAATGGCTTGTTAGCTTGTTATCATATTGTGAGCAAACATGGACTCTATATCTGTTATTCCATAATCATATAGGATAATTCACGTGATTTAAAAGTGGCACAAATCTGACCCGTGACTGGGTGAGGACTGCGTATAAAACAGGTGAGTGGGGCAACATTTGTGCCCATTTGTCTGCTGCCTTTGTCCTCACAGAATAGGGAGCCGCTGTGGCTCCACGAACTGACCTGGCCTGTTCAGGGCCAAAGAGACAAATCACCATGTCTCCCCCATCCTGGCTCCCGCCGCATAAAGGAGCCCTCTGGATGAAAAGTCCCACTGCTGTGAGTGCACCGTTTCCTTTGTGTGACTTTATATAGAATAAAGAGCACGTCTCTGAAAAGAGCTTCGGTGTTTGCTCGGCGTACGAGCGAAAAACGGCGTGGAACTGGGACAAAGCCGTTTGCCGGAGGGAGCTTTATTGTGCTGCAGCGAGACATCGAGTCAAACGCCGCGCTGCCACCCGTCTAGCTGTCCCCCGACGCTGGAGGAGTGGCAGCCCAAGGTGCTGCGCTCACAGACAAAAAACAGGAAGCGAGACGATCTGAGGCGATACGATCTGTGGCGAGAACAGCGGGCAGCTGGGCCACGTGGAGGTTTTGGGTCGTTAGACCGTTTCAGGACGCCCTCCTCGCCTGCAGCACACAGTCCTGCTCTGGCTGCCGCGCTCCGAGCAGCAGACGATGACGAGCCACCTGAGACTAGACACTGCTGCTACTGCAGACTCAGACACAGTGAGGCAGAGCCGAGTTGAACGGGTTCATTGTGTCCTGAAGATGCACACCGAACGACGTGATTCAGCACTGTGAGAAAAACACAGAGCCATTTAGGGAAGACAAGGAAAAGGTGGGAGCATCGCATTTAGATAGTGTTTGATGGTATGACATTAATAATAATTTTTAAAATAAAAGGTAAGGTATGGAATTAGGGAATGCTCTTAGGGACAGTAAGAAGACCAAATGAATCAAAGACGTAGTCCTATTGAGTTCTAACCACGATTACCATACAGTTAAGTCTCCTTTAAGGTGGAAAAGCGAGCCTGAGATCCACAGACAGACAGCATGATGCAGCCTTCGGAGGTCCCCTAAATGCCAGCCCCGTCAGCCCCTTACTGACTGAACTCTTCATGCCTCATTAGGTTGTTTCAGCAAGCTGACACTAGCTGACAGATTAACAACCCAAAGGTTCATTCCACACGGGAAAGCCAGGTTACCTGTTGCCTGCTTTTGAATGGCGGCCGTTTAAAGGCCCAGAGGAAGAGTTTATACAAATCATAGTGAGGAAATCAAGTCTCGAGTCTTGGAGCACATCAGGAAGAATGCAAACACTCGGGGAAATGCAATATCATCATTTCAGCCACATGCCAGATTAGGCGAATCGCTCCCGTTCTCAGGACTTCAAGAAAGAACAAAAAAAAAAACTCTGCTTAACTCCACTTCACACAGGAACGTCCCCTTAACAATCTCTTGGTTCTTTTGTTCGGAGCAGGAGCTTTGAGACCGAGGGACAGGATGAGAGAGTAAAAGATGGGGAGGGGTTGCGGGTGAGGAAGCAGATGAAGGACATGAGGGCTGGTGCCAACTGTGTTAAAAGGCCCGTGTGGAATGCCAAGTGAAGCTGGCAAAGGAAACTGCGGCAGGGGCTGTTGAAAAGGATGGGTGAAATTCTAAAGTAAGGATAGAAAGTTTGGCATAGGATGAACAATGCCTTGAGCAAAACCTTTTATGACCGGGAAAGGTAACTTTGCCAGTGGGCAAGAGCATGGAGTGACCAACAAGGCTCCCATTCAGGATTTTTGGGGCGGAGAGCCACATATGACATGAATCCAAGCTTGGCAAAGCCTTTGCACATGTTAAATTTAGTCAACAACAATCGGCCGTTTGCCGGAATGTCTTGGGAATGCTGTCAGAGTGGCGTCCGGCTGAGGTGTGCGGCGGCGGCTGCGGGCCGGGGAAAGCTGCACATTCATCTCCCAGGAATGCAATCCTCTGTTTGCCATGGCATGACTCATATTCTGTCCCCGTGGGTTTCAGTGGATGTCTCTCCGATGTGAACTCACTCAGTGACAGGTTCTGCAGCACTCTAATGGGACTCTTGTTCACATGTCACGTCCAGAACAGGAATTTCTTGAAAAGCGCCACGCCTGAAGCAAACTCACTCTGAAACTCAGCTACACCAGTTTGGCCTTCAATGGGTTTGACTGAGGGGGGTTCAGCCCTTACGTAACAGTAGAGCTCTAATTTAGCTGCAAAACATACGACACCAGAAACTGCAGCGACAGCGGAGGGTGACCTGGGAAATGAATATTTATGATGATCCACTTTATCTTGACGTTCACCTCAAAACTATCCAACCGCTGTGGTTGCAGAGTATGCCAAATCTGAAAAATGACACGGAACCAGAAAAATGATAATAAATTATATTCCCTCTGGAACAAATGAGGAAACTGTCAAAAATGTGCTAAATTAAAAACAAATGATGTGCATTCTTCATATTGTAAATCCAACTACAATGAGAAAAATATCCTGACATGTCACTGTGTAACAGCTGTTTTGGGAGAAGAGAGTTTTCTGATAGTTTAAATTGCATGTGTTGATGGAGGCATCTGGAGCCAATGCAAAAATGTTACTACATAAGCATGACTAAGTACTAAGGCATGTAGCCCGACATCTTTCTCTCATAAGAGAGTGACATAAAGCAATGAACCAAACTGTCCTCACAAACGAGAGCCATCCAAAATTAAATCTGATATCTTATTTTGCAGGTCTCTGAATGACAAACTTTTAAGCCATTAGAAGTTTTTCTAAAATCAGAAGAAATCCGTCAGTAGAAGGCTGGAGGTGCCTGACGCTCTGTCGGGCCACAGGAGGAGACGGGGACTGGCCCTTTGTCTGGGAACTTGACATAATTTAGGTCCGTGTCCCTGGCAGACGCTGCCCCGGCCATCGTTTAATTACTCCACATAATAAAACTCAACATCAAGGGCCTGTGTTGAACTGGGATGAGGGGAACAAGAGAGGCCATCTTAAGTTGCTCCTGCCCCCGCTGCGAGACTGGCGGTCTGCTGGAGCGTCGCTTGGCGGGCACGACGCCCTGAACCCAGCTGTGAGGTGGCGGCCAGCGGGCTGGCTATTCAAGTGTGTCTGTGGGAGCCTGGCATGCCACCTGGGCATTATCCGTTCCAGCGTGCCACTTTTCACAAAAGGGGCCTGAGAGGAATTAGGGAGGGTAGGAAGAGCGGGGAGACTTGTGTGTGTGTGTGCCCACGTCTGGGTAAAACTGTGCTTGTGTAATCAAACGTGTGCGACGGAAAGCAGGGTGGATGGAGATTAATGGCTTTGTTTTGCTTCATTAGGCCCAGTGCTTCTTCAGGAGATGTTTTATCTGTGCCATTTGCGCTGAGAAGCTCTTAACCACCAAGAAGCAAAACTCCTTCCTCTACACAGGCTGATGAAGACCCAAAATTACTCCGACAGCTACTGCAGCTCAAGTGTGTTGCAGGTTCAAGTACAATCGAACGGTACAATCGGATCCAGATGCAGCGGTTGCATTTGGAGGATTTTTTTCTCCACGGTGGCCTCCTCTTCATGCTCCTCTCGCTTGTTAATTGCAGCGCTGCCACATGGGTGCCATGCGGGCTGTTATTACCTCTGCTCTGTCATTAGCTCCTGCTCTGCACCCAGTTCAAACCCGGGGAGAGCTGCAGCTTACGGGGGAAAACAGTGGGAATCCATGTTGTCACATTCGCTAGCACAACAGTAAAAACCACGAAGGGCGCGTCATCCAGGCTCTTCCTGCGGGCCCACGCCAAAGATTTGTGGACCCCTGCAATACAACTAACTAAACAAACCAAATGTCTTCATCCTGCTTCTCTTGTCAGGCAATAATTTCTTCTTTTCTGGAAAATGATGAGGGTAGCTTTGTGTATCTGTGACCCCGAACCCTCTAATTTGCTATGGAGGAAGGAAAGCACCCGAAATTAATGCACTTACCACCACTGAGCAGCCTCATAACCAGCCACAGCTCATCCTTTACAACGAAGGAGGTGTAGTAAGACACAATATTGGGGTGGTGGCACTGGCTCATGGCCTGGATCTCTTTCTGTCGGAAGAAAAACATGCAAAGAAACAGAGAGAAGCCCATTAATCAGGACATCTTTCAGTTGTTTTACTACAGACTCTCAATCTGATAAAGCTACCGTAATCATGCAAAACAACTTCATCAGTCTAATGTGGGAGGCACTGGCTGAAAACAATTTTAATATCGACACATTCAGCATCACAAACATTTTCTGAGCCCTCTAAAGATTATGTGAGTGTGAGACAAACCACCGGGCAAAATCCACGTCTTCCCTTCGATGTGATGAACGGGAAAAAAAAGGAAAAGAATGGAAGCCAAACACTTTATCTGACTACTTCAACGTGGTATTAGGACGACATAAAGCGAATGCAGACACGATTGCAGCTTATGCGGCTGATGCTGCGGCAGCTCTTGAAATTTAGTGCCATGGTGGAAATCTAAATGACGTCAGGAGTCGGAAAAGAGAAAGGCAGCCTTAATTTAATGCACAGCTATGCAGAGGCGAAAAAGACAGTCGGTGCTGAGCCTTTTAAAGAGCTTTAAAGCGTTCTCTAGGAGTGTGCAAGTGTGGGAGGGTTGTATGTGTGTACGCTTGGAAAGCAGCAAAGCTGAGGTAATGCTGGCACAGATGTCTAATCCATCACCTCACCGCTGTACCCCAAGTCATTCAAGGATAGTCAAGTTTCCTCGGAGAAAAAAAAATCTGTCCGGCTTTTAGAAACAGAGCCACCGATTCTGTTTTTTTTTAAGCCGTGTACTTTAAATGCCTAAGAAATGCCTGAGCCCATGACTACACAATAAGATTTGAGCAAACCACAGTGGGTAGAGTCATCAAGGACATCAGTGTTGATGATGTTGCCGAGGGTAAAATTAGCAACCAGTGATTAGATTCCTGTTGTCTATAGAGAAACTTGTCTGAACTAACGAGTTCAAATATTTGGTGATATTTAGCAGAGAAAATTGAAAATCCTCTTGATTGCGGAATGCGGCTTAAAAACCTTGAGTCTCTCATTTTCCACCCGATGTTTTTGGAGATGAGGTGAGGTCACAGGCTGCGTGTCCCTCAGGTTCTCTGACACGCATATGTCATCGGCTTCATTGTGAATTAATGGTACGATGAAATAAGCATGGAGGATCAATACTAATCAGACATTAAGGATGATCCACCCCCAACATCCTCTGTTAATTCTGCTTTTTTATTAGAATGCGATTCCTTTTCTTATCTAAATCTACTTGTTTCAATGAAACTATCTGTTTAACCATGCCAGGGGCTCCTCAAACCTTCCTAAGCATGACCCTAAACTCAAAAGCTAAAGAGATTTGTTAAAGGCATCGATCTAAAGATGTCTTGGGTCAAATATAATGAAATCAAAGTCAGATTTCCCATGAGCATAAAAGCTTTGCCTACACAGTGTGCATTAGAGGCTGAGTGACTCCTCTGCGAAGTCATCACTATTGAGCGAGTGGTTCTCAGCCAGTGCCTTCACAAAGGCGAATGACTTCATTATACAGAGGACGTTTGACAAAAAATAAATAAAGAGGGTTAAGAACATGATCTGAGTCATAATAAGGGTGGATACAGTGTGTATGAGACACCGGCACCGGCCCGTGACTAGTACAGACATGTTTAAGCACACACAGTTATGTGGACGACAACAGTCCTTAGGAGCTGTTGAAAAAAAAAACGAACTCCTGAACAGGAATACTCTACTCCTCTCTACAACTATTGTTGTGAGGTATTTAATCGTTTCCCAGTCTTTTAGGAGGCCTCCGTCATTCTCACCGCAGCTCTGTGGGGTGGTAGACCCCGAAAAGCACAACAATAGGCTAACAGGGAGGATATCGTGTTCTGGCAGTTGGCAGGTGTTCCCATCTTTGCCAGCGCTCATTGTGAGAACGAGACAGATTCTTTGTTTCCAGGATTAAGTCGTTGTAAACCTAAGCTGCTGCAAAAAATCCTGGAAGTGTTCCCCGAACTCATAAACCACTCGCGCCAATTTGTGTAACCTTTAGTCTGACGCTTCAAATTAGACTAGAAATATATCAAAATCATATTTTTACAAGGCGCCTTCCGAGCAGCGATCCGGTGCTGGGTGGGTGCTGCGATGACTTCAAGCCTACACGCAGACGTTTAGCACTGTGTCGTCAATCCAGCCAACAAGCAAAAGTACAACACACGCACACTTCTCTGTTGCTATGCACAGAGACTTTTGCACCACTCACGGTTTCGCCACATCCTGATTACATTATGAAGATAGCCATTTAATCATCCCCGGTGTCCTGGTAACCTGTGCGGGCCTAAAATGAAATGAGATAATAGCCATCTGTGTTGGGCTCGTGAGCTACTTTTAATTAGCAACTTACATTTTCTTCCTTCTCAAAGGTCCTCATCGATCAAAATGATTATGAAGAATACAGACAGGACACAGGGTTTTTTCATTTGTTTCTTTAAAAAAAATATATATATACATATATATCTAGAAGCATTTAACCAAACACTTTAGCGAGTTCGAGTTGATGAAGATTCCCAAAAGTTTGAGTAAAATAGAAGAAAAAAGATTAAGCAAATCCCTTATAAGAGATGTGTGTATGATCTCATCCAGTCCTATGATGGGTGCAAACATGTAGGTTGAGATGATGCTGGATAAGATGGCTTTCTGGCCACTTTAACCTACTTAAGTTGTAACGATTTCCCAGGAAGTAGACCAGTCCATGCCATTTGTATATTTCTATATTAGGCTTGTTCTATTTAGTGTTTGCCAAGTCTGAGGACTTTGAAACTGAGCAACAAATAAATGACCTATTGTGAGAAACTGAATAGAGTGCTGGGTCGCAAACTGGTGCCACAGAACCACAGTGATGGGGGACACACAGAGAGGCCTCTATAGAGGCAATGTTGCGTCACTTTGGGTTACTCAGAGCCACTCACACACACACAGCAGTTTACTATGACTCAACCCCACTGCAGCATGTACACACACAGTAAAAACCACCAGGATTAGTAAGAAAAGAAAGCGCACGATGACAATGTGCTCTGATGTCTTATCATCAACTACAAATATGTCCAGACTTCTGTCAGAGATAGCCTATATTTACATACAGGCTTTACTATCTTTCTGAAGTCACTCCGAGCTGAAACATAACCCACACTATAAGCCAAACTCCTGCCTGGAACGACTAAAACGTGGCAACCTGAAATGTGACAGATTACTGCTTTTCCGGCATCAAACAATCTCACAGCCAAGAGTGAAGCCCGGCAGGCTCCTTTAAACTAGCTGCATCCCATCTTTAAAGCTGCTGTTTGTTTGTTTTATAAGATAGGCAATCTGGGTTCAATTTAATGCTTCCTTGCCGTTTAAGCGGGCATCCAGCAGGCTGTGGAATTGTAAGGAGGGAGGGGAGGGGGGGGGCCACAAGGCAGGAAATCCGATCGCGCTGTATTCCATGTGACCGCCCGCTCCGAGAATCTGGGAGCAGATTCATCCCCAGAATCCAGGGGGTGGAAGGAGTGGGGAAAGGAAAGGTCTCCTCCCAGTTTAGCGTTGCCACTGAGGAGCGAGCAACCGGGAAGCTATATTTGACCATTGATACATGTAAGCTGACGCGAAATGCATCTCCAACAGGTCATATTTACATACACATGTAAATATGTATGGGTTTCAGGAGTACATTATACAATTCGTAGTAATCGCAGCAGTAAAGGAGAAAAGACCAAGATGTAGCATTATTTGTACCATAATGTGTACTTTGATGGACTGGGAGAAATACATCCATCTCACTCCTGAGATATGGTACATATGCTCATGTAAAAACCCTGACCAAGCATTAACCATGCTTAAACACATATTTAAAGGGGTAAAAAAAAAACAGTGTAATAACACTGCAGGTACATAAGCCACAAATGTCATCGTTTCTATCCAGAGGAGCTTATTTGACATCTTACATTTCCTCTGTGTCAGAGCTGGAGCGTAGGCCACATGTCACAAAGCGGTGTGCTGAGCTGCGGTGAGAGATACGAGGGCATTCAGAAACATGGCCCACCGAGGTCTAATAGTTTCCTGGCAGTAAGTGGAGCTCTCCTTCGGAGAACAACTAGAATAGTGTTCGCAGCGACAGGGATGAATGGATGAGGGCTCTGAGATGACGCCTAATGAAAAGCAGAGGTAGAACTAACTCCATCCACATGTACGGGGTAGAGGCCTTAAAGGAAATCTTGTGCTGCTGAGCGGCTGTGGCGTTGGATGAAGCCCCAGTCAGAGGCATATTCAGAGCGGCGCGGGGGGGCTTACCAGGAGCTCGTCCATGCTGGTCTGGCACTTCTCTAGGTTGATACGTTTGATGGCCACCTTCTCGTTGCGAGGTATACAGTAGGCTGCTTGAACCACCGCTGTGGCGCCGCTCCCTGAAACAGAGGAAGACAGAGTCAGCATCTTTGTTCTTACCCAGTCGTTTTTCACACTAGTTTATCCTCTGGCTGCCCCACGGAGTCCTCCATCCCTAAAGCATTCTCATCCACCGCCCAAACCACCCCCAACCACTCCACTATGTCTTTAAAAGACAACCAAGAGGCGGTGCCATCTCAAGCTCCCTCTTCATGCTCAAACTCTTCATCCTCCTCAAAGTCGGGTCACGCCATCCCACAAAGGAAACTCGGTTTTCTGTACTAGTGATGTGTCACTTTCAAGAAGCTCTTTTGGTGGGAAGGGGTAAAGGGTGGGTCTGTTTAAATCAAAAGGTTAGCAGTGTGGATATATACTGAAGCCTGATAATGAAGAGGAAATGTTCTGACTGTTTTCTCTTTGTGCACCCACTGAACGGAGGTGGCATCCAGCAACTGCTGTTTTTATTGTGCTGGCTCGTGCTCAGTGGATGTACTCCAAATCCACACAGTCCACGCGGGCCCTGGTGGGTCTCTGCAGGGTCGGTGTCGACACCTTTTAGAGAAGTCAGCTGCGAGACTTTCTGAACTCAGCGCTCAGAATCATCCAACGCGCTGGTTTTAGTGACCTGGAGGTGCTTCACGCTGCTTCCTGACAAAAAAATGAATAAATCAATACCACTACAGGATGCGAATACAATCTTTACCCACGACCTCAAAAACCCACCGGAGAATAAGAAGGTTAAACGCTGTCATACTCTTTGCTAACTGTGGGTTCATCAATTATGAATCAGCTCTCCCCAAATCCCGGCTAATGAAGCCTGCCTGAAGGAGGGTGGCTGTGCTGAAAGAGGCTCAGCCCCAGGAGGCTTCGGCAGGTGGCTGAAGTTCAGAAAATCACATTCCTATTTACAAATGTTCTGCTGTTCAGAAACAAGTAACATTCAGAGTAGAAACATTAAATCAGCTCTAGGATTGGGATCAGTGGGCAGCTGGATCACAGCCACGGCAGAAAGTCTGTCCGTTTTTACAACCCCTTTAATGAAAGAGCAACAAAAACAATGAAGCCAGGCTGATAAAAGCTCCCAGTGAAGCATGCAGGAGTGGCCTGAGTCCCATACTGACGGACAGCTGGGGTAAAAACCGGGAAATGTACCCCGCAGTTGTAACATGTGAGGTCATCTAACACCCCCCCCCCCCCAGCCCCTGTACCTGCCCTTTGTTTGTGCCCCGGACTCACACGTGAGCTGGTTCTCCCTGCTGCAAACGTGACACCGAGCACCACTGTGAGCCCACTTTCTTCCACAAGTGAGCTTTTGTGAGTGTAAAGCGAGTGCTGAGTCGGTGCCCCCACACCCCCCCCACCCCCAAGCAAGCTTTTCCCAAACTCTCCTGAACTCATATTAGCCGTGGCCAGATATTAACAAGGTGCTCATTGTTTGGAGTTTTCATTGAGTCGGAGGTGCACTGAAGTTTAAGCAGCGTTATTTAAAAAAATAAAATAAATCCTGATTTTAATTAAAAAGAAACACTGTTCCCAAGGAAATTTCCTTTTTTTTTTTCCTTTAATCCAGCTGCCTTTTTACAGGGTAATTATCACCGCAGGCTATGTCACAAAGAACAAACAGCTAAAATCTATTTAATATATGGACCCTGATTAAAAAAAAAAAAAACTCATACTCTCTTCAATAATCTAATAAAAGTGCAATTTCCTTACAATTTCCTTTAACTGACAGACAGCGGGGGCCATTTTAATCATCGTGAGTGAACGCACACTATGAGCATCCCACCTCCTGACGTGGGCACCATCTACTAACTGGCACCTACTGACGGTGTGGGGTAGGTGCTGTAAGTGTACTCTCCGGCCCCTCCCGCCTCCATCCATACCAAACAAACCTCTGGAGGTGGGCCAGCGATGTGGAGCTCTGGCAGGGCATGTCCACGGGGAGCCGGTTTCCCCGAACGCGCCCGAGTGTAAATTCCTACACACAAATAAACAGCCAGTAGCTGGACCAGCCGGGCACCAGGAGAGATTTCCAGTCTCTTTACCCAATCTTAGCGGCTTAATGCGTTCTGCGTGGCTGGAACGTGAGGGTTCCCGACCTGAGACGGTCCACAGGTCCCTCACATTAGGTCAGAAGACATGAGCATCCCGTTTCCTTCAGAATATGAATCATGCCAGACACCGTTACATCGTCATTGTTCCCACAGACAACGCGGTATCACAGCCTTTCCGTCTGAATGGGAGGAAGCACACAATGGAGCCGCGCGCACAGAGGAAGGCTCTGCGGCGGTAGCGCGGCTTTGAAGAACGCAGGCAAACATCTAGTCAGCTGAGCAGGCTGGCTCCCACATGAAAGCGGCGTGTAAGGCTGCATTATTCACGCCGCTCTCTTTGCTGGGACAATTAATAAATCAACGTGTCAGCTGTTTTTATCGTCAGCCGCATAAACGAAAACAAACACTTCTGAGGTCTTGCGTTGATATTTGCTATTTCCAGATGTACAACAACAAGGTCATGCTTGTTTTGGAGGAGGATGACTCAATTAAATCTCCGTATTGAGTTACCTCGTTAGGCAGAATCTAATGAAGGCCATCTAACCAGCTGCCAGCTGAAAATATGGCATGCTGACGTGTTATGTAAGCATTCTTGTTTTGTTTCCATGACATATTTTGTGTTTACAGTTTATTTCAAATTAATTTTTGTAGAGTCAACAGCATCTCAGATTGGTTGCAAGTGCAAATAGCCCAGAGGAGAAGATAGATTCTCCCACAAATGTAACATTAAAATCCCCAACAAGCAGCTTTTCCGTGGATGCCTCTGTAGATTTTCCCAGGAATTAGACAAGAGCCAGCGCTGACCAGACTAGATTAAACCGAATAAAACTGTAATGCGGCTATGACTGTGATTTATTTTTTTGAGGCCATCTTGACCTGCGTTTCAGTCGTTTTTAAGACGCGTGATGCTGTCTCAGGCGGTCCGACCCGAAGAGCTGCCGGTGGTGTGAGACGGCTCGGCCCCATTGCCAAAACAGCCGTGATCTTTTGAAAAAGTGGCCTGTGTTTGCTGTAAGCATGTTTCCTCCAAACACATCAGGCCTGACACGGGGTCCCTGGCAGCGCATGAGAGAGCAGAGGTCCACCTCCCCGTTTAAGGCTGCCCGTCCTTCTGACCCATCAACTAACCTGTTTGCCCTATTTTGGGAATCTACACTTAGATTACTCCAGTCCGGCTGCATTTATATGAAGCTTATAACATAAAAATAGAAAGACACAGAGCAGTACTGAGCAACTGCTGTGTAGTGTTTGTGATCCATCAGATGTGCCCCATGTACATGTTTATGCTCAGCATCCTTCTTCTGATTAATAACAATTAACCCCGAGGCTTCACGCCAGTGCTCAGAGGTAAGGATAGAAAAGAGAAGGCACATAGTCATCTCAAATATTTCTTCATCGGATTAGCCTGGAGTTGGCTCCCCGGTGGAGCCGGCCACAGTGTGAGGCCTGTCGTCAATATCTGCCTCCGTGAGCTCTGTGCAGCAGTTGGGCTCCCAGGTCATCTTTCCTGTCCTCACCGGGCCAGTTTAGAGCCCGACGTCAGTCTGCTTTTATTACATTTCCGCTGCATACCTGTTGGGCATTCCACACATTATCCCATGGCGAAATGAGAAATGCCATACATAACAACAACACAAGTAGCAGCCACCGCCTTTCAGCAGGAACTCCTCAGCTGCCCAAGATGCCGCGCTTTAAAAACCTGATGGGACCCGGCCCGGCCCGGGGAGTGGACATTAAAGCAGAAAGGATTCCACACTGCTGCAGCAGCTACTGGAGTCTTGAAAAGTGGCTTGAGGGACACAGCAAGTAATGAGGAGGAGACGTGGTTGCTAGTGGATACAAGAAGTGGAAGCAGAAAGTTTCCAGTCTAGATTTGCCAAAACCAATGATCCAAAGTATGATTCAGGATTGGAAAAAGAACAGAGGGAACAGCACTATTTTCCTATAAGCTCGGTCCAGTAAGATCCAGAGCTCGGTGGGGTGAAAAAGAGTGGGTGTGAACCATGAAACAACAAGCCCTCTTTCCCTCGGGAAGTTCCCAAAACAATAGGTCTGCTGGACAAAATGGGTCTGCAGAGCCATCCTCAACAATCTATGTATTTGGGTGGAGAAGAGAGGTGGGTTTGGGGCCGAGAGCTTGGCGTACTCTTTCTCCTGCTCTCTGTTTACTGCTGCTAATGGATATCTGTTTGGACTTAACATGATCCAAAAGAGCTGAAACATCAGATCAAAGATCAATAATGACAACTTCAAAAAGAAAATGTGTGTCAGCATCCATTTGAATCATTCATTTCTCACCCAAACAGCAAATAGAAACCATTTTGGATGTTAAACCTCCAAGCTTTGATATAAAATAATACCAGTCTAATCTTTATCCATATTTAAAGAGTGGAGAAGTAGCAGAATCCCATCAGACCGGAAACCTGTTGCGTCAGGTCTGAACAGGCTCAGATTGGGCGTCTACAGCAATTTAATAAATGTTGTTATTTAGGTCATACGTTTTAAGATGAGGGAAGGCTAAGGGGGAGGGCTGATTTCTTGTGTGTTTATGAGGACACTGGAGATGAAGACCAACACAGAGGGTCGGGCTTATTTAGATGATGGACAAGAAAAACAACCTGATTCAGATTTAAAGAGCACAACCTCTAATCAGCTTTAGCCAATTTGTAAAATGAGGGGAATAAACTAGGCTAACAGCACAAATCATTTCCACAGATAAGTTGATAATCATGATCCTGTGCCCTAAACTCCTGTAAAGTAAGCATGCTGTGTGGAGTCCAACCCTGTAATAGCCTTAGCACTCTCAAACCTGTGTGGACGATGGGAGCTAAACACAATGTGGCAGCACTGGTTTACAAGAGGGCTTTAACTCTGTGAGCATGCTAAATGGCATGGCGGGGTCTAAATTTTCCTAAAAACTGGGGGGACATGTGGAAGTCGGTTTAAGTGTTTGTGAAGTACAGAAACAAAGCTTGCTGTACAAAACAAAGAGTTCCTGTAGCGGAGATACACACACCAGTCAGGTTAAGTAAACCAAAATAAATAAAATAACCCCTCTCGCACTCTTCAAAAAAGCCATTTCTGTACAAGTAGGGTGACCACACCTCGATTATTTACAAAAACTTTACTTATACAAGCTATAATGGCAGGCCGGGTCAAAAACAAAAACAGCATCACTGATGCAGCGAGGCAGAGAAGTGCCAATTCATTTTTGTCCAGGTTTCCGTGAGGTGAGAGGGCCCATAGTGCTGATTAATCCTCCCGAAAGACCTCTAAAACAGACCTCCTCTAACCCTAGAATAGCTAAATTCATCTTGGCAGTAAACTACCCAAAATGAAAGACCCACCCTGGAGAAGTTCAGCAACTTTGACGCCACTGAGTGATATTTGATATAAACCGTTGCAATAAAAGTTGCTACACTTCAAGTATTGTCCTTACTTTTTAAAGCTACATTACTTTAATTTTGCATTGAGGATTCTAACAGTCTAATGTGGGGGGGGGGGTAAATAATCAAATTATCTCAGTCTGACTAATAGCAAGTAAAAACAAAAAATAATAAACAACATAAAAACTTGTAATAGTATAATGGATCTTTTTTCCTCTGACATTAATCATGGGACCCCTCAGATTCAGATGATCTCACTTGTACAAAACAGTTCAAACCAGCTCCACAACAGTATTGACAATTTAATAAACTCATATGAGATTACATCACCCAGAATAATCAAACCAGTGTTTTCATTTGAAAACTTCATTTGTATTCTCCTCTCAATAACTTAAGACTTTGACTTTTCAGGCCTGGCTTCGACCAGTTTTTGTCCAAAACTATTGGTAGATAGGGAAGATACTTGCAGCACATTATCTCGAGTGTTTAACTCTGGAGATGGGCGTGAACACAATCGTTACAAGTTTCGGTGTCCGTCTTATCTGGGAGCAGAAAACGGCTGATGCGGCTGATACTGAAGCCTTTACAATGCAGTCTTTCCTGTGCCATATCACCGAGGATCACAAAGTATTCAGCCGGCTGGGCTGCGTCTTACACAGCCAGAACCGCTTCCTCACCAGTCCATTTGAGTACAATCAACTAAGTATCATGCGGACAGATCACAGATATTGACGCATTTCGTGAAATCAGTCACTTTCCAGCGCGTAGCCGGAGCCTGCCTCCCGGCGAGGTTTCTAAGGCTCGTTTTTTAGCCTAGAAACAGCCCTCATGGGCAGGATGAACGCTCTCAGTGGAAGCGTATCACTGTTTCCAGGTCACAACACCGCCCGGCTCGGTCGTTAACTTGCCAAACGCCTTTGACTGAACCCCGGCTAAAGAGGAGGAGAATGGCTCGTCTGTCTTTTCACCTGAAAGCCATTAAGCTGGCCTCCCCGTTGTAAGCCGCGCTTTAAGAGAGCTAACAGCAAGAAATACACATAGTGCCGGTTATGTACGTTAAGCTAACAAGCTAATGATCACATACCAATCACCTCGTGTAGCTCATAATCATCTTTGTTGATGGACCAGGGTTGGGAGTTGGGGTCCTCCGACATGGCTGAAGAATCTGCTCAGACCGAACTATCTCTAGAAAGGTGACGAATCCCGAGACTGTTTGGAAAAATGAGTCAAAGTAATCCAAACAGAACCAACAAGGGCGACACTTCCCCTTCTTTTCGAATCCTGCAGCACTCCTGTCATTCCCAAAGTTTGACACTAGCCTAGCAGCCCCGCCTACCGCATTCCTCCTGAGCAAATGTGAACCTCCGTGGCGGACATATTGAAAGTGGTACACCGCGCGAGCGCCGCAGTCCTGCCGTGGTCAGTTGGGGGAAAGTAATCGCAGTCGGTCTGGTGAGGAAGGGTTTTTAGCTGCTGTTAACAGGCAATGCGGGAAGTATCAGTGTTTCTGCTATTCACACAGCACGGGGCCGTACAGAGAAAGCCCCTCGCACATCTGTGAATGTATGTTTTCATTTTCATTTATCCGCGAGCCGCTGTCGAAGTGTGCTTACGTTAATTAACCGACGAGTTCCACAATGGCTGCATATTTATTGGTGTTTCAATCACCGAAGTAAGCACAGCAGGCTATAAAAAATTATACTCATTCACCGAACAAACTAGTACTTGTACTCCTTTCCTATTCATAGTAACGGAGTCAATCATTGACTTGAGACTATCAACCAGAATCTCAGTGAAAAGCTAAAATTAGGGTATATACGTCAAATGTATGTTTTTTTTAAAGAGGAGTATTACTTCCCAGATCGGTCTGCCTTCTGATTGGGCAGTGACATAGACGGTGCCCTCAGATTGGATATTTTTTATAGCCAATTGAACCGTTTCTCTTTACAGCATCGCGTGAGAGACATCTGCTGGTGGCGCAACCTAACAAACTCAGGACTTTCAGTCATGCTGAGGAATTTCAGGACATGTTGTGCTTTTATGACATCATGTGAGCCAACCGTACAAATAAGAAATTATCCTAGAAAAAGTACATTTATTTCCAAATGAACATTTAAAATCAACAGTGCTGTAAGATTGAAGAAATTAAACCATGTATGTTCTCAATCCCAGTATCTCTTCCTCATTTGCTTACATTTAATCTAGAAGTTCATTCATGAGAGGAAGTGAGCTGAACACGCATACAAAACCTTTGACGGAGACTGCAGTAAATCTATTCTTACATGTAAAAAAAAGATGCTTCCAGCAAAACACACATACATATATGCTCAGGCAAAACCATTTGACTAGTCTTACAAACAACTAATAGCGTGATACAGTCAAAACCGTGCTGATATTTGATACCGTAGCTTTGCTTTTATGATGATCATACACAAAATGCAGTCATCCTAAAAGAAATCCAAACTGCATTATTAATAGGTAAAGTAAATCACGAGTGGGTTCTAATGCCAACGAAATGTGGATTACAAGCTGTACTTGGACCTGTATCCTGTGACATTTGGGCACTGTCGATATATTCCATTTAATTTAATGGCAAAGGCACTTTGAAACATTAACTGCCTGGTGGTTGATCAAGGCAGCGAGAGAGCTTTGGCCAGTCGGATCCAGAACCAGGCCTGGGTGCAGGGGCGGGTGTAGTCACACACGGTGAGGAAGCGCAGGATGCTGGGGAACGGCTTTTTCATCGCCTTGTACACCACTGGAATGAGTCGTTTACTTCGCGCTCCTGAAACAGAAAAGATGCCATCTTCTGTCGAAAAATAAGCTGAGATGTTTGAAATCAATAAGTCTACTTTACCAGGGCAAAGGCTGAGAGCAAACTTGGTCTGAAAATCGCACGCGTCGCTGTCGAGATACTCGTCAGAGATCACCACCACCATCCTCTTACACCTGCACCGAAGCAGACGTGGACAAATGAAAGTGACAGAATGGATTATACAAGTGGAAAGTTGGGGGATTTTGAGGAGGGTTCCCATGGTTTAATTTCTCACTTCTTATATCTGAATTAAAAATCAAATAGTTTACAACCTAATTACCCTTCCATAATCAGTTAAACTTTCACATCATAATGACAAATTTTGAGTCAGTTTCAGAGCCCCACCTGGTTTCACGGGCTGTGTTCTGTTAAGTCATTGTTTAAGTGTAAAAAAAAAGTCCCACCTTTTCTCAATGAGTTCACTGGTGATGGTCCACACGCAGGAGCCCGGGAGGACATTCCTGTCGAACACACACAGCTTCAGCTTGTAGTCCGTCTGCTCCAGCTCCCGGATCATCTCATGGACGAACTCAAAGTCGCTCGGGCAGTAACAGATGAAGGCATCAAACATCTCAGGGGCACCTGGGTTCAAAGCAAGCCGATTAAGTTGAACACTTCATTTATGTGTCGGGGTAAGCAGGGCAAAAGCAGCATCCAGGACCAGGTGGAACCAAAATAGAGCAAAACTCTTTCCAGTGGAATTAAACAGGGTTTGTTTTTTAATGAATGCATGGGCAGGAGCGTTCACATATTACTGGCACCGGAGATACAAATGTCAGATTATGAGCGGAGCCTTTCTAACATTTTCCTGTGCAATACCACTGAAAGCAACAAAAAAAAACTCTGCGATTTCAATCTCAAGTCTGACTTGAACAAATAACCTTGCTGTCAGAAATGCTGTGCATCTACAATTTCTAGCTAAACTGAATACAAAAAAGCAAATACGTCAACATTGAGAAAACTGGGAACTATATATGTTTTGTTTTACAAACAAACTGTTTGCATTTTTGTTGGTTTGTCTTACATGATTTTATGTGCAATTTTTGAATAGCACAGTTTATTTCGATTTCCCTCTAGATAAACGTACAGGAAGTGCACAGACTCTGATAAAACACTTCTTACAGAATTTTTTTTTTTTTTTCGTTTATATGCGTTACATAACTAATATTACATATTCAATCAATAACACCTGGACAGCAGACTTAAACATTATGTAGAGCATGTGTAACAAGTGAGTTTTTACTGTAAGGCTATTGCAAAGTATAATGACCTTCAGGGTCATCCTCAGTGGTCAGGCCAAACCTCTCTGGGGTGCGGGGGACACAGCTGTCCACTTCATGGACTTGAACAGGAGGCTCAGCTTGCTTCTTCAGGCTCTCACAATACTTCCTGACATCGTCATCTGGTATCCAAACACGGATTTATGAAGAATGTGACAGAAAAGGACATGCACACACATGAGAGCCAATAATACAAGAAACTGGAAAGGTTCATTGTATTGTATTAATGATGATTATATTCACGATATCAACATTTGAGGAAACCGAAGCTCTCTCGATGAAGTGTGAAAGTAAGGAGACTTTTTAGTTGCTAACATAGTTTAAAGCGGTTTAATATATATTGGACCAAATAAACCGAACCGATTCGAGCTTCTAGTGATGCGAACCGTTTCCGTTATTACGGAAACAACGAAGGACCAAACTTCTATTTTCAAGTAAGTTAGTTACGGACCTTTAAGTCGTTTTGTATTGAAGTTAATTTCAATAGAAGATAGAAGAACGTATTACTATGAGAGAACCACACCTATCAAGGGGCGAAGGTCTTCAACAACGTCGTTTCTCTCCACCTCCTTGAGAATTGACAGCAACTTTCCCACGGACGCGTCGGCGGTCCGAGCCTGCCAGTTCTCCAGGACGGTTTTGGTGGGGTCTTTACACGCCTCGTAGTTCTTGATCTCCAGGTAAGAGAAGCCCATGGTCTCCGCTACAGCCATCCAGTCGGCGGCGACCGTGTGCTTGGGGTTCAGGTAGAGTCCCAACTTTTTCCTGACCCGCACGTTGAGCGCCACGAGAGGAACGGAGCACAAGTCCACGTCTGACTCGGCGCAGGCCATGTCGGCGGCTATTGTCCGCGAAAAAGATGGACTTTAGTTAAAGAGGGACGAAGGCAAACATATCGCTGTTTGTGGTTTGCGTCGCTCTGAATAGGCGCTGGCGCCTGCCTCTCCACACAACAAGGAAGTGAGGAGAGAAGAGCTCCTCTCCCTGACTGCGTCACACCGAGGGGAAGATGGTCTGAGATGGTCTGACGGCTGACCGGAGCCGCTGGACAACAATACACTTGATCAATTAGATTAAAATTCAATTTAATACGACGTCCTACAGAAACACGATCCCAAATTATGGTTAATAAACACAGTAATAAACAGTGTCCACTATGGGGAAGTGTTGAAAATAAGAAATTCATTAAACTGTTCTCTTCTTTTCTGTTTAATTCAATATAATAAACATTCAAATTGAACTCATTCATACCAAAACAGAAAGAGAGAGAAAGTGTAAATAACTTCCCTTATATTCAGATGTGTTCTAATACAGGAATACTTTAATAACCAAAGAAATTCAACAAAAGAAGCCCTTATCTTGCATTTTCTCATGCAACCACGTCACAAACAAAGTTTCTACAGTTAAAAAAAATAGCAAGAGAAAAGTAGAAAACAAGAGCAGTTTGGATCAGTAAGACTGATTAAAACAAATCATGTCTCTAACAGCTGCATAGCAGGAAACCACCCCCCTGAAAGATGAGGTACATCAGGCATCAGTTCAAGTAATTTCAGCATTTCCTGTTCTGATAGTTTCCATAAAACACCACATATAAGAAAAGTCCAGCACCGATTCCACAGAGCAGACTACGGGTAAAGGTAGACTGTCCAACCTCTGCAGGGATCACAGGTTTTTACTTTTAGAGAAATAAAAGTCAATGCCTCGGTCCCGATGTTGTTTTGGAGTATGAGATGGGCCTTTCTTCCCCCTTGGTGAGGGCCCCGTGCCACTCTGAAAAAAAAGAAAAAATACATCTTTGAGTGTAAATGCAGATTTACAAAACACACACATCAATCAATCAGATCAGCGATCCTTCTGAATAAATGCCTAAATAACATTTATTTCCAAAAAGTCCAACACTGTTCTGGGGACTGTCCACATGGTGGACAATACTGCAAATCCCCTATTCACAATTAGGAAGCTCCATGTAGATTACTCGTCAACCTCACTGCAGTAAGATTCAAACACAGAGGCAATAATGGTTTTAATTACTATTTGTCTTAGTATTGCATTTTTCCCCCTTAAATAATTTATTATACCTAAACTATAACATTGTTATGGTAGAATGAAAAATTATTCCTCCTAACTGAGTTAAATCCCTTCATTAACTCGTGGACAGGTCTGTTCTTATATGTCCAGATTGAGATCAAATATCTACAACTTAAATAATTAAGGTGGCAGAAAATTATTCCCTAACATTGACCTGACTACACAGGTTCAGCTCCTAAAACATAAAAAAAAAATGTGTAGGAAGTTTGTATAGTGCTTATGCTAAATTAATGTACAATTTGTAATATTTAGTCACATTGTATTTATTGTAATGATCAAAAATTGCATTAATCTTGGTTTAATTGAGATCTGAAAAATCATCTATTCAGCCTTTGAACAAATGTAGCTCTGTTCCACCTCTTGTTTGCAGCCATTATGAGGAAAAACCTATCAAAAGTAACATCCTTCACTCTCACAATCCACTTCCCTTTTCTTGAACACTTACCGGTTTCTTGTTAAAGTGTCTGCTCCATTCGGGCGCAATGACGATGGGGGTGGGGTATGTTTCGCCCAGGGACACGTGAGCGTGCATGAGCGTGGCCGAGCTGAGGTTCCAGGGTGTGTGCACGTCTGCGCCCCTGATACTCTTCAGCTCTGGGACCCACTGCCGCACATAGTCACCCTGAGGCAGGCACAAGAGCAATAAGTTACTGATCAGAGAAAAAAATTAAAATCTCTTCACATTTGTCTTCATGACTCAAAACCCATCACAAAATGTGTTTGTTTTTTGGTTGCACTGCAGAGTGAACGGTACAACTTTCCTTAAGTACTTACGTTACTGTCATAGTCGAGGCCTTGTTTGATCATGTTGAACTTCCTGTTCTCTCTGGGGTCATTTCCTATACCAGCGCTGTAGAGCCAGTTGCCATAGTTACTGCACACATCGTGATCAACCTATAGGGGAAGCGTTTGAATAAAGAGGTTGAAGTTTTTGTGAAAATAAACATCTCACCACAGATATTAAAACAACAATCTTGCAACATCTCAGTGTTTTATATGTTCTGTAACTGTTGAATTCCTATTCAAGCCTGGGCAACGCCACATACCAGGAGGTACTCAAACCACTCGGCTCCCATCCTCCAGTCCAGGCCCAGATCCTTTGTGAGGAAGCTTGCGACATTTTGCCGCCCCCTGTTGGACATGAAGCCCGTCATGGCCAACTCTCTCATGTTGGCATCCACGAAAGGCACCCCTGTGCGCCCCTCTGTACGGGAAAATGTCACATAGTTTAATCTAAGAGGACGGACGGTGAACAAAACAGTGAAGTTAGATTTTGTTCAAACAAACCTTTCCATGCATCAAAAAGCTTCTTGTCCATTTTCCATGGCACAGATTTGTCTTGAAGCCCTGAGTTCAAAAGATCATGATATGAACGTTAGGTTAATTTAAAGTAATAGCACTAATAATTATCATAGTCACTACTTTAGAGCATGATTTTTACCTTTGATCTGAAACATCCTGTCTCCATACTTCGCACCAACAAACTTGAAGTAGTCCCTCCACAAAAGCTCAAAAATAACCCTGCATGATAATCATTTTTTCTTTAAATTTTTTTATGATTTATTGACTTTCAGAGCCATATATAGAGCACACGAGTGGAGGTAAGTATACTGACCAGTAGGTGCTCTGATTGGCCGTCCGCTCCATCTCATATTGTTTGATTTGGTGATATATATACCTGGGAGAAATGCAACCCATCGCAAGCCTGCAGTGGACAAATATCATATCATCAGAGATTAATCAGAATGGAATTTAAAATATCAAACCAATCCTGCAAACATTCAATTATACTCACCAAGATGAAAACTTTGTTGAATAATCTACCCCAATCAAGCCATTCCGAGTCTCTTTGTAAGATGCAACTGCGTCCTATGAAACAGACAGTTATTACAGTGACATAGAATATAGTTAAATAACACACGAAATGTTAATAAATATCAGTTTCCAATGGATGTGGCACTCACAGTGTCCCAGAAATAGTGTTTAAGTCTGGCGAGAGCCTGGCTTTCTCCTCCGCTACAGGGGAAAGCTGAGCGAGGATCGGCAGCAGCTTCTGTACGAGTAAGCAGCAAAAGCATTTTAGCATGTTCCACATCCCCACACGTGCACTGAGACTCAAAGAGTCATCACATCACACTCATGGATAATCAGTTGCTCTGAACCCATCTTGACTTTTAATGAAGACATCTGTGCTCAGCAGTTTGCCTTCTGAACGGTGGAGCCGAAGGATGCTGCCTACAAAGAGCAATCTGCGGCTCTGTACTGCAAACAGCGTGCAGCAGTTTAACTGTTTGTGTGGGCTGTGTGTGCACAAATGTGCGTTGGCGGCACAAATTCAAACACAGCGTCATCAACCTGGCAAATCAAAAGTAAATCCTTAAATATGTGAACGGAGACGGGATGAATGAACCCATCTGCTCTTAGCAGATAAAAACATTTAGATTGCTCACCAGGCTGCTGAAGGTCCTCTGCGGTTGGAATAGCTCCTTCTTCCAGCCCAGGGGGAAGGGGATTTAGCTTCTCAGGGGCCGGGAACACAGGCCTCACTCTGCTCTGGCTCTCCACTGCTTTTCTGAACTGAGTGTACACATCAGGCAGCCTAAAAAAACAATAGGGAATATGACACAACATTCCTAAAACTTCTCACTAAACAATATGCCCCTTAATGAGTGAAAGAAAAAAAATGCCCCATCAGAGTTTTTATAGCAGAAATGCTTTGTCAAACAAATGTGCAAAAATATCCTCCCTCACCTGGACATGTGGTGGAATGGGAGATCATCTCTGTGGTACAGTGTGGAGCCCCAGCAGGTGTGAACTTTCACCTTCAACTGAGCACAGACTTCCTTCACCTTTCTCTCCACATTCAGCTCCTCTGAAGTAACCTGAGAAATTCAACGCAATAATAATGTCAAATTTAGTCAAAGTCACCAGAAAGATGCATGAAAATTGTTGGGGAAAAAAAAGAAGAGGACACAAAAGTACCTCTTCGTGGAAGGCCACACTGCTAACAGAGCCGAGTTGCTTGATAAGGTCGGCAACCACCTCCTCTGGCTTACCCCGCCTCACCACCAGATTGCTGTCACACACACAAATCAACACACACATTTGTTTCAGCGTCTGTTGTGCCAGGCAAGCTGCATCCTGGTTAGAGGGCTGGCTAGATGGAAAAAGTAATGGGAACAATGTGTGCGGCAGGCATGCTAATGTAAACATGACCCCCTTTAGATCCAGGTGCGTCCTGATCCTGTCACATGTGTATTAATTCAGTCCTAGAAAGCAGGGAACAAGTACTGTAGCTACAATACCAGTTTCAATAACACTTTGCAATATTTCCCTCTTTTTAACCTCATTAACACATTTCAGGAATTCAGCACTTTAGGGGAGGTAACTTATGCTCGTTGATAGTTGAATTACCTGCCCTTGTTGAGAAGAGTGTTTCTGAGGTCTCTGACACTCTCCAGTAAGAAGCGCAGACGGAAAGGCCCAGTCTTCGGCACATTGTAGTTGTAGGTTCCCACATAGTGTCTGGGATCGAAGCAGTACAGAGGGACTATGTGTTCTGCGTTTCTTTGAGCCCAGTGGAAAAGCTGCATGTTGAGAATTTTATGTCAGAAAATATAACAAGCGCACAAAGCAATACTTGAATTTTACATCTTAACTTTTGTAAACTAACATGAAATAACAATTTTATCTGCATACCTGAAGTAAATGGTATTGCATTAATCATAATAACGAAAATTATTTTTTATAACGTATTTGTAATTTGATTAGGAAATAAACAGAGAAAGAAGCAGCAATTTGACCTTACACATTATTGCCGGGTAACAGCATTTTATTATGAAGACGACGCTTTTATTCTGAAGATTTTGAGCCGGAAGTAAACACTTGGTTTCTGCTGGCTGGGTATAAATTTAGTAAAAACGATAGTGTTATCAAATGTAAAAATCTTTCGTGGTAAAAACTACTTAAAAAACAGACAACTATCTATTTAAAAAAGAGAGCTACAAATGCTTTTTCAATTAATGTAATACTTTTGGGCTAAAGTTAAGCACAGCCGGGATTCATTTTCCATACTCTTCCATACTCTTACCTCACTGTCGTGAACACGCAGGTCGTTTCTCAGCAAACAAATGATTGTACGCGTGGCAGACATGGCGATTCGGTTAAAAACTAGCAAAAGTCGTTTTTTAAAATGGAGAAAACGCTCCTGTCCTCGCGCCGCTGGTCTGAGTCCTCCTCGTGCTGTCTACGCGGCTGCTGCTGCTCTCGTGCGCGACCGTCACGTTTTCAGACACGTTACAAAACGTCAGGTTTTGTAAGATGTTTTCTAACAGCTGCTCTGGTGAACAACAACAAAAAAAAAAGCCAAGAAAAAATGTATACAGAATTGTTTTTCTATTTGTGTTAAATCAAGAGGTGTGCAGTTAGATGGGTTTGTGTGGGTTGGCAATTTACTCAAAAATTATAGATGTCACTAATGCTGCAGAAAACAGAATTACAAAATCCTATGAATCAAGGATAAGACCATTTTCAGTTAATTAAGTTTACACATATATGAGGGGATATGTGTTTTTTTGTTATATTTTCTGTACTAATTTAGTTTTTTTGTGCAAAGAATTCTGCAGAGGTTGCAAACATAGCAGTTATAAAGAATGTGTGTTCAGCCGGAGGCTTATTCAGCTCTATAGCCCTGCAAGTCATTTCACTCTTCATCATTAGCATTTTACATTGACTAATTATTTACTATTTATTCATTTACATTGCAACAATTAAATGCAGCCAAATGCAGCTTATTTGTGAATGTAAAAAAATCATGACGTGTAATTGATTGAAATGTTAAATCTGAAATGAAAAAATAATTTAAGCAAATCTTTTCCAAAAACCTTTGTAAATCACACACCAAACAGTCTTAGACCTTCAATTTATTAAGTTAAATGTACAAAAGATCAGTGACTTGATACATTTCATGTTTCAAGGCTTTGTCATTAAGACAAAAAATATTCTGTCCCAATCGAAAGCCTCCCAGTCTTTTCATACTGCCTGCCAGCTCTCAAAGAGACATTCATCCGTATTCTTGTTGAGATCACAGTACAGCCTACAGTATAATGTAGCTATTTCATCAAATTTGTATATAATGTAAAAGAAATATAAAAGTGCAGAACAACATGTATTTACAGTATAATAGTTTTCCATATAAAAAAAATTCAGCAAATCCTGGATGTGCTCTCTACTGAACAGCTGCTCGCCTAACTAGGAAGCTCTCCACTTTGGCAGTTGAACATTTGTGTTTACAAGCAAATTTAAGTAAGGCACTGACTAGGGTTAAAGAGATTTGATCATTCCTTTAGTGCCACCGTATTACAGCTAATCACTACTCCTCAGATATGCCCACAGCGGAAGTTCCTCGTCCCCATGTCACAAGAATCCAGCGTTTAGTTCCATCCTGATGCTTTCAGATGATCTGCGATGCCACACCTTAGCTCTGCTGACTACAGAAAATAAATGAGAAGGGCTGTGGGGTCATGAGGTGGCCCCTCTGAATGGTGGCCATTCCCATGCTCAAGGAAGGCCTGCTGTGGGTGGATTCAAACTGAGCTTACGGAAGAAAGAAAAGAAAAACATAAAGAAGGCGCCTTCTTTAATATGTGTTCATGATGGTTTTAAAGCAGCACGCCGGTGTGCACGAAGCTGCCGTAAGACAGGAAAGGCTGCAGGGCTCTGAGGTGACGACAAGTCCAACACGATTAATACTGCATGTCAACATTGAGCTCTCTGTCTCGTCTGTTTGTTTGTTTTTTTTCTTTGGCAACTTGTAAATGGAACGAGGCTCACCACAAACAACAGTGGCATAAAGGTCCGTGACCCCAACAGCGGTGTTGGTATTGCTTAAGAGACGTTGCACGCTAATGCAAAAAAATTTGGTTTCCTTTTTATCTTTATATATGAATACAGTTCTCACGTGACGTTATAAAAATGCATCAACTAGAAAAAATATCTCCTCCTCCATCAGATTATCTTGCATGTGTAAATGTCTCGATGCATGATATCAAAAGTGCAATGTTGACAATCCTTAATGGGGTTGTGAGTGCTATGAAAGCCGGGAAAGGGCAACCCTCGAAGATGGTAGAAAAAAAGACATTCTGACTTACAAATTCTTGCTGTAAGGCGTTGACAAAAATACATGTACAGTTTCTTAAAGGTGACAATAGAAATCTCATCTGCTAAGATGAACTGGTGTGTGTAGTACAAAAATATTTTACCAATCTCAAGGTGTCAAAATTGGTCTATCAGGGTGTCTACGCTGTTCAGAGACACTCCTCTGCAGCAGTAAATGCATCTAAAGTGAGACCCAGAGAGCTCCAGGCACCACTTGACTCTGACTTTGGCCACTTTTCTTGCTCCTGTTGTCGGAGAGCCTTCTGAATTATGCAAGTCTGTTGAGTGCCCTCTTCCAAGTCCCCTCATGTGGGAACACAGAACGGTGCCTGGGAGGACTCTGCAGGTCCGGCCAGCACTCGGCCTCGCCTCTCAGAGAACAGTCTGGGTTTGAGCTAGTTGGCGAGAGAGACGCGGGTCCTGGCAAGGCAGAAACTGGTGGTCGACGACAGGGCTGACAGCTGGAGGGTCGCTGAGCTCCGAAACCAGGCGATGAGAAGGGGACCCGGGGAGTGAGGCGGGCCGGAGAGGAGGGGGCGCGCCGGGGGCCAGGGGGGCCTCACGGGGCAGGGGACAGGGGATGGGGACGCTCGTCCACCGGCCTCAGAAGCTCCCCTGGACAAACGTGTGGCTGAGCAGAACGTCTGCACTCGGCCGCCACTTCTCCTCCACAAAGACCTGTCGCAGGAAGTCCTTACACGCTTCGGACACGCCGTCTGGAAGCAGGGGCTTCGTGGGCTGCGTGGCAATCTTAAAAAGGGCTGCCATGGCCTCAAACTCTGACCAGGGAGGTTTCTGAGTCAACATCTCAACAACAGTGCAGGCGACACTCCTAAAAACACACGCACAAAAAGAATTTAGTTATGCTTAGAAACATTTTTGAAAAATAATTTGCTATTTTCAATTAGATTCCTGTGATATTTTTAAGGCTCAAGTGGAGCACATAGTAAAAAAAGTTCTCAGAAGTTCTCCAAACTGAACTCTTTACCACTGACTCCTGCTCATAAGTGCTGAATATAAAACATGAAGCATCCCTTTAAACTACAACATTTCACTTAAACTGGGACATTTTGTTCATAAATGCTTTCATCTGTAGTTTGAATTTTATAGATGTCTAGATTTGTGGTGGACTGGGACACTTTATATGTTGCACAGTCCTCTTTGTTGATTGGTCCAACATTGTTCTAAGTCAGTATTTCTCATGTTACTAACTGCTCAGGAAGAGTATACATCATTTATTTACAGGCAGTGCACCCATGAGGTTATTTAGTTGCATTTACTGTAAAGGAGAGACTGATATCCCCTCTGGGCCTGACTCCTTTTATTTCAGTCTGATAGTATTCTTACCATACGTCGGCCTTCCGGCCATATCCCTCCCCATTGATGACTTCGGGGCTCATCCAGTAGGGGGTGCCAGTGACAGACTTGATTCCTGTACCAGACATGCAGATGGTCTGGATACGTTTGCTGGCTCCAAAGTCTCCAAGCTTCACATTCCCTGAAGAGTCTCTCAGGATGTTAGCACCTGGTGGAACCAAAGCAAAATGAGCTCAGTTATTCAGGAGTCTCCGGAGGGCTGTCAATCTCGTTTTAGGGGTATAGAGCTTGGAGGTACAGTTAATGTGCTCGTGAAGTCTCTGTGCCAGCGCGTCAACTGACTTCAAGGGAAAGGTTAACGTTTCCAAAGCCAAGATATGGGCTAAGATATTTTCTACATTACCGAGGGAGATCTTGAAGCTGCACCCCGACGTCATGCTACACCCCCGCCAAACTCCACAAATACCGAAGCTGATCTTTCCTTTACATTCCTGTCTTTGGGGAAACTGCCCAGTTCGCTTTCACAAATCAGAAACTCAAATACTAAGTAAACTGCTCCACACAAGGCGGACAGAGCATCGACACCCTCTCTCCTCCTTCCTTTGCATTTTTCCGACATGTAGCCGCGTCCATCCCATTTCCTTCGGGGCACACCACTTGTTTGATCAGTGACTAATGTGCACCACTTGCCACTCGGCCTCCACACCCACCGAGGGATTAGGTGGCTGCGTAGTAGACACCGAGAGACAAAAACAGCAACCTTTACAGCTCACTCATTCAGCCCGTTTCCTCTGTCTGCACAGTTATGACACACGCAGCATGCAGGCTGCGGGGCCTTCGCATAAATCAGACATTAATATTTGTGACTCTTTGGAACATAACGTTTACAGAAACGGGTGTAATGTCACGGCTGCTATGCCAAGCTCCGCTCAAAAAACCACAAGGGCTGACATCTCTTTCCCTGCGAAAAGGGGAGCTGTTGTGCTCCGGCCATATTTTACACACGCAGAGCATATCCTAAGTGGAAAATCCCACCCACGCTCGCCCTCACAGAGCCTGGCTGTGTCCCGTGTGACCCACTATCTCCTGCCCCCCCCCCCACACACACACCAGACGGTACATTTCCCTCTTTTTTGGCCGAGGTTTGACGAAGCAGGTCTCCCAGAGCTGCGGGCAGCAGAACTAAAGCCTCACCATCCGGTGTTGAGCATTTTTAGGCTGGCCATTTTCACCAGCGTGAAGCCCAATGTATCTCAAAGGGATGTTCAAAATAGCCCCTTTTTTCCAGGCCTATTCCAAATTACCGAATGGAATGGGATGTAAACTGGGATAACGTGAATGAATTTGAGGTTTTCTCTGCAACAGTGACCTTAAGACATATGATATATTTCATGTGTGGGTCTCTCGGGTTATTAACCCAACTCAAGTCTGTTCTTCCCTTCACTAGTTTGGAGTTTTGGTTACCTTTGATGTCTCTGTGTACAATCATGTTGCTGTGCAGGTAGGAGACTCCCTGGAGGATCTGTCTGGTGTATCTTCTTGTCACTTTCTCCGTAAGAGCTCCGTAAGCTTTTAACTGGTCCTTTATTGAGCCCTGGAGAGATGACATTAGAGGGGGACAAAGTTTTCGTGAATACTTGTGGACGCGGGGTTGAAAAAAGTGCAGCGGCTGCAGTAATCACACTGACACCCTGGAGTGGAGTTATTTTGGTGTTTGGAAAAACACACCTCCAGCCAATTTCCAAGTCCAAAAAAGCAAATATGCAAACACACAAAAAGCGGAAAGAAGTGCGCCAGATACTGTGTCCAAACCGCCCCCAGAGCTGCGTTTCCTTTCATTTCCCGTCTAACGTTGCTCCTCGAGGAAATCTCACGAGTGAGGAGCTGATCCAATAAATCTGTGACGCACTTTAGAAGAAAACAAAACATCTCCCTTTTCACTTTCAGCCCTGGACGAGACACCTCAGAGGCTCCCTGCCTCTGAGCGGGTCGGCCACTTCCCACCTCATCCGCTCTCCCCCCCCGGACCACTCAAGTGTTATCGGTCAGCAACAGCAGTGCAGCCGCGCCGCACAGTCAAACAAGGACTTGGCTTCGTCAACTCCTCTCTTACCTCCGCCAGCTCCGCTAAAACATAAACATTTCCAGTTTTCGGACAATGTGTGACTAAGACACCCAACGGTGCCGAGAAATTAAAAACAAAACAAGAAAAAACACTTCTCAGGAAATACTGAAAGCAGGCTCAAGGACAGGGTCCACAGGCGACAGTCCCTCATTAAAATGCTCATTTAGTGAGAAAACGATCTCATAAAATGAGCTGCTCTGCTCACATTATCCACTAAGAGCCTGTTTGCTGGCAGCTGGTGACATTTTCAAATGATTTGACATCAAGCAGATGTTGACCTGATGTTCATCCTAAAACATCCACCCTTTCCAACAGCTCAGGCAACTCAAACAGTCAGAAATACAGGCAGCGGACTCATAAATATACACACCCCAGGCATGAACTCCACAAAAATGGTGAGTTTTCTCTGTTCCAGGTCCCGCAGACAGCCGTAGTACTGGACGATCCTGTCGTGTCGCAGGTTTTTCAGCAGCTGGATTTCACACTCCAGAGCGTTCACTTCCTGCAGAGAAAGATATTGACGCGCCGACCGTAAAATCACTCTGCGCCACGCCAGAAACGCACACGCTCGGCGCCTTATTCCCAACAGATGTGGCGTCCCTCTGGCCGAACGTCTCTCACCTTGCTCGTCTCTTGACAGTCGGGATCAAAGGGCACCTGCTTGGCGGCCAGCTCGCGGCCCGTGTCGGCATCGTAGCAGAGGTAGACCTCCCCGAACGCCCCTCGCCCCAGGAGCTTTCCCTGTCGCCAGTTGACTGGCGCCCGCGGTGCTGCAGAAACACAACACCAGATGAAAACCCACAAATAAGCCCCCGAAGACAGACAGCGACATCGTGATATACTGGTCTGAGAGTAAACCAACACTGAGGCTGTAAACTGTAACTCACAATAAACCTCACCAGACAAGACGTCAAATCCACCACAATTTACTAAATAACTCCCACAGCCAGCCCTCGCAGATTGGGGGAAACCCTACATATCGCAGACAGGCCGTCAAACCACAATCCGCCAACTCAAAGTTGTCAGAACCTAGAAAGATCATCCCAGCAGCGCGCTTCCTCTCAGGCCCAGACTCTAAGACTTTGTTTTGGACTTAGTAGGCTTCTTTGTGGTTGTGATAAAACTGTTTGGTTGTGTGTGGGTGAGTGAGCGAGACACCAGAGACTGGGACGTGGACCACAGACTGCTGAGCTGAGCTTTGGCAGCCTGACAAAGACAGTTTCTGGGCAACCGGCACGTAGAGACTTAATGAGGACAGATGTCATCAGTGAGCTTAAGACACGGACCGATCTGGTTGAGGAGAGGGGAATTATGCCTGTTGTGATTTACAGTATTAATGTACATCACTTCTATTCCTTCTGATTCCGTAGAACTAAGAATTAAAATAGATTTGACAGCTAGTGGAAAACATTATCCTTAATTTGCCTCTATCCTTTGTAGCAAAACTCATATGAACTTATTCAATCTTATCTCATTTTTTTAACCTTGGACACACATTTAAACAAAGGCCCGATAAAGGAGTTAATAAACAACTGAAAAATAAATCTTTTTTTTATTTCCTTTTTTTTTTTAGCCGTCACGGTCAAAATGCTGAGCTTCTTTAGGGCCAACGATCTTTTCTGTCACTGACCGCAGTAGAACATTTGATGCCCCTTTGACATAAGGAAGAGCAACAGGATCGGGCGGGACTGGATTTCTTTGGTATCCATCAGTATTTACGTGTGTGTCTGGAGTGTGTTGCTCTGTGTTTTTTTTCCTGGTGAAATACTTACACTTGGTCGTGCCCCGCTGGCAGCTTTTGCCCAGCGAGCGCAGGTCGCTGTACTGCAGCGTGCTGTCGCCGTTATAGCTGCGCGTGCGGCTGGAGGGAACCAGCTGGAACAGGTTCTCCTGCGGCATGAAGCTGCGCGGGAGGGTCCTGCGACCTGAGGACACAACCATTCGACGTCAGTGACCGTCTGCCCGCTCCAGGCCGCTCATACCCTCACTTTCGCATTGGGTTGCGCATAAAGCGACCAAGAGTTTTGGGCCCGGCCAGAGCCTCTCACCACTCTGTCCCGCTTCCCTTCAGACAGGAAGCAGGGCTCTGTGTTTTTATACAAGTTCGGGTTCACCGCAGGGAGACGTAAATCACTGCTAGCCAAGGTTAGCCTCTGAGTAAGCAATTGCAAGCAGCTGCGCTGCACTCATTGTGCAGAATTCTGCACCAAAAAAAATAAAAATGTGAACGCGCTCAATGTTATTCCACAATATCTTATGCGGAAGTGTAAAATGTGAGGAGGCTGCCATTAAAAACCAGGCCAGACGCTCGATGATAGACGAGTGTGTGTGTCTGTGTTTTCCTGTAGACATAGTAACATCTCTCTTAAAAGTTGTGCAATAATGGTGTTATTGTTATTCCTCTAGTAAAGCTGGTCTCTTACGATCTCCGTAATCTTTGCTGCGATTGGGCAACTGGAACTGGCGTGGGAAGGTCCCTCCTTTACCACTGCGGCCTGAAAAGAGGGAGCAGTTGTTGTGTCAGCAAAGGAATTCTTAAAGTGTGAACAACTGGTCTTATTCTGTCAACTTAAACCTGTTTTAGTAGCACCTCTTTCATAGCGGGGATGTTCATACACTTCTCAGGCGTCTTTTTCTTTTCAATAAATCACATCTGACACGCACACACATAAACACACACACACTCTGTTTTTGCTCATCTCTGCGTGTTAGGTCAGGCACAAGTCGAGCGCGGCCTTTCACACATGGAGTGGAGCTGTCGTACTGGCTCGTTGCAGCCAAGGCAGAAACTGCAAACAGCCCCAGAGTGCTTAGCTGAGCCCCCGCTCGGAGCGCAGCGGAGCAGTAACTACAGGCAGGTGGGGAGCGCCGCTGACGCATGCGAGCGCCGGCACTCTTAGCACACGCACGGAGAGGGGAGCAGCGGAGCCACTCGCAATTGAAAGCAGCTGTTCTGTCAGATGATTGCCTCCCCTCGCGCTGTTTTTTTGCGGCCGTATCCCATGGAGACGGGAGTTATTTTTTGTGTTTGGCAGCACGGGACGGAGAGGAAAAATCTACTCACAGGGAATGATAAACAAACACTGCAGCCCTCGGCAGGAAGGGCCACACAGCTCTACATCTGGGAGCGCGCGTGTGTGGACGTTTGGGTGTGCAAGCAAGTGCACGAGCGCCCAGGAGAGTCCTCAAGTGCTGCTGCAGCTATATGAGGCTGTGTACACAATGTGCATAAGTCCAGGTTTTTTCTTTTTAATTTACAGCATTGTGGGGAGGGAAGGGGGGACCGGCAGATTGAGAGAACTGCTGAGTTCAAAAGGGTTAGTGTGGCGTTATCTGTCATGCTGCGCCATTTGATCTGCGTTCTGAAGAAAAAGGGAACAGACGGGGACCCAGGGGACAAGAAAGAGACGAGCAGGGGGCTTCAAGAAGCGAGAAGCGGTCATGAAAAGGCAGCATCTATTAAGAAGTGGTTAAAGAAAAGAGATAAAGATGAGAGATGTTCTGAGTGACAAAGGGTATAGAAAAAGACCGAATAAAAGGGGCCACAGAGTGTGGGGAGGATAGCGCTAGGGGAGTTTAAGATTCTATCAAGCTCCACTCAGTTCCTCATAAAACCTAAGAAAAACAACCAAGATGTTCACCACGTTCACACCGACCTGCCTAAACTCACAGATAAAGCTCTGTGAAAAAAATAGCCTTGTCTCCTTGTGTCCTATCTCCTCCACAAGACACTTGGAGAGGAACACGTTTTTCCCTTCAAACTTAAACATGGCTATTATTACCACAGCAAAAACGTGATAATAAACCAGCTTTATGTGGCGCATGAGCAGGAAAATTAGCTCAGCAGCAAAGAGGAATTCTTAATAAACTGGAGTAACTGCTGCACATGTGTCCTTTCTTACCTTTGTATTCATAGTTGAGATTCAGGCAATTATTGTCACGGTTGTTCTGGGAGAAAGGCGGGCTGAAATCACAAAGAGAGCAGGGGGAAAGTTGTAAAATCGTACACTGTTTCGGTCGGAAATCCCCCTTATCTTCAAAACAGAGTCTGGTTCCAGCTGCAGGGCCAGGCAGGCTCATTTTCGCTGCTCACATTTGACTTTTAAAAGCTCATTTGGAAAAGCAAGAAGTCGAGAACATGTCTGTCATTTTTTCAATAGCGGCGAGAGGAAAAAGTGTGTGGAGCTGCATTGCTGAACAGGCAGTGAAACCAATTGCACACTTTAGTATGCAATGTGCGCCCACCCCCACCCCCCCCCCCCAAACAAAAACAAAAAAAAAGCCTCCCACCCTCACCGGCCATTTGTAAGCAGCCTCGTCCCGTCGAGCCGCCAGAGTGACGTCTCTGGTGACCACAGGGCGGCGCGGGGCCACGAGACCCTGGATAAGGGGCACGCATGCCCGTTCGCAGGGAAAAGTTCCATGCACTTGTTTCCTGCCATTGTTCTGCAGCCCGGAGCCCTGATAAGCCCCGTGCAGGTAGAACTGTTTCCGTCCTACTCCAACAGCCCCAGCTCTCTCGCTCACTTGTGCTTTCCCCTTTGATTCAGATTCAGTCCTCTCCACTTCACACTCTTCTCGCTTTTTTGGCTCAGCTTTTCCTCTCATCCCGCGTGTTCTTGTTCGCTCCGTCGCATCTCCCACTCAGTCACTGCTTTCCTGGCTTTAGCGATAACAGAGGAATCCGGGCGTCCAGATAAGAGTTGTGTCTCTATGGCAACCGCTAAATGACCTGATTCCTTTTCCACGCAGCGAGCCCGGGAGGGGTCAAAGACCTGGGCTTGTCTTTCGCACCGTTTATAAGCAGCAGTAAGGAGCTCTGGGCGTGTTTGCAGAGCGCACGCTCACCCGAGACCTCCGGTGCAACCCCGGCCTCAAATGAATGTACATAACGATGCCGTGCAACATGAATGTGTTGACCATAAATCCACACAGACGTTGGCCATAAATCCCACACATACACACACGTACAGACACTGTGTGATGACTCACCTGTCCAGTGCTTGGTCTATTGACTGGCAGCTGCTTGACAGTGAGTTGTCTGCACTCCCAAAAGGATCCAGCATCTGACAAACCAAGGTCACAGAGCATACAATCATGTGAACAGTGTCTGTACAGTCACCGTGGCTCTAAAATGATATTACGCTGAAGTATATAAAAAAAAAACTGATTACAAAAGCTAATATCATGCAGCTTAAGGCGGTATCATCAGCAAAAACAACTAAAACCAATGGGAAGAGATAAAAGAAAGAGATTTTAGTCTATTAAATGGGTAAATAAAGACAAAATCCTAATATAATCACCCTGGAACCATGATGATTAAGAAAGAAGAATTCATTCTATTAATACTATTTCATGACCTTAAAAGTAAGCAACTGGATCAGTTTTTATCCTGTGATAACAGGATAAATCATGTATTCCACTGAAACATATCAGCAGGCATAAAGCGGCAAATTAAAAAGGGTCATTCACAGGGAATTGACTCAAAGTGCAGTACGGTTAATTTCCAATAAGCCAAGAGCCCAAAGAGAAACTGTAAAGCTGGATGAAATCAATGAAATAATCAGAAGAGTTAGATATGGGAGCTACAATCGTAATCCTACTACTTTCCATCTAGATTTAACATGAAAACAGGCCGACAGTGGACCTAACAGGACTGTCCTCAAACAAGCATTTTCGTCATTTTGTTTTGTTTTCTTAAAGCATTGGGCATTCACCATGTGCATAAACCCTTACATTCTGGTCTGAGGTCTCTGGGATGAACTCCCCTTCACTGTGGATGCTGGTGTAGGAGCCCTGGCGGGCGATCTGCTGCTGCTCTTCTGGGACACTGCCTGGAGGCGGGGACGTCCGGCCTGTGTGGAGGGAGCCTGGGAAAGGTGGCGTTCATTGGAGCAAAGTGGAGAGAAAAAGGAGGACGGGGATCGGATGGGAATGAGAGACAAGAACGAGGGCAGAAATTAAGAGGTAAAGGCGAGAGGGAAAGGGTTGAGCAGCAGGGAATGAAGAGATAAAAAAGGGGGAGAAAACGGCATCGCCGCGTTATTCATGGATACCAGTTCGACAGAGTCACGACTACGAGAGATGATTTACTAAACCACAGCGCTGCCACCTCTCACCTCTATTACTGTGACAAACGCTCCCCTGGCTGATCTGCAGCAGAGGCTGAGCACTCGTCCTTGTAACACTGAAAAGACCCACTGAAACCACCACTGGCTGAGCTGACGGCCGAAAGGCACCAAGACAGGTGTAAATTCATAAAATATGGCTGGAATGAGCCGTCAAAGGGCCAAAAATTCCAGCTCCTTGATCTTCAATTTCTATCCATCTCTCACATTTTGCGCCGCCCCCCCCCCTTGCTGTTACCGAGGAGTCCGAGCTGACATCACATCTTCACTTAACCATACACTGTGACGCTTTCCTGTCACCTCTTATCTGCCACCTCTGCTTCCACTTATCTCAGCCCCGTCCTTCCAGACTTATAGAAGGCAGGTGGAGGATCCGGTAGGAGAAAAAAAAAAAACTCAACTTGGGATTTATGGCCCGGGACAGTGACAGCATCGGCGCGAAGGCAGCGACGCCAGATGGATAGGAGCTGACAGCAATCGCAGCTACTATTCAGAAATGCAAATGCGCCTCCGAAAACGAGCCCTGCTTTGTCTCCGCCGGTGTGCGAGGCTCGGAGTCCCACTGACGCTGACCTTTCCGGACAGATGCGATATAAAGGACGGGGAAAGCTACAGACATGTGAGACCTGCTGTTCCGCAAAGCAAAATAAACCTTCACCTTGCATTACCAGAACATCAAGCGGGTGCCACCAAAGCTAGAGAGAGCAGTTATTTCCCATAGTGTGACGTAACATAAATCAGTCTGAGAGGAGCATTTTCACCCTTCTGGGTTTTGTATTCTGTCTTTTCTGACAAAGATCTACAGATTCAAACTACAAAAAAATATGTTTTGTATTTTCTAAAACGTCAAACTTTGCCATCAGCATCTTCAGATCCGCACTTTTGACCGTGACAAAAATCCAGCGGAGCAGAGAAGAAGATGTGTGCTGATGGTTGCTGGGGAGGACAGACACCGCCGTGACGCCTCTCTGCTTACACTTCCCGTTCGCATCGTCTCTTCTGAACGAACACGGCTCTCATCTATCCATTAACATTCCCCACGACCGACCGCCGCCGGGGTTGTGAGGCATCTCTGTGCAGTCATCCTCAATGGCACACAAACTGAGTCAGGAGTCCTGGTAACAGCAGCATTGAGCCGTAACCCCACCTGCTTTTGTTTGTTTTATGTCCGCCCCCTCTCAAGCGTGAAGTCATGTACACGTTTCCATCTAACAGCCTCTGGCTGAAGCTGTGAAGGACGACACCGCTTTGTTGGCCTCACCTGTGGAGTGTTTGCGCACCCTCTCGGAGCCCTTGAGCAAAGACCCCTTCAGATCTCCCAGCGACCGCGACGATTTCATCTCGCTCTGTTTGTCCCTGCCGTTCACCTGTAGAAACTGGGAGCAGGGCAAGAGGCAGGAAACGAGGAGGGCATGACATCAGTGAGAGTCTGTCTCCACTAATTCAAACAGCATATAGTTAAAAAACCAAAAAAAGACCCGACTCAAATGTTTGCACGCATCGCTACTGACTCACATGGTTGTTTTTGGGGGTCTTAAGCAGTATCCTGAGAAGCCCGTTGGTCCCAGAACCACAGCCCAGAGTCAGCACGGCCTGATCAAGGTCTTCCTGGCTCTTCAGGGGCAGCAGCAACTAAAAGCACCACAAAGCAAAACGCACATGACCTTTCGCTCCCCTTTGTTCCATAAGAAGCCACAGAATGGACATGTAAAGCTACCAAGAGCCTGTTACTTCATCAATATGCAGAATTTAGTTCGGCTTTATGCCTCACATGTTTCCTTTCAGGTGAATTTCCAGCACTACCAAATATTTTGGCTTTTGAAAGGCCCGGCAACTACAAAAAAAAATTTTTTTTTTAACTCAGAGTGACACTATCCCCTCGCCAAGCGATTATTTTATATTTATTAAGCCACCATGTGAAAGTTACAAAGAGCGAATCATGAATCAAACTTGCACAACAGAGGGTCAAGAACTGATAAATGAAGCGTTCAATGTTCTGCACTGTTCCAGTGATCAGGCCGTCACTACACCAGATGTTTATGCTTATGGTTGGATATATTTCCCAACATACAGAAATTTACAGACACATAAGAGAGCTCATTTTCATTTGTTGGCCCACAATAGGGAACAAAAAAACATCATTAGAAATGCTCACATTAGTGACTACAGACCTTAACTTCCCTATTCCATTTATTTAAACCCGTTTGGAAAGTTTAAAAGGACTAAATGTCTCTTTTGCAAGTGGTAAAGAAGTCCAAGTCCCAGCTGCTTTCACCCCCCCCCCCCCCCCCTCCTGTCAATGTCTTGCCTCTTTCTCCATAAAGAACATGTCCATCTGCTGGCCAAAGGCCTCCGTCACTTTCTGCTGCAGCTCCTTGATCTTCAGCGGCCTCTGAAAGGGGATGATTCTAGAAAAAAAAGAAAAGAAGAAAAAATAAGAGGAGGCCAGCAGAGTCAGAGACCAGAGGAAGAAGTTTCTGTTGTGTCTGGGGGAAGCTCTGCCCGCCTCCAGACACGGCAGAAAGTATTGAGTAACGGGCGAGTGTGAAAGGCCCTCTCTATTCCGGTCATTCCGGTTTTCTGACATTTGTTGGGATTGCAAAAGCAGGCGAGAATTTACTCGTCAGACTTTCTATGATGGCGTTTCTATGGCAACGGGAAGAGAAATGGGTAGGTCAGCAGGGTCAAGGAGAGGAGTGTGCCAAGACGGCGAGATGCTGGTGGAAGATGAATCAATGCGATGAAAACGGAGAGCAGAGGAAACCCCTGATGGAAATGTAGAGCATGTCACAGCTTATCCGCTCAGGCCTTTTTTTGGGGGACCAGCGAGAGCCTCCGCTCGGCCCATCCGTCCCAGCCAGAGCTTATCGGCCCGTGTTGCAGAGAGAGCATACGTGGACTCATGTGTTTGTAAAACTCGACATGCATGAGTGTGTTTTCCAATCAGTGTGTGCATCGGCTGCTGTTTCAACAACGCCGGGCCTCTCCACTAAGCCAGCACAAAGGCAGATGGGAAACTTCCTGAGAGGAAAGGGGGGGGGGGGGGGGGGGGGGTCTGGAGCGGCAGCAAAAGCAGCAGGATGTGTGTCTTTCCCCTCTCTTTTAAAGAGTGACGGAGTGAGAGATACAGAGGCGGGGAGATATTTACAGACTGTGAGAGAGAAAATACAGGAGACAGCCTGAGAAAATAAAGAGAGAGAGTTTCTCTCCAGTCTTTCTTGTCCTCTTTTTGTTCTTTTTTTCAACCTAACCATCTCCCCTCGCGCTCTGCTTTCGTAGACTCCGCAGACCCCCTATCTCTGTCTAGTATCCTGATTAAAGGGCTTGTTTTTATCCCATCACTTCCTCATCAGAGGCCACCGCTCTTCCTATCTTAATGACAGCTCATTGGTCTGCTCATTTGAGGAGAGGATTCTGGGAAGAGAGAGGGTGAGCAGATCAGAGGCCAGCAGCGCTGCGGCTAAACGCTCTCTGTCTGTGTTTAGATTTAGCGTTGATGATGTGTGTGATAAAGGGCTGGAGGGATGTGGAGGAGGGGTTAAAAAAAAAAGAAAGAAGAGGCGCGGGGGGGGTGGTGCGAGGATGCTGCTCCAAAAGATATGGATTTCCTTCCTCTGCATGCGAGCAAGCATGTGGACACACACTGAGCCACAGGGGGAAAAAAATAAATAATTTGACGAGTTAAAAGAATGCTTACACACATCCAGGCGCACTCGCTTTCTATTTCCCCTTTTTTTTTTTCCCCGTGAACAAAATCACAGGCAAACACGCACAAAGAAAAAAGCTCTGGCTCTGCTCCTTGGCGCTCTGGCAGGATACCCCGAGCCCAAGCCAGGGGAAGACAGAGACACTCTGCAGCTCCTATTTCCTGCCCCAAACCTTCAGTGCGTGCCAATAAAAAGAGAGACCTTCCAATTTTATTGCACTGTGGACGGACAACACGATTATCCTGACTCAGGGACTCCTAATACCTCGAGTGCGGTGGAAGCGGCTCAGATGTAACATGTTATTTACGCTGGTTCTGCACAGTTATATTGTCTTTTTATACTGCCAATAAGATATCTCTGAAGTTTTCTCAATAATGAAAGGAAAGTTTTGATACTTCACTATTTTTTTTATTCACTCATAAGAAGGGCTGTTAAAGTCAGCTGTGTCTTACTAAAAGCTAGTTATTGGAAAGAAAATTGTTTGGTGTCTTATTAGCTTTTAAAGGGTTTCTGTTTCATTAAGGCTTTTGTTCCCCCACAGAGCCACAGCTCACAACTTTCATAAAAACCTGTTTCAGAGATGAAAAACACGTAAACCCCTGAAAGATTTTTATGAAAGTTTTAATCAACAGACATGCAAACATGAACGAACCCTAAAACCTGATTTTTTTTGCTGCTAATGCTAAATGTTTATTGACAATTTCATCTTCAAACGATTAATTTAATTTGTATAGGCACACGGGATATTAGAGAGATTTTCTCTTTGAAAAACACTAATCAAAACAGTTTGGAAAAATCTTAAAATGAACTGAAAGACGCTAAATGTTCTATGAAGCTTATTTGCGTTCTCATACACATCGTTATAGTCTTTGTTGGTATGAAAGCATATTGATTTTAGCCCCTTCTAATGAATATATGAGCTAACCGATGTTTATGTTTGACATCAATATTTTACTCAGAGCACTGATAAGAATTTTAAGTCTTGAAGTCAAATGTCAGCGGTTTATCTCAGGGAGAGCTAAGAGGTAGCAGAAGACGAGAATTTGTATGATGACAAGGAATTGTCTTTTCCTGTTCTAAATGGTTCCTCTCATAGTGAGAGTCCTTTTCCAGGAGAGCGGCGTGACGAGAAAGAGAAGAGAGCCGTGAGATGGAGAAAACAGAGGGAGGCAGAGACACAGCGAGGCGGGTACATGAAAAACTTGTCTCTGTCTCAGCAGTAGCCAATTAGGGCTGTGAAAAAGTGGAGAGGCTCAGTGTGAAGCTGCAGCCTGCTGGAGAAACGTGCTGCTTCCCTTTTCTTCTCACTCCCGCACGCCTGCAGCTTTCTAATGACCCTACCAATGTTTGTTATTTTAGTTTATATTCTGGTGATTCTAGGCAATTATTCTCATAGCTTCTGGTCAGTTTCCCCCCCAGTTATTTTGCAGCGCAACAGCACACACGGCATCTTCTCATTTTCCTCCCTGTGAAGAGTTATTCAGAGTTGGGTACGGCTTGGCAAATAAGAATTGTATTGGCTGCTTTTCCCATTTCCCTTTTAGAGGAAGTATATTACGCATGTTTTCTTGCACTAGTTTGGAGTCAACGTGTCATACAGAGTTGTACAGGAGGTGCATATCAGCTGCGTCCCAAAAAGAACGGAGATTAAGAGACCCACAGAAAGAAAAGGGAAGATGTATTCTGCCTGTTAGTTAGCAGAGGCCATGCTCCTTGTCAAGCAGAAGCAAAAGTTAATCAGGCAAGTGAGCCAAACTTACTTTGACCTAAATTAACTTCTACACTCAGCCTTAAATGAACTTTCCAGCTAAACTGTTATTTCCGGCTAAAGTGAGAGGACTAAACAATGCGATTGGCAGCCTCATACAGGGATTTTTGTGCTGACATATAAAACACTTCTAAAGAATTTATAATCCTGTGTTGGTATGAGCGTGCACATAAATAATGGTTGGGAAAGAACTGCTGTTTGCATTTATGTATGAAATATTTGACTCTCGAATCATACTTTCTCATATTGCGTCGCATTCGTGCTTTTGGAAAACTCAAGACAATCTTTTTCCAAATCTTGTTATTTCCATCCACTGTCCCTCACGCAGCTTTTAAAGTTTTTATATATTGACTGGTATGTAAAAAATCATGAATAAGTGTGTCTGCAAACGTCTCTCAGAAAGAAAAACACAAGGCTCAACAAGCATCCACGCATGGGTGAGATGGTCTGCAATACGAGCCTTGAAAAATGTATTTGCATTAAAGTCTCCAATCCCAAGATCTGTTATGTACACTTGGTGCTCCCAAAGGATAAACCAGATGTAAAGCACCTGGAAAGACTGTTCCCATACAGTTTCCCTAACACTGCTCTCTCTTTTTAAGCTTGCTGTTGTGAGGAGAGCACGCTGAGGGGTGAGGAGGGCAGAGAGAAAGCACAAGGAAACTATGAAATATTCATTTGGGGAGTGCCTGGAAGACTGGACACTAAACTGAAACACTTGGCACACCCTCTATCCCTTTGATCCCTCCTTCTATCCAGCCCTCTGTATTCCTTCTCTTTCTTAAAGCGAGCCTGAAACACGAGGCCTCAGCTAAATGTCAAAGGAGGAATTTTCCCTCTCTTTATGCGGCTCCGGCGTGTAGCTGTGATTTCCTCCCTCAGACACAAAATCCAAGGCATGGCAAAGCGTGGCAAAGCATAACAAAAAAGGATCCCAGCTACACAGTTAAGGCTTGGACGGAAGAGTAGAAAAACAAGACGGACGGAGGTTCCAACATACCGTTTTTCTCTCTCATGCTCCAGCTTCACTCTTAAATCCTGTAGAGAGGAACAATAACAACAGAGGGGAGTCATGGAAGTGGAAAGTTTAAATGATTCAGGGTTGTATATTGGACATGTCGAGCTGAATAAATGAAAGTGATAAACTGGTCGTGGAACTTAAATGACAAAAAGCATCAAAAGGCTGTTTACAGTTGTGGCTTTTGTGTGTAATACAAAGACAACATTATCCTTCCGATCGGCTCCAACGATGGCATGGCACAATCTACTGCCTGTGTTCTCCTCAAAGTCATTACCAAAGGGAGCAGGAATCTGGAGGAGCCTGTAAGTCTGCGTGAGGTCATTGTGATAAACTAACACTGTCATCGTATCAGTGCGGGCCACTGGGTGAAAAGTGGGGGGTTTACCCCAGCTCACAGAGGAAAACGGCGGCCCTAAGCGGAAACCTTCTCTGCTCCTCTCCGTCTGTTTATGTCCCATCATAAACACTGCTGCTTTAAGAAGATTCGCCAATTATCATTCCCCGGGCAGGAAACAAATGAACGAGGAAGCAACTTAGGAGGGCAGCGCGAGGTGGCTTAGAGAGGCCCAGCATGAGAAAGTGAAGGACAGTGGCAAGCTGTCAAAAATCTGTCAGTTTTGTTTCTAATTTGCTCTTGCAAACCACTAAATCACCCACCGAAACCCAAATCGGCGCAAAAGTGTGGTCTAGCATCTGATTTACAGAGTAGATTTCGAAATTCCGATTGGTCGTGAACCCTCTCAAATTAGTTCCAGTAGTTTAACTTGGCTCAATAAGCTGCTTTTTTTGTCCTCTCCAATACTACAGCACGACCTTCACCTGACTTAAACTGTCTGCTCAGCAAAATAAGTCCAAAAAAAGGAAAGAGGGCTCTGGCGCACTTTATCTCAGCCCAGAAGGAAAGGATCGGAATCAAAGGTCCTCCTGGTCTTAGGGCTGTAAAGGTTTGTTTGCCTAAACATGTGGTCCCAGTAAAGGCGCATGACTCACAGTTGATTCTAAAGGTGTGTGCTTTCAAGGGTTTGACAGGAACTTTCATAAAATTCCTGAAAATGAATCAACCCATCTTATGTAAAACACGCTTTGTGCCCAAATCCGTGTTCGATTTCTGGAGACGAGGTGCAACAGACTGGCCCCCGGATCGCATCATATTCTGCTCGGCTCTGAGTAGCAGAAGGCCTCCAGCTAGACAACAACAAGGCTTCATCATCAAACTGACAGCCGGACAGAGGCCGGACAGAGGCCGGACAGAGGCCGGACAGAGGCCGGACAGAGGCGGAGGGGGGGCAGCAGACGCACCTGTCTGTAGAGTAGAGTCCTGTTCTTGGGCTTGTGGCTGTTTTGCTGGCTGTAGCAGCGGCCCAGGGCTGCCAGGTCCTTCATGATGGAGTTGAGCGCCTCCTCGTCATCTGAGGGCAGAAGATGCACATCAGTTTAAAAAAAAGAAAAAAGAAAAAAGAGAGAGACTTCATACAGAAACACATCTCTTAAGCGCTGTAACTTTCGGCATTCGGCGTCCTCCCCTGGATAAAACGGGGCACCGATGGGACTGTTTGCGTTTGGAATGTTGTTGACGAGTTTTAATCTGATGGTCCTGTCATTTGGTTGGCCCTGAAGCTTATCTTGGCTCAGACCAAGCAGTGAGGCAACACCTGGTCCGCCGTTTCCTGTGTTCTTTCCACCTGTGATGTTTCCACCGATGGAAACAATCCAGCGGTTTCTCTGTTACCTAATAAGAGCAATGTGCTCTTCAAAAAAAACAAAACAGAAAGCACCGGTTCCTCTACATGACTGTGTCAGACACATCTCACCTGATCGTTGGCGCTACTCAGGCATGAATCCAGTGAGGAAATCTGATGCCACAGATTTGATCTTACTTAAACTGTATTCTGCCGCTGAGGATGTGAAAGTGCTAAGGAGCTCAATGACGCCAGGGGGTTTTCTGCCGCCTGTCGCACAGGGCAAACAAAGTCGCCTGGAGCTTTAAATATTTCATCATGAATTCAATATATGGGCGTAAATACTTCAGGAACAGAAATCAGACGAAAACCAAGCGGCTCTTTTGTCAAATTCTGAGCGATTCAGACCCAAAGTGGCTGCAGGCCTGAGAGAACAACAGAAAAAGTCAGAGGCGTTCTATGTTCACAACTCAGACCTTATCTGTAAAATCTGCCAGGTCGAGTGTTCATCAGTGCCTTCACATTCATTCTGACAAAGTTCAAAGAGATCAACATCTCACCAGCGTCAAGCCAGAGTTCCATTTTGTCACTTCTGTCACAGCACAGCCTCCTCAGCACGTAACACAAACGCGAGGGGAACTCAGTAATAGAGATATTAGACGAACTGGTTATTAAAGCATGTCAGAAAAGTGAGGTATTTGACCTCCTCCAGCCTCCAGCCTTAAAGGCCGGAAGGCTGACGAGCACATTCTTTATAAAAACACACACACACACGAAAAACCACATTCTTTGAAATAACTGAAATTTGGTGTTTGTGTGAAGTTTTGGAAAGGAGTTGCTGTGGATAACGAGGGCGGCACATGGGGTCCGAAGTGCCCCAGAACGGCCAGCTGTCCACAGACAGAGGGTCAGGCTGGGTTCAGCCCAGGGTCACCAGACAAATTAGCGTTTTACAAATGCTCCAATCTGGCTTTCTCCCACGCGCAATGTTTCAACAACTAGTCAAAAATCAAAGCTCCGGCTCCTAAAATAAATCTAGAAATGTCAAGTGAAGCACAAGCGCCGAGGCCCCATCAGTAGGTTCAGTCTTCCTGTTTAGGTGTTATTTCCAGAAACACTACAGCCAGGTTCCGTGTGATGACACCATTTATAGTCTCATCCAAATTCAGGCCGAACTTCAAAGTTCGTTCGATGCCTTCATGTGGTTCTGGAGCCAAAACTTGAAAAACACACTAACCTCTTAGCAAAGTAAACCCTCAATGAATGTTTGATAAAAACCCATAAATAGGTTTTTTGACATTTACTCATAAGCCTCTTCTTATTTCACAAAATGGAATAAGAGGATATCCACACCATTTTCCTCCTTTTTTTTCTGTTCCTGTGTATTAAACTGGACGCCCACATTGTTTGATATCCAGCTAGCAATCTCAAGCTAATGTTAGGTGTTTGTCAGAGTCGAGGCCGTTCCCTTGCATTTAGAAAACACAGAAGCAGTCTTAACTGGAGGGCACAGGCCACAGAAACAATCCGGTCCTCAGTAACACACAGCCGCTAGAAATTGTGCTTAGCGTGCATTCTGCTGTCAGTCTAAACTTCGATGGAATGCATTAAACACAAACAACTTAATGGTGACGGCCAATTTGGAAACCAACAACAAATCAGTCAAGTGCTTTTCGTGGCGACTGGATTTATCCCCTATCTGAAGGATCTTTGGACAAGCAAAAGGTTTTGCAGACTACTGGAGGAGCAGAGTTTGGGCCCTCTTAAAGGGTCCTGACGTAAGATCTGACCTTTGGTGTAATTTTATGAAGTGACAGCCATGAGACCCAGCAGCTAAAGACTGGAATGAAGTTTTTTTATTTGTTGAGGATATGACTCAAAATCTAAATGGGTTTGGTGACAATTATGTCCGATTAAACATGCACGCGTGTAAACAAAGCGCACAAAGGCTCCGTCCATCAAAGCAGTTCCAAACCTGGAGCTCGGGCTCAGAGAGGAAGCTTGGCCAGAGAGAGCGTGAGCTGTCAGCCGCGGCGGGTGACTAACCGCTCGGCCGGGCCCGGCCGCTCCGAACAGGAAGGAACTGAATCACTGCCTCTGCTCTTAAAGCAGATCTGGGCAAACCACGTTGCTACTCCACATCAGGAAATTAATGGATTTTTGATGGAGACACAAGGCGAGACGCCGCTTTTCCACATCCACTCTGATGCAATGATCTATTTTTTAAAAACATAGCTGTTTTTCTCCCTTTTTGGTCACCTTTCGAACTTTGGATGGATAATGGTGTTTATTATTGCTTAATGTGTGGCTTGAATAATAATATTTCCATTGTTCGAATTGTTCAAAAACAAGAAAATGTATTTCATACACACACAAACACACATTATATATATATATAATGTGTGTTTGTTAGTAAAAACTACTCAGTCCCGGCCTCAGTGGTATCTGTCCTCACTCCCCATCCTCACAGCCTCTCTGATGACGTGTGTTGTTTCTGTTCTGTCTCCACAGGCTCAGAGCTCCAGACTCTCCTTCGCACTCGCAGTCAAGGATACAAAATAAACAGAGGCCTGCACGTGTTTCTATGTGTGTGTGTGTGTGTGTGTGTGTGTTTCCAAGGCCTGCTCTGTAACCTATGGATAATAGCAGGGGGAGGAGGGGGAGGGGGGAGTGAGAGTGTGAGAAATGCGTGGTGGTGCCCAGAGCTCGCTTCTAAATGAAGTTATTACATCACTCTGGCCTGGTCCATGGCCACTGCCGGGCCGGGGCCAGCCAAGGCTAACCACCAGCACAGTGGAAAGCAACCAGCTCACACACCAAAGTCACGCCCCCGCCAGAGTCAGCCCCACAAAAAAACGGCTTCAGGAACCTCAATGTGGCCAAGGATCCTGTCCGTGCAGCCGACGGGTTCTGGTACCTGCAGTTTAGTTCCTGAGCTTTCCTTGGATTCTGGGGGAAAAGTGACTAGCATAAGAAAAAGAGGGGAATTCCAGGAAGTCATGCCGAGGGAGCAACATTACACAATGAAGGCTGATTGTGGTGCATTGCATCATCACTCTGCTTCTTCTTTTTTTTCTTTGTGTTCCCTGGCTGGGTGCAAAAGTGGCAGGAGATGGAATGGAGCAGGAACTCCAGTCAGAGAGAGACAACTGACATAGATGGAGATTTTCCCCCCGTAACTGCAGTTCAAACTGCCTCTGGCTCGTTTCAGAGAGCAGCCCTGGCTTTGAGGGGCCGGCTGTGCGGCCCCCGAGCTCCTAAAAACAGTGAAAGGACCGGGAGGCCGGCGCCTGCCAGCATGAGTGAGGCAAGCTGCCTGAATGAAGACACTGAGGGGAATTCCTGACGCCGAGAGACACATCATGGCAAAGGCATCCGGCAGGATTAGCAGCTGAAACCAAACGTGTTCTCCCCGAGTAGCAGCAGTGGGGCCTAACCTCTGATGCACAGCAGGCAGCAGCTAGCAAAAGCAGCAGAAAGCCTGCGTCCCTGCACAACCTACGCACGGCCAGTTCAACAACACACACACCCAACAATGAACCGCCCCCGGTTTCACTCAGGTGTAATGTAAGCTATGGGAGGTGTGTGAAAATAGCTGAATAATTCCTGTTTGCACAAGGTCCGTGCCGACAGATGAGTTATTGATGATTGCTTCATTCAGTATGTGAGGAGAGACACATTCCTTTTCTCAGCCCTAAACTGTTTGCATTACCACCCCCCGCCTCCCCCGCAGTGACGAAAGAATGAGAGGTTAATGGAAATATGCTCCAACTATGATTTATCACGCGTTCTTATTTGATTTTTTGGTTTCTTTTAACTATTAATAACATTTTCCTACATGTGAGCATTTCAGCCAACGGCGCCGCCCCCTAAAAACGAAGGAAAACTACGGGGAGTTGTTGGAGATGTTACAAAAGGAGAAATAACATGGATTTTTTTTTTTTTTTTTTTTTTTCCATTCAGAAAATTCTCATATATCGCAAATGGATTTTTCTTCCACCCCACAGCCATGAGACAGAGGTGACTCAGTCCTCACAAAGTTCCTTTCTGTCCGCGGCTCTGGCATGCGCTTCAATGCTGCAGCCGTAAAACGCCTGGAATCTTTCCTGTTGTACTCTTGTGCAACGGCCAAAGGACAAAGTGAACGCAGCTGCAAAAGCCGAGAGGGTCCTGGTGCCGCATGTCCAGATGAGACGCACCCCGACGGGTTATGCTAACGCCGGCCACCGGTGGTGGGCGCTGCCGGGGGGTGGGGGGGGGTATGCATATACTCACACAACTGGACATTCTTGTAGTAGAACCTGTTTTTCTAGACGCCACAATGTACTTAAAGATTAATGAATGCCTTATCTAATCTTCGTTCTGTTTGTTATGGTATGCTTTGAAAAGATAATGGCACGTCCCAAATTCAAATGCACAAACAATTTAGATGTACACTTCGTAAACAGTAAATACACTGTAATATACACATTTAATAAATGTATATAGCCGTTATCCCATTTATGTTATATTAATATAGTTATATCCATTTTCTTGTTTGTGTTCTTTAAGCATTCAATGTAATTTCAAATTTTTTACCTTGTGTGCTCCTGTGCTGTCCGGGTCCATTTTGGAGACCGTCATCTGTGGAAAAAAAACAAATAAAAATGTATAATGCTTTGGGATCACACTGTGAATGGGCCCAAAATGTGCAGCCCTTCATGATGCATGTTGTTTCTTTATGCGGAGAATGGGGAAAAGATATTGATCTGATAGTTTGAGTTTTGTTTACAAAGCAACAGGCTCAGCTCTCTGCTTCTCCTTGCCTTTACGTCTCACACACGCAAATGTGTCAAAGGAGACATTGTGTTGTGTGGAAGGACACAATAAGTCTGTGGCTACGTGACTCTTTTTTTTTTGGTTCCGTCCTTCCACCTAGTTTATTTGTATTCACATCTGGTAGGTGTGAACATACATATATATATATATATATATACATTAAAGCTTTATAAATGCTTAACTGGTTATTTTTCGTCAATTTTAATTCTATAAACCCTAGTGTCAAAAATGGAGGACTTCTTTAAGGCTACAGAAATGAGAGAACAGAACTGCTTGCACGTGGCTTTTTTTTCTTGGTACTCCTCCCTTCAGAGGAAGCGTGAGTGGTGGGTATGGTTCTGTATGTACAGGGTGCACCGCAATCCGCTACTCACCCATGTTTACTGTCATCATCAGGAAGTGACCCTGTTGAACTCGAGCACAGAGCTCAACTTCTCAAAAACGAAGACTTCACCCTGAGAGCAAAAGAAACAAAACAACAACAATAAGTTTTCAACACGCTCTGAAATGTGCCGTTTTCCCCTCAGCCCGCGGCGCAAAATGTTTTTATGATTTCACAAAAAATGATGACAAAACAGGATGCAGGGGCCGTATCAACACAAAGCCTCTATTTCCACACCACTGCCCCCACTTCTGTTATTCAGTCAGTCGTTCTTCAACCGGCTCTTTTCAGGCTGAAGCCTCCATTTAAGAACAACAGCAGCCAAGAACTGCGTTTGAAGCTGGTAATTCTGCTCATCTGAAAATCTGCCAGACGGCATCAGTGGAGAATTCTTTTCTGATGCCGGCCGTCATGCGTGAGTGCGGATAGGTAGAGAGCACAAAAGCTTCTAAAGAGCAAATGCAACAGCTTCTTTTTCTACACTTTGAGTAGCTGAAAAAACCGGAGAAGAGACAAAAACCCTTTAGTCATGACACCCTCTGCTTCTCTCTTCACAGTTAAGAAAACATGGGGGAGAAAAATGGGGCCGTTTAGGAGACGATGCACGTGTTCCCTCAGCTGGAGCTTCAGGCCGACAGCTGGCTCCTGCAACAGCCTACTTGCAGATGGATTTCAGGCAAAAGCTTCGGGATATATACGAACAGGAACGAGGGAGACAGGTACATCACTATAAGTTGATTTTGTGGCCATAGCCCTCCCTGGTTTTTCTGCCTGCCATAGAGGAATTAAAAAGGCCATACAGTAGGTGCAAATAGAAAAAAAATTTTTTTAAGAAGTATTCATGAGAGAACACAACGTGTTAAACAAAAAAAAAACAATATTTTACCAAACAGAGAATACAATTAAGAAAAAAACAATGTATCATAAACCAAAGCTAAATATTTACTGGGGGGCGTCTTTATTTCTTACATCTATTGTTTTATAGAATAAACATGTTAAGTAAAAGAGAGGCGTTTGTTTCCACATGCTGGCCCATTTAACTGCTCCGATTTGCTCGGCCACCCCCAGCGTCCTGCGCAATCTACTGCGATGTAACGGAGCAGACTGACAAAGGGTGGCGTGGTCTGCATGGCGGAGTGAAACGTGTCCCTCTGAAGCTCTGCGGCCGCTCGTTTGCTGCCGCTGACCACACACAAAAGGGACGAGGAGCGGGCCGCGGGACAGGTGGTCCTCCGGCGCCGCGCACACACGGGAGGCTCAGTCCCGTGCCAGCGAGCCACCAGATGGCCCACCAGCGAGCCCCCCCCCCCTCCGCCCAGCAGGACGACTGGCAAGTGGTGGCCAGTGATCGCCCGCCCAGTTCTCCACACACCTCTTGGCAGGCGGGGACAGCCCCGCTGGTGGAAGATCAAATGCTAAATCGCCAGTCGCCCGTGTTGCTGGGCCACCCCCCCCCCCCCCCCCACCCCAGACGTCCACATGTCTCCCCAACGTGTGAAATGACCAGCAAGAGTTAACCAGAAAATGAGGCAGCATAGGATGGAACTCCAGGCGAGCCGGACTCCTTCACCCTAAAACTGAAAGAGTATTTGGGCTGGAGTGATTGAAAAAAGATGTGCGTGCTGGAGAGCCAGCTCTGACCCCTTTCGGCTCTCACGTCACCCTCTAACCGAGTAAACAGCACGACGTAGGCCCCTCGTCTCCAAGGGGGGAACACTCCCTTTTTTAGAGCAGAGAGCCCTGGTTCTGCTCTCCAGCTGCCTGCTGGCCCGGGCTGGATGACCTCATGCATGACATCATCCTCGTGGAGTCCCGGAGAAAACACCATCTGAGAGGTCGAGCTCCACATGTGGAGGGCCTCAACGGGTCCAACAAACGGACGCTCGACAGAGGACCCGCCGAGGATCGCCCGGCAGCTGATTTTTTATTTTTTATTTGGAGGATTCCTTTTGACAGACGCCTACGTCTCTGAAAGGGAAAACCTGCTTACGAACACAGCTCAACGGGCTTTTAGCCATTTACAGGAGGGTTTTGACATCTGGGGGAGGAAGGCCCACCACACGATCTTAACAGGAACAGGAACATTTCTCAGCTTTGTTTTATGCACATTGGAAATCAGCTAACGTTTGCCCCTCCAGACAAATGCCGGCGGAGGTCAGCAGGTCCCCGAGACGGCAGAGCCAGGACATCTAAACTCGCTGGCCGTTGCGCGGGGCCATTTCCATACTGCCCCCTCAGCCGTGATAAGATCAGGTGACGCGCGGCCTCACACAATGCTGCCGCCTGACGTCACAGCGCCGCGCGAGCTGTGACCAGGCCCGGAAGCGAGGGGTGATTAGCGAACCGCGGCTATTTGGGCAACTTACTCTTTTTATAAAAAGGTCAGCGGCGGGGGGGGGGGGGGGTGTCCTCTCCACTGAACGCCGGCCAAGACTGTGCCGTGGCCACCGCTCGTGAGTCAGAGGGGTTAGAGCGACCGGTTCTGGGAAGTAACACAATAGTGCGTCCTCTTGCTCACTCGTACGTCTGCTGAGGGCTTTCTGAGAGGGGACACTCCTGAGGACTTTGTGTAATTTGGAAAGAGTGAGCGGGAGGACATCACTCCACACAAGGGCACGAGCCCTCATTTGTCTCAACCTTGGCTCCCCTTGCTTTGTCTCGCAGGAGTTACAGCCGAGTTCGAGGCCAAGTTCTTCGGTGGACACCAGGCCTAATGACTCCTTCCCCACAGCCCTCCGAGAGGGTTTTCCCCCGTCATTTGGCACCAAAAGCCGTGTTTTATTTCAAACAAAGTAGCCTCCCTTTTGAGGAGAAGCCATTATTTACGGATCTGCACCTTCTGCTTTAGCTGGAAACGGGCTGTCATGCGGGTGCACGGCTGGCTGGAGGAAAGGCAGATGAGACTGAACGTAAACAGATCTCTTCATGCTGCGCAGCGCCGCCACCATTTGTTATGCTTTTTATTTCTTATTTTTTACTGCAGATCATCTCATAGTCAAAGAGAAAAATCAATCCCTCTCTGAATCTGCTGCCCTGCAAACCGGGAATCAGACAAATGGGGGACAAAGGTGACTTTGAACTCGGTGTGATGGTTTATCCCCAACACACCTCTTCCAGCATCAGAAAATGCTGAACTGTTTCCCCTGAGTAAACGAAGGTTTTGCCCCTGGGGTGAATGTGATCATGATAAAGTAGCAACTGAATGATATTACCGTGAATTTAAAAAGGAAAACAAACAAAAAAACAAACATTGGTGTCACGAGTCTCCCTCTGTGAGACGTTCAGATAGTGAGGGCAAGAGTCTGTCCTGACTTTATCTACAGTCCACGTCTTCCGGCACACTTTTAATACCTCAGAACTAAATACAGTTTGAAAAAAAGGAAGCGCTCCGATCTGACTGAGCATCGATAAAAAATATTCTGCTGTGGTTCCAAGGCTCGTGTCATTCTAGTTAGAATTTTTTTTAAAGGGAAGACTAATGCCCTCCCTTCAAAATGGCCTCCGAATTGACAGAAGTTCAATCCGGCCCCTTTGGGGAGAGCTTCCTCATGAAGGGGCCACGTGCAAATCTGTTGGATGATACCGTCTGGAGACGGGAAATGCTCTGAATCACAGCCACGTTTTTGGCAGGGCAACAATGGACGATTGGTTGGTCTGCCTCTTCAACCGGGACTCCACTAACATTTCTTAGCCAATGGGGATAGGGCGTTGTTAAACGTGACACAGGCCGCGTTGCCCGCCATCCAGCAGCATGTTGGAAGACACCGTTTTCTGTCCCATTCATGCTTCTCATAGAGTCAAGCTCAACTCACTGCTCTTAACTTTGGATGTAAAATGAGCAATAAATATTCCCAAATGCCAATATCTTATCAGCTGTATGCACATAATTCATCTGCCCTGCTCTGGAAAATTGCTATTCCAAGGAGACCGTGGTTCCAAAAGGACAGAGTGGTATAATTATCTGGCTAACTCTGTCCAGTGGTAGGCCGTCTGCTCCAGGACGCTTTCCATACAGAGCCGTGGCTCCATTAGCTCAAACACAAGTTGACCTGTCTGCGGCCGCCGTCCACCACGCACCGCGGGCTAAAAATAGCCAGAGGAATGAAGTTATCCCCCAGCCGTTCCACAATACACCCCGCTCCCTGGGTCGCCCGCACCCCCGCAGCCCAACTGAGAGGAATCTGTGCAATCTGTAAAGTAAGCTGTCTTTTCCATTACGAGGTGACGTGCTATTACAAGCTCATTCGCTCATTGTGTTTCTCCACCCGAACGCAGCCATGCGGAGACCCGGCTCGTAGACTCGAGCCCATTTTCACCATACGGAGAGTCGGTCAGAAAAACGGCTGTGGGTCACGAGGAAGCCGCAGAATCTCGGAGCTTTGCAAAAGCAGCTACTTATCCATGACGGGTGCATCGGTTCAGGGTCTTTTGGAGGCTTCGGGGACGCGGCGGTGAAAAAAATCAAAAAGCAATTTCATGACTTCGTTCCTCCCCCGCTGATTTAATTTATCGTCTCTAAAAACTGGCCTCACTTTTTTATTTATGTATTCATACAAAATACATGAGGAGCAGCAGGAGCACAGCCGCAGTGCCTGCCTGTTGCTGTCTGCTACACACACACACACACACACACACACGGCTGTGCTGGGTGTTTTTGTACGACCCAGTCTGCCTGTATGTCGTCTATCCGGCTGTCCTGGAGGCCTCGGGCTCCGCCGCTGCCGATGGCATTGTCCTCGCAGCCAGACGGGCCGCGCAGACAAAGCCCAATCGGGACAACTTCCTCTGAGCTTCTGGAGCGGCGGGGGCTGGACCTCACTGCACTCTCGCAGATAAAGAAAAGGTGACCCAGACTGACTCCCTCCGACCCTCTTTCCCTCTGACCACATTCTGCTGAGCTGCAGGCTGGTTTCAGAGCACACCACGGCTGTGTTGCCCCTGGCTCTCTCCCCGTTACGACACAGTAATTACACGCGGTGCCGTGCAAGTTCACGGAAATTTTCCACATCCATTTGAAGGTTTTGCGTCTCTCGGTCAAAGGCTTTTCTGAGTCCTTCATTCGAAAATGAAACCTCTCTCTCCGGTCTATCAAAAGGCAGGATTGCTGCATAGACAGATGGCTGTCTCCATGCCTCCTTTAACTTCCTTTGATCGTCTCAGGCTGCCTGTCGACCAACAGAGAACATGTTTGTACAACGGTTCTGTTGAGAAACCAAGCGGCCGGATGCCAATAAACCGAACCGAAGCATCTCGGCCTCACCAATAATTCCACCCATTTTATTTTCCAGCGTCAGCATACTGAATAGGAGCTCTGAATCAAAGTTCTTAAACCCCAAACTTAAGAAACTTTGAGTGGAAATGGGGTCAAAATCAGTATCATTTTGGCCTAAAAGGATGTTCGGCATGACGCCACATGCACTATGGCCCAAATTAGAGGGGTTTTATAGAGCTTGCAGCATCAGAAGAGGGTAATCACAAAGCCAATAATCCTTCATCGTCCCTCAGCTTTGGATCCCACTGTGCCGCTTCAAACTGGAATGCGCACCGTTATGAAAATTTGACGCAAATTAAACATCCAATGTGGGAATTTACAAATGGAAAATAAAAAACACTGCATGTTTGACAAGCGTTTTAATGACAATGCCCTTTTCAATCAAATTAGGCTGGCAGACAGACTCCTTTCCCACAGCTGACGGTACATTTTTTTGTCCTGTATTTTCTATTCCAAACAGGCAACGTCTCAAGCAGGCCTTCCAGAGACCAAAATGACTCACTGCGTATGATTCACTGTGGCCTTTGACCGGGAGTTTTCTGGTCAGTGGGTGTTTGGCAAGCATCTGTGAATCCAGCATACAACAGCAATGGTCTCACGGATGTTGCAGAGCCGCCGGCGTGCGGGAGCCCTCCTCCCGTTTTAAGGCTCGGCTACAGGCCTCACGCTGACGCCAGTCCTGAGATTCGACGGCAGGGCATTAAAGAGAGTTACTGTTCTTGTCAGCAGTCCGGTTTGGGATAAGAAAATAGCCTGCATGAGAAGGATCTGTGGCCCGTTACACATTTGCATGCGCTCTCAAAAAGGAAAAACAAACCCCAAGACTTTCCCTATCCTGTCAACCTTTGCAACAAGTCAGCCTTCAAAGACAAAGTCCTCTCTTCCCTCACTTCCCTTACCTCCTTCCTTATTGGTATCACCAAAACACAATTAATGCCTCTCTTTATCTGTCTTTGGTGGCATCTGTGGGCTGCAGGGCTGCTATCGGCTCGCTGGATTGCTCTTCCAGAGAAACACCGGCCCTATCTGTGGGCGGTTTCCAGCTGACAGTTCCTCTCTGGCTCTAAGTCTATTCCTGAGCCCGGGGGGGGGGGGGGGGGGGGCTACCAAAGTGTTGATAAACTCATCCATCAGTTCAATTCTCCGGCTCCGTCTTGAGAGGGCATCTCATATTGATTTCATTAGATGAAGCCTGGTTAAATTAATTTGCCACAGCTCAGAGATCCGCCGGCTGAAATATACATGAGGAACACTGCGTCTCCACAGCTTTGGCTGTGCTACAGCCTCAGCGTGAGCCCGCTGATTACTGCTGATCAGGGACTCAGAAGACAATTGTTAGTGGAAACAATAACAAGGTGCACTTTTTAAGGACTCTTCCTCTCGAGAAAAAGGCCGTCTAGTCCATCACTGTGAATCTCAGAGGTCTCGGAAGGCCGTGCGAAACAATAAAACCTCAACAAACCACGAGTGCTTCCGCAAGCATTTAAGAAAATCAGACAAATCTCCCGTTTAGGCTGTCTAACATTGTTAAAACCACGTGAAAGCCGCACTTTGGACTGGAAAACATCCTCTTCAATCAATTCTGAACTTTCATTATTGCAGGAAATACATCAGATAATTCCTCCTGAAACAAAGATATGCAAAAAAAACAGCAAAAAAACAAGCTGCTTGGCCTGTAAAGGTTGATTAGGGGCTTGTACAATTTCAGCCTCGTTTCAGAAACAACAAAGCCCTGGAAACCCACTGGAGGCTGTCCAAGTAACAGTTTCCACTTGCAAAAAGGCCTGTCCACTGAGGCTGCTGTCAGAATGTTTTGTTCATGCCTGTTCACTGTAGCACCCACCACACATCAACAACAGCTCAGATGAGCCTCTTTTTTAACGCAATGGCATTAATTCAGCTGTAAACAGGAAACAGGGACGGATAAGGAACCATACGGCAGAGGAAAAAACAACAGTCTTACCTTGCATGAGGGTGTCCATGTTCTGGCGGTGGCTGCAGGATTTCTGAGGCTGACTGGGTTTTGGGCAGGACTCTATATCCAATGGACGTCGGGGAAAATCCGACAGATGCGAGAAAAACCTTCCCAAAAACAGTCAACTGGAATCCGGAAACAGTGCTGTAGCGCAGAAACAAAAAACGTGAACAAGCTGGACCGGGGCAGAGAGCGCCTGTGGTCTCAGAGGAGCATAATCCAGAGCGGGAGGTCGTGTTTACGCAGGAGGAGAAACTGCAGCTGCCGACGGGATGCAGAGGAAAGTTTGCCCCGACCTGCGCTTTGCCTGTCTCAACACACACTACAGAACTGAGCTGAGTTTTTCCCCCCCGAGCTGCGCCTCTGATGTCAGCAGCAACGTGAGCTCCAGGAAGCGGTGACGCGCTCCGGCCGCGCGTTACCGAGGCCGCGGTGCGCAAAAACGCAGCGAGTGCCGCCTCCCGGTGGACTCCTGGAGCCAGTACAGGCCCTCCATCCCCATGCTCCGGTCCCTCCACTGAAGATATCCCTTGGTTGTTTGAGCTATAACAGCTGAATATACAACCCACAGCTTTACCCGCTGATTAAGTCACTTTGAAGGGGAATTAAATCCCTCCACCCCCCTCCCGATTTGACAGGGATTCCTCCACACAAAGAAAAACTGGCTTCAGAGTCCCACAGTAAACACATATGGGCCACTTCAGTCTTTTATGTTTGATATAAAAAATAAATCAATCCACAGACAATTCTGATGCCATCCTGTCCATTTTCAGCAGAACAATAGACTCATTTGGTTCAAACAAAACTGATGTGATCGCTATATTGTTTATTCAATCATTTATTTAGTCTGTTTTATGTTCCAAAAAACATATTTAGTTGGAAAAGTGAATCACTTCCAGAGGTAGCCTGATTTCTCACATCAACCAAGATCACGAGCAATCATTAAATAATATTTGGCTGAGCTTTGCTCTAGAACATTACCACTGAGAGGCTCTACCTCTCTAAGGTGCACCTTTGTCCTGCTGTTTATTTTTTCGTATGACCAACGTTTGAGCTATTTTGAAGTTTTTTTCTGCCATCAAACTCAGGATCAGCATCAATTTTCAGTTAATTTGTTATCACTTTCAGGATTTGATGTGTTTTTTTGTGTTGTGTCACAATTATGATATTAAGATATTTATTAAAGGGTTTTGAAAATCATCTCATAATGTCTGCATTAATATTTCACCAAACACTTCATGTCATCATGTTTAACCAAATCAGCTCTTTAATTGGATCTGCGGAGGCCCTTAATATGACTTTACATATTCTCAACATATGCACCGTGGAGTTAAGGAAAGAGGCTATATGTTTTAAGGAAAAAAAAGTCACAAAGTGGCTCTGATGATGTAAAAAACAAGCGCTGCTCCGAGCTTGGCCCCAGCCTCCCTCGCTTCACGTTAGTTCCACGCAGCGCTGTTTTCTTCTGATCAGACATGCCCTTGTTCTGTGGAGCCCTGCCTGAGTGTGGTGAATATCAATAGGAAATTTGCATCCCTCTGTGGATTTGCAGTGCTTGCAGATGTCTGTACTCCTAAATTGTGCTGAGGACGAAACTCGCACGCAGACGTTATGAACGATAACAGCTTGTGTCCACGTTTGTGTGTGTGCGGCTGTGTGTGTGTCTCGGTGGCTTCGCAGCATCACCAGAGACGCCTTAAAAATACCAGAAAGGGCCCAGTACTCGAGAGAGAAGAGGGATGCCCTCATCGTCAGCTTTATATAACGAGGAGTTTTTTTTTGTTCTATTCCACTTATCACCATAAATATAGAACTCGTGTTAGCACCAGGCAAAAATACAAGGGACTGATTGACTCTGGTGGATAAGGATACAAAGTTGGATTCACAAGCCATACAGCTTCAGCAGAATTTCTGGATGTGGTAGAAGAACCTCCACATTTATTAATGACCTCAGGTCTGCGATGAGTGTGCTGGGCCCTGTGGAGTTGTGTGTGCATGTTTCAGGCATCTAACGGCTGTTCGGTTCCCTGCAGTGCTAAAACAAGCTGCTTAGCGTGGAGGAAAATGTTTGCATACTTCGGCTTATCTTTCGAGCTGTCTTTTTTCTGACCTTTCTGTTCTGAAAAGCTGTTGTTCTGAAAAAAATTTTTGTCCGACAGGGTGTAAAAATGGAACTGACTTTTTAGAAATTGAACGATTTGGAAAGCAGGCAATAGCCAGAGAAAATCCCAAATATTGTGACGTGTCATGCGTTTCTTTTTTCTAAAGTATTTGTATTAATTTAGTTACAGTAAAAGCGGATTTCCTTTCCGGCACACTGTCATTCCCAGTAGAGAATTCCAGCTGTAGATTGATTGCTGTGGGCCATCCTGCAGCCCCCATGTCAGGTGATAACACTCTCCGGTGAATACAGACAGCAGCTTTTGTAAACAGTTAGAGAAGTGCAGCTCATTTCTTAGAAAATCATTGGATACATTTCCTCTAATACTCATCCATGGGGAATGGTGCTTTTTTTTTTTTACCCCCTTGTGGTTTCCTGGTTGTATCTCATGGTGTCCAAGTGAACACATGGGAGCTCATTTTTGAGGCAGTTTCATAAACACAGGAACGCTTTTCAGGAGTTCGGAACACAGCCTAAAGTTTTTACCCCGGAGCAGCTTTGAGTTTCGTTATGTTTTCACTGTGGAGTATTTTTATTTTCTTCCTAATAAATCCCAACCAGTTCTGCAGCCTGCTTTTCACTCTCCCTCGGGTCTTTATTCTGTTCGTTCCTCTACAACTGTGTTTCTTTAGCTGATTATGCCTCCCAGTATATTTCCCTTTCCCTTGTATTCGTACTGTTTCCTGGTTGTTGTTTTTTTGGGGGGGGGTTCTTGCAGTGTTCTTCAGACTTCTGCACTGTTCATGGGCTGAACATTTCACCTGTCTCTTATTGGTTAAGTGTTTGCAACACTCCTGTCTGTGCATTAAACTTTGGGCCCATGCTGAAAATCATCAAATACATTTTTTTTAAGTAACAGAAACGCTTTAGTGGTAAAAATTAGTTTTCCACAAGTTCAGCTTGGTTGACTGAAATTTATAAATAAATATAGTCAGTCTCATCAGTGTAGTTACTATGGATGGCAATTCCCGTAGCTTTAACTTGGTGGCTGTGATGTTACACGGTCTGGTTTGTTGACCTGTACGCCTCATCAAAGGATCCCGCTCCATGAATCTGCAGAGTGAGCTGGGTCTTCACCAGAGGAGACTGGATCACCACCACAGTCCTGAATTCTCTGTCCTCACTGCAACACATGATGTGAAATGGTTTCTAAACCTGAGTTGTTCTGAATACAGTAGCCAAACATTAATGCTTTTCATCTATTATTAATGTGTTCTTTGGGTGTGACTACTACCTGGGAGTGAAGCTGATCTGCAGACACTGTCGACAGCGGGTCCCGCGGGCTTCCTTGGATCTGAGCAGCCCAAAGTCTGGTGCGACTCCAAACACATGAGAGTCACCTTCATCTGACTCTAAACACAGAAAGACAGTGAGTAAATCATGACTGAAACCTTTAGGGTAAAACGATTACTAATGGCTGTGGAGATGGTGGTGTGGTCACCTGTTAGTGCTTTCCAGTAGGTGTGGGCTCCGTGGCTGTATAGGTTCACTTCTCTGGTTAGTGTGTGTCCAACAAAGCAGAAGCCAAAGCTGAGGCAGTCAGTAGAGAGACTCAGTGTAGGTAGATCCAAATGGGCCCGTAGAGGCACTGTCTGGACAAAGAAAGAAGATACTCACAGGCCCGATTTTGTGATGACTTCCAAACAATAGACATTTGTATGGTTTATCGCTAACCAGATGGCTGTTGTTACTGAAGCGGATCACAAGGTTTTTCTGAAACCTCAGCTTCTTCAGACCACTGTCATTGTGGATCAGCGTCACCCCGGGGGGGACTTTCACCTCCGCCTGGTCTGCATGATCCAGAAGTTTCAAGGAACAGTGGAAGGCCACCTTCACCTAGGAGCAAGGACAAGAGTGGCGATTAGTCCTAAGAATAATAGAACATCTCAAAATTTTAAATATACCGGCACCCCTGATCTTACTCGCATGTTCCGTTGTGGTCGGAGCACCGGAGGCTGGCTGTCACCAGTCGGAGGGATGCTGGACGAGCTGGACAGAAGGCTGGGTCCAGGGTTGAGCACTGAAAATGGCGGCTGAGTCTCCAGACTGAAGTGTAAGGGCATCTCTGAAGTGTTGATCAGCTGGAGGGTCTGCGTAATCTCTAATTCACGCTCCGAGAGCTGGTCAATTCAATGGTAACAAAAGACCCAATGACTGCTCCGGAGCACCGTACACCTTTGAGATCAATACCTCATGTATGAGCTGGTGATTACTGTTGTAGATTTCCCAACCTCCTTGTCTGATCCTGCCCTCAGTAAATCACCGGCTGAGGCGTTAAACTCCAGCACCCCGCCATCCTCCTCCATCTGCACCAGCAGACTGCAGCAACGGGAATCCAAGAGGAAGATATGCAGCTTAATCAGACCACCTCTGAGCTGCTTTTGCCTAACCTCAGCTTATTTTAATTTCAGAAACATAAATTTAGCTGGATCGTGAGGGATCTGGGGCACATAAATAGTCTAAATGTAATTGCTTACGCGGCTGGCTTAACGGCTGCTAGTAGATCCATTCTGACAGGCTCTAAATCCAAACCCTGTGCCCTTCCAACTTTACCTGGGACACAAGCAGCCATCTGTAACACACACAACCGCTCATCAGGGGGAATAAATTCCATTGGAACAGTCTATTTTTGCCTTTTCTAGGATTTCATTTCCAAACACACTGTTTGGTCCACTGAGTATGTTACCTCAGTGTCTAGGCTCATGAAGCCAAGTGCCAAGCCCACACATCTGGATTCACAAGCAGCCCCAGACAGAGTCAAAGGGGTGAAGGATACATGGATAGTTCCACTGCTCCTTGCTGGAATCACCTTGAGATAAATTTACACAGAAATCAAATGTGCCATTAGTCAAATGAGGTAGTCCAAGTGTAAAAGAAGCTGAAATGACGTATGTGGCTGAAGTATTTAACTGTTTGTTGTGGTGTAACACAGAAGGGGTAATCTGAGAGGTTGCCCAGGTGAGGTCTGATATAAACAGAGAAAAGTTTTTTCTTTGCAGGGGATGGAAAGTGGGAGGTTTCCTCTTCACCCTCAGATGTATAATCCTCCTCCTTCTCCACATCCTTAAATAAAAAGAAAAACATCAGATTTGAGCCAGTGGGATAGTAAAATATGCATTTATGAGCATCCATGGTCAGCCGTATCTCAAAGGCGAGTCCCAGAGGTGATAAGTCTTCTCTCCATCTGTGAAATATACCCACAGTGACACTTTTCAGGAAACTGCTTGTTCCCTCCGAGCTCGGCTTGAGAGTCTCCTCCCGTGCTGGGGGTGCATCTGCTTCAGAAAGCCTCGGTGCCCCACTCAGCACCTCGTTGCCATCTGCATCTTTAAGTGGGAAGGCGTCTCCATAAGCCACCACGACGTCCAGCAGTTTACAGTCATTCTGATCTATGTTGTAACTCTCCCAATCCACACGGATGTCTGCCGAAGAGAAAACATGTTGGGGAGGATCACACATAATGATTTTGTTACTGAGTGAACAGACAGTCAGCATGACAGAGATGCTCCTGTTAGATCAGCACTTACCAAACATGGTGGGATTGTTAATGTGAACTGATCGAGAAACCGTGTCCCCTCCAGACAAGTGAGTGCCAAAGCTAACAGGAAGGTCAAATTAAAAAAAAAAATTAGATAGTGTTGATATTGATAGACAGAGATGAATTAGATTTAACTGGGCCATGGACAGACTGTATGATTGGTCCTTGGTGCTGGTCATCTGCTCGTGGGCCCGTCATTTGAAAGTAGAGTGGACAGCCTTTCACAGTCATCTGCATGGCGATAAGCACCGGTTCGAGTTCCCCAACCTTAAGGTGGAAAGACACAGAGGATTTAGATTGAATTCATTAATTTATGGAGAAGTTATTATCAATTAATAATATATTAAATATCGGTCATGTACATCCAACTACATTTGATCAAAAACATACTTTACATATGAGGTTATCTCTGTATTCCCCCCACATGTCACTGTACGCAGTTACAGACACAGTCTGAGTCTCAAACGGTCCCAGCATCCCTGAGTCTGGCTGGGCAAGGAAAGCTGCGCCTTTTCCATTTGCCAAAAGGTTGCTCACAAACTCTGATAAAGAAGAGACAACAATGAACCAGTAGAGTTGGAGTTCACCGGCGGTTAAATTACAAGACTGAGCGCTGATGAGCAGTTCAGACATACCCTTGTGTGCTTTTGCTTGGGCTCTCTCTGCTTGTGCAGACTGAAGGGGACTCTTCACATACGTGAATCTGCAAACGGGATGCTGCACGTGTTATCTCTCCTTGATGGTAAAGTTCTTCTGCTATCCTTAATTATCAAAGTCAGTCAGCTGGTTGCCTTACCTTTTCCTTGACTGACTACTTGGCTTTGAGGCATGGCAGGTGAAGTACTCTGCCTCAATGGTGAAAGGTGCAGGGATAGCAGTTTGATTGGTTATAAGAAACTGCCTGGATACAGTCCTCTTTAGAGTAATATCATCTCCAAAGTCAAGCACCAGTGGTGAATCATCCTGGTGCAGACTAAAAGGGACATAAAACAGAAAGAAAGAATCATTCAGTGTGTGGAAATTGACAAAACTCGATTTTTAGAGACATCTCTTTCAGCCAGGTTTGCTACCTGACGCTGGGCAGAGAGTATGACACACTGAGTTTTTTGGGTCTGGGAGCTACAATGCCAAGAACAAGAGGTGAGTTCATCCCTTGGACCTCACACAAAGCAGCCACCTCACTCAACTCCAACTAACAGAACAAAGACAACATGAGGTTAAAGCACCATGATATAAAAAAACTAAATTTAAAAATAAAAAAAAAATAAAAAGATAAAAACTGGTACCTACATCTGTGAGAGATGTTATATCAACTGTGATCTCCATGCGTGCATTGGGTCCCAGAATACCAGAGATGGGATCAAAACTGGCCGTGCACAGTGAAGCCTGTTTACCCTGAAGCTGAGCCTGTTTAGTAAAGTATAAAAATGACACCACTGACTAGCAGTCTTTAAACATTTGCTCATTTGTTGTGTTTAATATATAATAATTTTAAAAAAAATGTATTTGAATCCAAAGTATCTTAAAGATTCTAACCGGATTTGATTGAATATTTAGCAAAATGTTAAAAGTTGAGGAACATACCATCCATGTGAAGTGTGACGGCAGTAGAGTCTGGTTGAAAAGAGTTACGGTGCCCCTGTTGGGAGCTCCAATGTAAAGCTCCGAGAGGGCCAGTTTGCAGTTTAACAAACACACCTGAGGGGACTGCACATCTGCTCGCACCAACATGTGGCTGTTAGGAAAAAACACAAATGGCTACACTACTAAAACTCCAAAATCCTCCTCATTACTCCTTAAGAATTTGATTCTGCACAACACTTTACATGTCAACCAAAGACTGGTGGATATTGTAGAAAATCTAATTTCTCTTGAGGAAAATAGCCATCAGTGACACTTTTCTTTGTGTTCTTACCATCCAGTTCCATTTTCCACAGCCAGCTCCAGGTCCGTCTCAAACTGCTGGCAGAAATGTGGCCTGAAGAGGACGTCCACACTGCAGGAGGCCAGAGGTGGCAGAACACCTCTGCATGGCTGCACTAAGATCTGAGCAGATGGAAACTTGAATCAGTAATCCTACATCTCATCTGAAGTCAACATAGTGGAGTTGCTTTATTAGAGCAGGGTACCTGTGTGTCTGGGCGGTCCTGTGGGTTATTAAATGTCTCCTCTATCCTCCAATAGGCTTCCAGCGGGCTGGTGTTTGAGAGGAGGAGGGAGGTCTGAGCATGCTCCCCAAACTTTACAAGCCCAAAGTCCACACTGGGAGCACTAAGAGTAACTGTGGGACCCTTGTAAAGAAACAAATAATACAAATTATATCAGAGCAGCAAGCCATAGTGAAGTAGTGATATTTTATTAAGTTAAATCTTACTTTAAAGGAAACTTCCACAGCTAAAACGACAGGCTCATGGTGGTGCTGAATGCTACACACCAAACTGGTCACAACCTTCTCCGGTTTACCTCCAGTGATGATAAGGTCGAAATCAAAACACTCATTCTCCTCTGGAAGCACATTGATGGGACAGTAAAAATAAAAAAGAAGAAAATACAGCCAAATGTGGATGCGAGACCCAGGAGGGCCACAAAGCACATTTAATGTGAGACAAACCTATTCTACCAGCAGATGGCTCCACTTTTATCATGTGACAGCTGCTGCTGAAGCTCTCCCAATTGAAAAATATGAAGGTCTTGCTATGATTCCACATCTTTTTGATACACAGAACACACATAAAATTAATCAATAACTTAAAAAAATATTCAAATTGACCTCACCTGTTCAAACCAGAGAAAAAAGTATTTTTAATAACCTTAAACTGCCTGTGAATGGTCGTGTGTAGAAGAATCTCTCCGACGACAACAACAGCATAAGGCTCCAGGAGGATCTGATACGGCTCTGTAGACCCCTTGACTTCTATCTCCATGATGGTGACATTGCTCACCCTGGAGCCAGACTGTACAGGCTGCAGGACACTTTCCAACAGAGGAAGACAAATAGTTCAGAGCTTGGTATGTCACATTTCTTTGAATTTGGTGAAACATTTTTTAAATTGTATTTTCACACTCCATTTCCTGTATATATTTCTGTCTGCAAATAAATCTACCTGCTGTCACAGAGCTCTGGTGGAGGCTGGGGGACATCCCTCAGGACCAAGTGGCAGACACTGTGATAATCCTTCAACTTCAGTAAGCAGAAAAAGTCTCAAACGCAGCCTTAGATAAAGTAGAACCAGTGGAAAAGAGGGGTCTTCTCTAAATCCTCTTACTTCTTTTGGGCAGAAGGTGAGCAGAAACCCTTGATCCTTACAGGGAGCAAGGAGTCCTGCTGAGGGGCTGATGTGGAAAACATCATCTGTGGCCGGATGACACTGAATATAGGAAGAATCAGGAGTCACCCCTGGAAGCAGCGGGTGCAGGTTGGGCTTCACGATCTGCCAGTGGAAAGGGAGCTCCAAGTGTCTTCATCCCCAATAGAAAGACAGAAGAAAAAAATATTTGTTTTTCAATTCTCCAAGAGGAGAAATCCTTTTTCTAGTCTGGGCTAAAGTTGTAAAGTTCCCTCTATTTTTATTTAAAGATAAGTAATTGTTCTACTAACAGACATTTCATACATCCTGTATTTTCCATTTCAAAATTCAAACTTTGTGTTTGGTTTTAGAAGTATTTATGCTATAGTAGAAAAGTATCAAGAATTATTACTTTTTATTTCAATAATTTAGATGTGATCTCTGAGAAAACTTTAGAGAAATAAGTTGGAAACACAAATTCAATGTAGTCAATCTGACTGAGGAGTAGCACTTACACATTGTTTCTGATGATGAGCACCTTCTGCTGCTCAGAGCAGGGGTTGGAGGGGCTGAAACGGACAAAATGCTCTGCTGTGAGGTCGCACACCTCCCCAACCAAGGGCAGCTCTGTCTCCCCTGATCCAGACACAAGCTCAAGTGCAATCAGCTGGCCTTCGCCTGGGAAACCCACAAACACACACACATCGTTCAGTGTATCAGTCATTTACGAAAAATACATTTATTTTCAAATTTATTACCAAGCTAACAACTTCTTGCAAAGTTTACAAACGACTCACCTTCGATGGAAATTTCTTTTACCTGGCAGTTGTCACAGACCACAGTGAAAACCTGACAGCTCCTCCCTGCTGCAGTTGGAAAGAAAACCACCTGCAAAACAAAGGTATGTAAAGCACACCAAGCATTTTTTCTGACGGAGTTCTGATCAATGCTGGGAAGCCTGTTGAAGGTCCATTCAGCCTTTTAAACTGGTTTCACTGTGTGGAAGCGCATGGTAATGACAGCTGCTTTTATTTGAATCGGTCACACAGCCAGACAACAGTGAACGCTGAGGCACCACATTATTCCTCCACTGAGATTAAATTTAGAGACACATCCACTTAACTGACTCACCTCTACAATAGTGGCCTCCCCAGGCTGCAGCACAAACAGGGAGGGACCCACTGCAAAGGGAGGCTGCTCAGAAAAATACGTGCTGGATACAGACTTTCCGAAAAAGGAGGATAAAATGTCTATTAGAACATTATTGCCAATTTGTCTTTTTTCTTAAAAAATAATGTACATTTCTGAACAATTCTGATGTACTTTTTCAGGCCCGATTAAGTCACCAAATACATTTTTACCCGAAGATTAGACGCTGGCCATTGATTCTTGGGGATGATACAAAAACTTCCAGAGCTGAATCCAACGTTTTGGCACAGGAACTCAACAAATTTTACTCCGCCGACCAGGCAATAGCCACAGTTAAGCACTTTCGGGACTGCAGAACAATAAGGGAGAGGTTTATATTTGTGTCAAGTACATCCAAATTTAATCTTTGAAAGAGTGTTATGGGACAAATGGGCAAAAGCTCAAAACAAACCTTACATAAAACTTATTCAATTATTTCTACAGAATATAAAGGAAGTAAAAAAATATATATATTTCAGATATAAAAAGCTTAAGAAATGAAAAACCTGAGTTTGTTATCACATCTTTGCTGAGGCGTAAACTGTAACCTTTACAAGTACATATACACGCCTCTGATTTGTTTAAAATTAAATTGAATTTGTTTGTTGAAACCAGCTCATTAAAATTCAAATGACTTTGCACCTGATTCAAAGCAGAGGGAGCCAAGTCTCCCAGTTCATTCTGAGATTTAAAGATGTATACAAGGACAACTGCTTTGAATTGGAAACCAGATTAAAAAAATACACAGTTAAATTAAAAAAACTCTGATTTCCCAGAAGACTGTGGACTTACTGGTGAGTATAGGGGGAGGCCGCCTGGCTTCAATGGGCACAAGTTGCTTCTCATCCTGCGTCTCCACCACTACAAAATCCTCGTAGTTTCCCAGGGAGTCCGGAGCAAAACGAAGGGTGTACTTACAGCTCATCCCCGGGGCAACGATGCCACCTTCACTAGGAAACCTCCCTGTCAGCACATTTCATAGGACAGTCTCTTTTTTACAAACAGCTGTTCATTTAAATTGGGCTGAACTTCCGCAGCATTATGAGAACCATAGAAAACTCACCCAGGCCAATAGAGAAGTGAGGAGTGGTTGGGGGGATGACTCTGACATGGCGGCTTGACGAAGTCACGTTTTTTAGCTCCAGTGTAGTCTAACAGAGGACAGGACATATTACCGTGCATTTCTCATGGCAACACTCTCTGAGAAAGTCACTGAAACAAACCTCGTAAAAATGTCCCACGCCGTAGTCAGTAAAAAGCACCACTGAAGGATTTGGTAAGAATATCTGGGGAGGATCGTCTAGGGAGCTTTCAGGAAATAAAAACAGCTATAACAGTTTAAAGATTAAACAGACCATTTAGGAATTAAGTTTTGAAAAACTCCACCTTTAAATCAAACCAAACCCAAACTCTGGTCAAAATGTCCATGCACACACATCTGTAACTTTGTGGTCAATACAGGTAATAACAGGTCAGACAGCTGTGGCTTACATCACATTCAGATGACCCTCTCCTGTCAGTGTTTGTCTTTCTTAGTTCTGTGAAGACCCTTATAAGAGGCCAATGCTTACATTTGTTCAGAAGTTCAAGTATTACAGTAGTGGGAAAAAATGCTTTGGCGATGTTTGGATGAGATCAGACACTGTGGTGCTCTCGATGCCTACCTATCTAGCCTAGGTATAATATGTTGGACAAAAGGGATCCGCTTACATCAGTCTCCATGGGCACAATGGGTGTACAGCTGTTCGCTCTCATGTTTCATGTCAGCATTGAAGAAAGACTACCTGACTCAAACTTATTGTATTTCACAAACTATAACCCAGACCAGGGATGGACTCTGTCGTTATCCTGAGTCGTTTCTGTTATCTTGTGATAAAATGATGAAAATGTCCATTATTAAATAATCAAAAAAGAGGCCCTGCCTGCTGTTTTACCTCCGTTCTTGAGAGCCTTTTTTCTCATGTTCCGTTTTCCCTTTCGGTCTGGGCCTAAGGAGGGACATACCCCCCTGCTGTGCATTTGGGGGTAGGAAGCGTGGATTGCGTAGGAAGCTCTGTCGCTCTTTCAACTTCTGGAGCTTCTTCCATCCCTCTGCTCGATCCTTTTTGCTCAGCTCATTCCTCCACTTTGGTGTGGGTTTGACCTGGTGCTGGTTCTGAAATACACAGAATATTGTTGCCGGATGCTTATGGTTGAAACCACATACTCAAATACATTCTCTAACTACAAACTGGGATTGAAATGATATAACAACAGCTTGCAGAGTCAGTAGAAGCAGCACATTAAGTATCACTCTTTTTTCTTTTTACCTCTATGAAGCCAGTGTTTCTCTCTTTTGTATCTGCACAGGATTCATTGGTTAAGCTTTGTTTTGACTCGTCCATTTCTAACACGGCCTTCTCTTTTTTCACAATCAGTGTGTAACCGTCATCCTGAGGCTCACGGGATGTGTGCATGGTATAGGAGATGGTGGGTTTTGTGGGATTGGGTTTAACTGATGAACAGAAATCAAATGAAATACTGAGTCCCAACACAGCCGCTAATAACTTCATACTGACACTACAGAGAGTCGCTACCTGCTCGTGGTGCTGTTACTTGGGGTTTTTGTGTAGTTACTAAGTAGTCCTCTGGGGATATTAGATTGCTTTTCTTTAGAAGTTCTTCATCTACACACCAGGAGAAGGCTGATTTGACTGAAAAGAGATATTGATAGTAATATGATAAATAACATTACAACATTCCTGCTATTTTCAAAGTAAGTATGATCCACTGAGGTAGGCGGGGATCAGTATACTACTAATGTAGCGGCTGAGAAAGACTCACCTGTCAACAGGCCCTGGTAATCAGGAACATCTTTCAGATTTTCCATCATGGTCTCCAAGGCCCGGCTTTCTTTAGCTGCAGCCCGGGCTCTGGCCTGAATGATATGAGTCTCCAGCATGTCTGCCTCTTCTATACGCTGCTCATATTCACCATGGGCCTGACAAAGGACAAGAAAAGCCTGCATCATTTCAAGTTTTAGCCTATTGTAAAGTCAGTCGGCCACTGTTTGGTTACCTGTTGAAGCTCTTCAACATATTTGTCAAGAAAGGCACTTCTTCCACTTTTTGTCTTGACAATATTTGACAAGGTGTCTTTCCCAATCGTGTCATTGGTGTAAACGTCCTTAAAAATGCTTTCTAAGATGTGAGAAATGTCCTGTAATACAAGGGTTGGGAGCAGTTTTTTTTTCTTTCTCTCTCTTTTCTGCGCAGTTATATTTTATTTCCAGTCTTTCCATTTCGAAAGGGCCATGTTTAACCATACCTGCGAGGTTCCAGAAGAGGGTCTGTGGCTGTTCACCGAAGGGTCAACACGCAGTTTTTCCTTTGGGTCTGTTTCCTCCAGCATCTTTGACAGCTGCTGGAAATGAATGCTAACTTACCTGAAACGTTATAAAAACGCTTTGCTATCGCCCTGACGTTTAGCCACCTTCAGGGTATATTTATTTAACGCTAAATGAAAGCTGGGGTCGTAACGGGTTGTCGGCCATGTTTGCGTGGACATGGTCGCATGGCAACAGCTAAAGTTCAGCTTCCCAACAGGTGTTGTGCCGGTGTTGTGCGAAAAAGTGAATGTTTGCGAGAATCTGATTAAGCTCGCGGGAGCGCGCACCGCAGCTGCTGAGCGATACCGTAAACTTGCTTTTCTCTGGATTAAACGGTCATGACATGCAGATACACACAGTTGCATTATAATATAGGCCTTACTAAATTATAATATAGGCCTAATTAAGGATTCGAAAGCTTAACGTTTGTCACATAACGGCAGTTACGTGACAGACATGTTTCTATACTCGGTCTGATGACTTTGTGTAGCCCTGACATTGGAGACTACACTACAATAAATATGATTCACTGGAGGGTTTTCGATAAAGATATGATAACTTTTGCAACGATCCTCGTGACTCTGCATTGTTTCTTATCTGATCTGGCCGTATATAGCACGAGTTTCCCATGTTTCTATTTGTTTTGCAGTTTTCAATCGGTTTTCACCTGTCAAAAATTGATTGAAGGCACAGTATAGTCACTCAAAGGTTATTTCTACCTAAATATGACTAGATTTCCTTCAGGAGATGCATGATTTAAAGATCTGAGCTCACAAAACAGCTTGGAACTCTTTTAAAGGACCATTACAACACAAAATAGCCATTTTGACTTGCAAAAAATGTATTAAAGCCCAAAT